TAGGTCACAGCCTTGAGGGCCTCACCTGAGGCTACCTCTACACATAGGGTATATCCTAGTGCTGTATAGATACATCACTCGGCAAAACGAGCTTGACCGGCTACACCATTCGCCTGCTAAGCCTCGACGCTTCAATGATTATAGTGTCCCCGCTCGTGATGCCATTGAAAACAGGCTCTCGTCTTCTCAAACAGCTATTAAAGGATCAGAGATCGGTGAAACAATCCTATGGAAAATTTAGCCATGAGCTGATAGATCGCATGGAATGCTACCGACATCAAAGTCCCAAGTCTGAGCCAGATAATCAGACGCAGTGAGTTGAATTTCCTCGGATAAAAAGGAAGACATAAAAATATTGCTCTCGTTCCGTTCAATCGTTTTGGGTACTAAGGTAGGGTCGATGGCTTGCTGTTCGAGTTCTAGAACGAGATCAGCATCCAATATGTCATCAGGCAGCAACGCTGCTTTCTGGAATTGGTCATGAGGAGCTTGAGTTGATTGTTGAAAGCCAGAATCGCAGAACTGTTGCCTCAGAAGAGGAATTGCTGTTGTGGCACTGTACGAGATTTCTGCTAGTATCTCCAGAGCGGTGATAACGACCGAGAATAAACGTTTGAGATTCGAATAGTTTAAGTTGTCTGTAGAGTAGAGTTGAAAAAGAGACGAGCCTGTTCGGATCAACGCATTCACCATTTGGTCTGGGTACGGATCAAGTAGTAGGATACTGGCCGTGTCCTCTTCGGCATCATCGGTCTGGAGCGCGACATTGACAGCGTTGACAATACGAAGGCATGCACAGAGGCGAAGATCGTATGGCTTCTGGCTATTGTCCGCAAAAGTGTACGTTGCAGGCAGACTATCGGCTAGAATCAAACTGCCGACTTGAAAGTGGATGTTCAAGAGTGCTGATGTAGCCATTAGTATGCAACCACTGTTTCAAAGATCAAATGCTTACTGTAACTTAGCTGGGTCGAACGGTTTAGGAGCATGATATCTCGTTGACAGAATGACAGGAGCGTACCAAAAACTCGCTCGAACCGATTGCTCTCCGTCTGCACAGCGTCGATCGCGTTTTGAAGGGAAACATCCGAAAGCTGGTGGAACACGGCGTCCTGGACTTGGGTGATTGCTGACCATACTAGCGTTTTGAAAGCAAATGCGTGCTGGAGGATGAGAATGACAAGGGAATCTGAAAGCGGAGCGCGTAAATCAACGAGTGATTGAAACTCTCGCTCAAAAGTATCGGTGCGTTGCCTCACAGCAGACCAGACTTTTTTCTCGCCACTTCGACCGGGCAACAGAACGGAGGGTCTACAACGGGTTAAGGACCTTGTAGTATCAGAGATGATGCCGAACCAGTAAGCAATATCCGTCATGTACTTAACCTCAGCCTCGTCTCTGTCTGGACTTCGTTCTGTCACAGGGAAGGTTATCGAATTGAGTAGATCCACAATTGGATCTGGCGTCTGGATCTTGGTCAGGTGTCTAGAGCGTAGGTGGTTGTGGTGATTGAGGGCTGTTTCGAGGCACGGATCCTTGATGTCGTCGAGTTCCACATCTGGTGAGGATGGGGTGATCCCAAAAAGATATAATGCAAGGATGGACCTATATGTCGGCTTCGCCATAGCTGCATATATGTGCTGCCGGGCATCTCTCCACAGGTTTTTTGAAAGCTCCTTTTTCGTCGAGATGATCTTGTCCTGCTTCTCGGGATTTCGGGTACCCATTTTATCAGACAGAAGTAGCCAACGAACCGAATAAGCATACACAGCCGAATTCAAAGCAATATTAATGGCCGAATTAGAATGTTCGTTACCGTACGAGGAGTCCAGAGACGTGAAAATGCGCGAGATCAGAGTAGACGGATGCTAATATGGTCAGCTATAATCACTCCAACCATACTCCACAGCACCCACTGTTTTTGTTGACTGGAACGGGCAACAAGAACCCCCAATCCAGAGGCCAATGCGGGGCTCAAGCAGGGTTGTAAAGATGTTCCAGAGAGTTTCGTGGAGCAGAAGTGCCTGCTGTGATCTTGTGGCCCGATGCTGTGTCTCTGACAAGGGAAATATCGACGTTTCAACAGGTTTAGACGAGGTCGGGGCCTCTCGGCTGTTGTCAAGTTCATCGCTGAAGGCGTCAGGGGCCGCGCTCGACGGCTCTGTGACCGAGTGCTCTACTGGAGCGACTTCGCCTTTTGGTTTTGGTTTGTATCTTCTCTGATTCTGCGTGGAGGTGCAGGGAATCCCTTTTCGAGAACAATTGAAGCAAGGCCCTCCACCCTGCGAGCTTGCGTTGCAACCAAGTCGTGCACGTTTGCAAGCATCGCAACTCGAGTATCGCTTAAGTCTATTCATGGCGAAGTTATCAATGATCTCCGATAAGGCACTCGAACAGCGGGAGCGTGTTGCAATCCCTGATGGTGTGCGTGGTGATAGGAAGTCTCGAGGTGCCGCGCGGCCAGCGAGCGAGGGAAGTCTTGTTGTAGGGGAGTTCAGGGCGGCTCGGGGGGACAGTTTATGTAGATTCTAACCCAGGGACCAACCAACTTAGAGGGAGAGACGAGGGGGGCCCGGATGGTCCAGCCTGAACATGGGGAAGACCAACTCCACTTTCAACCACCACCAAGTGAGGTTCGTCCAGGGCCGAGGGGGCCCCGCGGTCCATCGGCCGGCCTGGCGGCTTTTCTTGAGATGGGAACTGGGAGATGACGTTGCCACCACAGCTCCAACTTCTGATGTGTATAGAGTCTCATTTACAACTAGGTCTATTCGCCCTACCGAATACTACCCATGTAATAGTCTCAATTCAAAAAATTCATGAATCATTCCCAAGGGTCCACAACCAACTTCACTCCGCTAACTCCTTCGTGGAGTTTATCGAGTCCAGTATTGATTCCATCTTTCAGCCCTCCGCAAACTTTCTCCACGGGATGCGCAACCACCCGGGATTCCGCCAGTGCTTGTGGAAACCACGTACTATAAATCCACTCCTCTAGGTGTGTTTTGTCTTCATCGAAGATGTCTGGCCACGATGCAAACTCCCGGAGGACACCTTCTGGCAGCTGTTCCGGGCCAAACGGAGGGAGTGTGGCGTAGACCTTTCCACCACCTTGTGCAGCAAGCACTTTGGCATTCAATGCAACGGTTTGCGGGAGGCCGATAGTATCAACCACATAGTCGTATGGACCATGATCTGTGAGGTCTTTGATCAATGAGCTCGGCTCCTGAAGGTGATCAACCACACGAATTGCGCCTAATCCCCCGACGAAATCGTTGTGCTTGGGTGAACTCGTAGTGACAACATCGTATCCAGCCTGGGTGACCCATTGAATAGCTAAACTACCAACGCTGGAGGTCCCACCATAGATCAAGATCCTTTTGTGTTGGGCGACAGCTGGACCTTTCAACGGAGGTCTATTCAGCCCTAGACGCACACCAAATAATCCAACAACAGTAGACAAGTTTGCAATTAGACTAACGGGTGTCGAGAGATCAACACCAGCTGGAATCTTGCTGGCTGTATCATCACCAGCGACAACATATCTTTGATATGCCCCATACTTCATTCCAGTCTGCGTGAACCTCTTCCGAACAGCCACTTTGTCCCCTACTTGAAACTTCGCAACTTCAGAGCCTATTGCCTCGACGGTTCCTCCATAAGACAGACCGAGAATGTTCGGGTACGGGACGGGAAGCAACGCCAACTTGGCAATCTTGGACTCGATTGGATTCAGTGAGATGAGTTCGTTCTTGACCAGAATTTCTTGTGGGCCAGGCGCGTACTTGTCGATTTCTTGGACTTCTAGGGGAGCTTTGGGAGCCGGGATTGTAGCAGCCAGGTTCGCCATTTTATGGGTCGCAATTGATCTAGAAATCTGATGTGGCTTCATCCAAAGCAAGGAGTGTGGGAATGACGCTTCAGTAGTAGGGACCTCAAAACATTTCGTCGCTTTCCTGCTTACCTTTCGACTCACATCAACTGTCCCAGCTTTATGTACGGTTTGCAACCCCTGTCAATCATGAACTCCGTTCCCGTGATCATGGCGAGGCTAAGTTCTGACACGATCTTCGGAACCGGTGCGACCAACTTCCGATGATCCACTTAGCTCATCAAGGGTCTTGGAGCAGTCCCAGAATCTATATCCTCGAAGATGTGCTATGAGTCAATGTGTTCTCCAACCGGGTCAATACTAGAGGAAAACGACGCTTCCCTGCGGCAGAGAACGTCGAAACACCTTCCACCAAAATGGATGAGAACAACCTGCTTACTCTCACATTCCTTGTCCGGAAGAAGGCCGGCATGACCTTTGAGGATTTCGTTGATTACTTGAACAATTACCACGGAGTTCTCTCGGCGGACCTGTTGGCCAAGTATGGCATCGTTGAATACACACAGGTAAGTAACCGAATCTGCACCATGTCTTGATTAGACTGACCAGTCTCTGGATCTTCAACAACGAAACCACAAGAGACTTAATCCGAGAATCTCACGATGAAAAGTTTGCACCATTCTCCGACTATGATGCTATTGCTCAAATCACCTTTTCCAAGATCGATCATTTTCTTGCATATGGCCAGGATCCATATTTTCTGGAGGTCATCATGCCGGATCATCTTAATTTTGTTGAGGTTGGACAGACAAGGTATGCGATAGCTTCAGAGATGTCGTGGGCCATGGATTTCTGATGAGTCTATGACACAGTATGACGCTGGGGAGAAGGAATTACATGGTCCGTGATGGCAAGTCATTGCGCCCTAATATACACAGGACTGAGCGGTAGTTACCTTTGTTTTCGGTCTATAGTGGCGATTTGCCAGCTCATTGCAAATCGCCAGGTGTGGACAAGTTACCATAAAGAATGAGGGATGGAACTTCTAAGTTCAAGTGCTCTCTCTTATAGTCAATCAATCTTTATCTTGGTATCTGACCCATGGAGATCACTCTTATCCAAACGCGATACATGGTAGAGGAGTTGGATGAACAGTCAGGCAATTTATCTATCTGAACAGCGTGGGTAATTGCTCTAGAGAGTGTTGACGACAAAAAGTCTCTAGGCTCTGAACCCTTACATCAGGGTATCTGTCGTTGTCGTAACCTCGTAACAAGGTTGAGCCGTTAATCGTGAAATAGTTGTAATGCAACCCAAGCCACTGCCCCACGTCATCAGGAAAGGCTTCTCTGGCCGAACTCATCTTCTCGTGGAGGTCTTGAATTGTACCCAAATTCTCAAGCGTGAACTTGGAACCATAGACATGTTCCAGAACACCCGCAATCTCCCTGAGCGACTTTCTGGCACCACGTACTGCGCACTGTGAGATCTTTGACCCTGTCCGAAGTGGAGGTACTACTAACCATTCAATACACCTGTCGCCTGCTGGTCGAGAATCACTTTTGCCGCAAATCTAGCAGTGTCTTGCATGGAGGTCATGTCCCATGGCTCGTCTCCAGTACCCCAGTATCGAATCTTTCTGGCTGTGACGTCCAGTGCTCCCATAAATGGAAACAAGACAGCCTCAAAAAAGCCACCGTTGAGGACATGAACAGCTGTGATTCGTCCCTGGCGCTCTCTCCTTGCCAAGTAGTCGTGGATCTCGAGTTGAGAATCCTTGAATGGAAAGTCACCATGCTTTAGACCTCTGTAGTCGAAAGAAAAGTCCGATGCAATATACCGTGGCACATTCTCAGCAATGCAAGAATCTATGAGGATCATTTGTCCATGTAGCATCAAATCTTCCGGTCCAAAGTAGCAGCACACACACACCGAGGCACCTTGAAGAGCACCCCCAAGTCTAGCCTTGTCATTGTATTCTGCTTCCACAACTGTGACGTTGGGATTTTGTGATACCAGACTCGGCACTTTTGTCTTGTCTCGGCAGATTCCTGTAATCTCGATGCCTTCGTGTTCCAGAAGGCTGGCGGTTATGAGTTGAGCCACTCGGCTAGTGAATCCAGCAACGACAACTCTATGACGTTCCATATCGCTATTGTTTTCATACTAGAGACTCGATTCGAACGCAATATAGGAAACCCGCTTTTTATACTGCACAAATATGGCGGGCTTGGCAAGGCTATCAGATAATCACGTGATCGGAGATGCTCTTCTTGTCAAGTTGTCCCTCCCTTCGAGCAGGTTGGTCATTTGTAAATTGAGAATGAAATTGAATGTGTGGTGATTCAATCCTCTTGCTAAATTACTCTATCGAACCACGGTGCATGACATCCAGAGATCGCAACAGTGATCAACCAGACGGGGGAAGATGGCCCTAGCTTTAGAATCAACGTTCACTCACCACACCTATGACAATGTCGAGTTACTCTCTGTGGGGGTAGAGTCTGCCAGCGCCAAAAAGTCAATGACAGGACAGTGGCCTTGTGTTGGAACTTATTATCGGCCCAAAGGACAGAGTCCAGAAATTGTCTTCATGCTTACACACTATTCTGCTGACTTCTCCAATCACTATTTGTCCGGTCCGCTAGCCTCGCGAGGCTTCGGTGTCCTCGGTTATGGTATTCGATTCAGAGCACTAGAAGAGAAATTTATTCTTGAAAAGGCTCTGGACGATATCGCCGCTGGGGTCCAATGGATCTCTGACAACACCAAAGCCAGAAAACTTGTCTTCATAGGAAATTCAGGAGGAGGGTCGCTAATGGCAGCATTCCAGGCCAAGGCTGAGAATGATTATTCTCTTAGAGGAGCTGACGCCTTTGTCTTCCTCAACGCTCACCCAGGGAGGGCTGACGCTATTACTATGTATCTTGACCCTTCTGTCATCGACGAGTCCGACCCAACTCATCGCGATCCATCGTTGGATATGTACAACCCGGTAAATGGACCACCTTATTCTCCTAAGTTCCAAACATCATACAGGCAGGCTCAGGTTGAGCGAAACCATCGTATTACTGCCTGGGGAAAGGCTGAACGCAAACGATTGAACAACGCCGGTATTTCTGATCGAATATTCTCGGTCGACCGAACCTTTGCAGATCTGCGATTCCTTGACCCTACCATCGACCCATCGGATCGAAAGATAAACCTCTGTTTCTACGGAGAACCCAAACAGGCAAACAATGGTCCAGGCCTTCTTGCTCGCGCCACCACAATAGAGACATGGATGTCAATGTGGAGTTTGCAAGAATCTAAAATCAGATTCAATCTCATCGCCACTGACTTCACCTTGCCAACCCTGGTCGTGCAAAGCACCGGCGACGTGGGAGTCTTTCCATCGGTCGCTAAAAGCATTTTCGACATGGTTGGCTCAAAGGAAAAAGAGCTTCATTTTGTAGCTGGCGAGCATTTCTTCGAAGATGGTCAAGAGAATCTAGAAGCAGTATCTGACCTGATAGCTGACTGGACACGAAAGACATTAAGTCTTTGAGGTAAATGTTATGGATCAATGCAGGTTGGATGACTGTTGAGCTTTATTACCTACGCAAATCAGGCGTATAGAATGTCCGTCCAACCCATATGGGGCCTAAAACCTCGCCCTCGTCATGACTGAGTAGAACCTTCAGTGCGAGAACTGCGAGTCCGTCAGCGTGTCTGTGCACCAAGAATCGGTTACTGAGAGGGTTGCGATCGGAATCACTCTAAATGGATGCTGGAAGAGCCTCTCATCAACTACAAAGTTTTGTACCCAGATAGCTTTAACACTATTCCCTCTTTTCTCTGGATTACTTCTTGATCACACTGAACTGATGTCATGATTATCACAGTGATGCTTTTACTTGCAAGGAAGATACCTATCACAAATAAATCGTTACTGTGGAAGCATCTGCCTAAATGTCTGTCTTTTGGCTTTCGGCCTCCTGAGTGGAATGACGATGCTTGGTTGCGAGCTTCTCAACCGGTGCATCAACGCGGAAGTTCATGGTCTGGTGCAAATCACCCAGGAAAAGGCACAAAATGCATGCCAGAATGCCAACAGCAATTGCGATGTAAAAGATGACTCTCAGAGAGTCAGCAAATGCCTGCTTGTATGCAGCGTCTCCAACCGTAATTATGGAAGACGTTACTCCGTCAACCTCTTCAACGGCAGTCATGTTTCCCGATGATAGAGCTGTAATAAAAGCCGGGAGGGAGCTTGGCGGAAGTCCAGCCTGTGCAGCCGCCTCGCCGACCTGTTTTGGTATTTGAATGGCGAGCCCCTCGTTGAAGGCGGCTGAAAAGATGGGCGTGAAGACAGCTATGGCAACCGCGCGTGCTGAGGTCGTAATAGCAGTAGCCGTGGCTAGAAGCTTATGAGGTACAGATAGCTGGACTCCAGCGACCACTAAAACCAGGGGACCACCAAAGCCGATACCAGCCAGAGCAGCTAAGGCCATTGATTGGAAGTCATCGTCCGGCTGAATTGACGCGAATGATCCGATGCCGGCGGTGAATATCACGAATCCAACGAATAATGGCACCCGAATGGATCTGGCTTTTGAGCTCCATGCGGCAAATAACATGCAGGTGATGAACGCAGAGATCCAGAAGGGTAGACCACGACACACCTGGAGGAAGGGGTCCGGTTCGAATAATGCTACTGTCCTGTTGACTGTTAGTTAAATAGCTTTCGGGTAGTACTGATGGAAACTTACATGACTGGGAAGAAAATAATGAAGGAAAAAATAACAATACCTTCAAGGAAAAGGAGGGCCACGCACAGCGCAAAGGTTCGGCCTTGGGTTTTACCTCCACGGAACAAGTCGTGATGCATAATTCCAGTCTTGGTTCCCAGCCACTCATACAATCCAAACGCGATGAGAATGAGTCCGCCGAGGATAAGGGGAACCAGAGTTTTCGCACTTGTCCAAGTATAGAGGCCTCCACCAAGGTTCAGCCCTACGATGAACAAGGTAAGGCCGGATGTAAGAAGACCATTCCCCAGTAGATCAAGCTTGCCCAGCTTCTGCCATATGGTGATTTCAGTAAACAAGTGTCGTTGGGGAGGATTGTAGCCGAAGAACAAAGCAGCCACAGTCGTGCCCCAAAGGGCGAATTGGAACCAATAAAAGTTTCGCCATCCCTGCTGCTCGTTTTGTTGCACCATATACCCGATGATCATAGGTCCTGAGATACCGGCAAGAAGAGCTGCGCTATTACAGAAACCTTGAGCCATCGGGCGCCATTTCCTGGGAAGAATTTCGCTGGGTACCGCGTAAGCAAGAGGCACGACAGCAAATCCGACCCCGATCAGGGTTTGGGCTGCAATTAGTCGACCGATTGACCTCGACCCGGGTGCGATTGCGCATCCAATAAATGCGACTCCGCAGCAGCCAACTAATATCGCCTTGCGAGCCCGAAAGGTATCCGAAGTCAAAGAGATCATTGGTCCCAACACAGCTTGGACAAGAGACAACGCGTTTGGAATCCAAGTCTGACTCCGGGTTGCATTGAGATCTCGGCCAATGAAGGTAAGCTGGAAGAGAGTGAGCCTTCTATATTGACGAAAGGCGAGCAGAAGAAACGTACCACCGCGGGAGGTGCTTGCAATGCAATTACCATTGCATAGTTGAGAAGGAACATGGCTGCAAGGGCGATGTACGTCCTCGCATGCAGTTCTGGCTCCTCTTCTTCGTCGAGATAGACAACATCTCCATCCATACTAGTCTCGACATCTATCTCAGCATTTTGATGATCAGATGCATCCTCAATCTCGTCCTTGGTATTCAAAAACTTCTCAGGGGTGGGAAGGGGGTTTGTTACGAGGTCAGCGTTCCCTGCCATGTTGAACTTGCAGTAACCTTGGGCAAGAATGTGTGCTGGCAAGTGATGTGATAGATTCCCCATCAGCACTGTGGCCTTTTATATCTCGAAGATGATCGTGGTTCACCAACAGTCCCCTATGGTATTTTCGGCTCCCTAAACCGTTGTTTCCCCAGATTTCTCCGCAAAATTAAGACTGAGGTCCCGACTTCATTGTAAGCTACTGGTAGCAGCCCTCTCCCGTCCACGTGCTCGGTCAAAGTCACATGATGTGTCCCTTGCTTATCCTCTGCGTGCATCAAGCAGGCTAGATATTGCCTGGGCAAAGGATCAAGATAGTCTGGTCTTTGCAATAGGGGTGGGGGAACAGTATAGCCGTCTGAATATTGCCAGTCACTATGCACGTCTATGATTAAAAGCACGATCGAATTGTTCAATTGATATTACACGCTGCCGTTGATCTAGATGTGACAGCACTCGTTCCACGCTTGATAAAAAAATCACCATTCGTAGAACTTAGATGCGACGAATCATTGATACATAATGAATGTTTTTATTTTGTGAATAGTGGACTCAATAGACTTCTTGCGCACCGGTCTGGCGCATCAAGTTCAGGTCCGGTTTCAAACCGCGCTCTGCAGCCTCAGGTTCCTGTTCAGCGGTAGCGTCGTGGATGCGCTGAAGTGCCCGTTTCACTTCTGGCTTGTCGAACATTGTCTTCGTCCAGCGTTCCAACAGCGGATAATCTGCCAGAGATAGACCGATATATGCGCTTGAGCGCATCCATGGAATATAATGAATGTCGGCTGTAGTAAACTTGCCGGGGAGGATGGTGTCCCCCCCACTTCGTTTCAGCTGTGCTTCGACGACTCCATAGACACGGTAGACTTGTTTGATGTACCGTGCCGCAGCATCATCGTTCTTGGGTTGGTGGTAGTATCTAACAATCGTCAGAGGACATGGAAAATCAGGGTTGACGCAACGTTTGGGGACTGACTTGAACCATACTACTTGGCCTGTGAAAGGGCCAAGTGTCGTCACCAAGAGATATTCCCAGGCTTCAAGGTCCGCTTTAGCTTGCTCACTACTGTCCACCGCGCCAAGGAGATTTTTGCTGTCATACTGACGCTTCAGGTAATTCAGAATCGCACCGCTCTCCCAGGACGTTACATTCGTGTTCGGATCCTCTAAAGCAGGTACTCGCCCATTTGGGTTTATTTTGATAAAATCTGACCCTTTAACACCTTTCCTGTCTCCATCGTTAAACTCCCATATCTTCACTATGTAGGGAATCTGTAAAATCTCAAGCGCTATTGCGACCTTGACAGGATTAGGGGCAGTGGGATGGGCATGTAGCAGAAGGGGCTTTAGTGAAGTCATGCTGGTCGGTCTTGACGAGGATGTCGTACGTTCTCAAGAAAACAAGACGTGGTTGATAGAGCATGAAAGCGAGCCCCAAAACTTTGCGGTGCATGAAGATATGTTCTCCGGCGAGAGTTCCCAGGCTTTAACGTGATACAAACCTTGTCATCACTTTGAAGGAAGCTGAAAGTGCCGATCACATGACATCACTATCAATTGACTTCGACCCTTGCAGAGCGTTCGCTGTAACAAGACGATGGGTGACCTTCGGGGTTCGTCGCACATAGAGTTTTGGAGATTTTAGTGAATCTAGCAGGAGGGACGTCATATTGACCTGAAATGTATCTCCGAGGAGGAATGAAGCCCCGGTATACCCTTTAGAAACAGCATTTTTCACGTGGAATCATCCAGCCACAACTTTCCAGCGGTTGAGTGTAAGATTATCTCCGGCCACGTGACCTGGTAGCTTGTAGACATCCTAAGGTGTCCTGGGGAGATGCTCTGTCTCATGTATACCTCGAACAAACCCTAGTGCTTATCGAGGCACTTTCGGCCTGGTTGCCGCTTTGTGCATAATTTCTCTCGACGCTCGATGTTCGATTAGATTATTGACGATTTCTAGGGCAACTTCTCCTCGATCCTTGGCGGCCGGGATGCCTTTCAACTCAAGCTCCATCAAATTGTTGTGAGGCATTAGCCGGAGTAAGTCGAGGTTCGGACCATGTCTCAGAGCATGGCCGAGGCAAGCCACTCTTGCAATGTTGTTCCGACGAACGATCAGAACAAGTACTCAGGATTTTCAATGATCGACATGACTGATCACCAGGTGGTCACTCCCTGGAGCGGAGATGCTATCGCAAGGCTCGGGCTACTTAGATACTGGAACTTGAAGCCGAGGTTTTCAGCCAACACGAGGACTACGCACGACAGGTGATACAAATGATAGATTAGTAACCCTAGTCACAGGACAAAAATGGCTATAGGGCATCAAAGGTCAATAATTTCCTAATCTAATGACCTGGCACATTAAGTGGTCGTTTGTTCAGGATATCCAGTCAAACTTCTCCCCAAGATATCTGTTCGCACGCATGTCACCTGACCTCGCATGGCCCTCGAAGTTCTCTGCTCGTGCAGCTCGCCCGCAGAGTTTGCCCAGCTGTCCGCTTTCTCTCTCCGATGTAACTTCTTGATAAGTCACAGTCTTCAAATACTTGCCTACCCATAAACCTCCTGTGTAACGTGCCGCGCCCTTTGTAGGCAACACATGGTTGGTGCCAATGCACTAAAAGGTCTCGATCAGTATATATCCCGATGCCGACAAGAGTATTGAGTGCGAGTAGATTTGACACGAACCTTATCACCATAGCTCACACATGTCTTATCGCCTAAGAACAAGGCGCCGAAATTTTTCATCTTGTCCAACGCTTCTCTAGGATTCTCCGTGAGTATCTGAACATGCTCGCTTGCATAGTCGTCCGCCAGGTCATAGGCTTCTCCCAAGGTTTTGGTAACAATGACTTCTCCAAAAGCATTCCAGCTACCCCCAGCCAAATCTCTAGTCGGGAGAATTTCCAACTGCCGATTCACTTCTTCAATCGCTTTCTCTCCCAAAGATCTGGAGTTTGTGATCAATATGGCAGGGGTATCAGGACCATGCTCAGCCTGGCTCAACAAGTCCGTAGCCACAAGAACTGGATCGGCCTTCTCGTCGGCGACTATCAAGACTTCTGTTGGTCCTGCGGGCAAGTCGATACCAATTGTTCCGAAAAGCTGGCGTTTCGCTTCAGCAACAAATGAGTTACCAGGACCAGCGATGAAGTCCACCTTGCCTACAGTTTGAGTTCCTAGCGCCATAGATGCGATTGCCTGCACTCCACCAAGAATGTAAATCTCGTCTGCGCCGGCTAGGTGGGCAGCGGCGACCGTGGCAGCCGGGATTTTGCCATGAATCGGAGGGGTACATGCGATGACTCGTTGGACTCCAGCAGCCTTAGCGGTGACAATAGTCATATGAGCTGAAGCTAGAAGCGGGTACCGTCCACCAGGGATGTAGGCTCCCACAGACGAAATTGGGATGTTCTTCTGACCCAACCAGACACCGGGCCTCATTTCAATCTCAAATTCTCGTAGCGACTTCCGTTGCGCCAGTGCAAAGGTTCGCACATTTTGTTGTACGGTATGTATGTCATCGAGGGTTTGCTGTGGTACTTGAGCAATGATTGCGTCAATATCGGTTGGGGAAAGCAAAAATGATGCTGGTGTCCACTTGTCGAATTTTTCCGAGTATGCTCGAACTGCCACATCACCCTTGCATCGAATCTCATCGATAACCGAGCGAACAACAGCAGGAACGTCCAATTTCGGTGTGCTAGAAACGTTCTCCACTGAAGCCTTCGCTTTCAGATAGATAGGAGACATGATCAGCATAATAAGAATGCAGCAAAAATTGTCAATGCTATTAAATTTGAAACCTCACAAGTGGAAGACTGTTGAAACCTTTGTTCGTCTTCATATAGTTATCAGTCCATGCATGAGACATATCCAGTCTTTGACTTGCTATTGACTAGACAGTTTCTTTTGTTCCGATCAGTGTGATCTCCACATTTAGAGCCCCGACTGTGGCGGGTGAGTATCGGGGCACAGACGGGAGCTGTTAACACATTAAGGGGAAGTGGTTTTAGTGTGACTGTGACGCATGGCAAAGTTTCGTGAGACTGTCGATGAGTGGCCAAAGTTGTTCCCGCATTACAGTTCTATATCGATCACAAGAGTGAACAAGCGAATTCGGCATTGTGACTAAGGGGGCTATTCCTGTGATCATAATTCTTTACAGTGGCCATAATCGAAGCATGGCTAATTCCAAAGTTGCTCTTGTCACAGCTTCTTCCGCCGGTCTGGGCGCCGCCATTGCCACAAGTCTTGCAATCGCAAACTATAGAGTGGCAATCAACTACTTTGCCTCTCCTCATCGAGCTGAGACAGTCATTGAGGATATGGAAAGGGTGGTTGGCCACAGTTCCTCAGAGCCATCCGAAAAATTCATCGCCATAAAAGCAGACATTGGCCAGCCATCAGAGATTCGTACACTTATAGCAGACGTGATCTTAAAATTTGGTCGACTCGATCTGGTTGTTTCGAACGGTGGATGGACACGTATTACCGATTTCGCAAACCTGGAGGGAAATGTTGACGAGACAGACTGGGATCATTGTTGGAATTTGAACGTCAAAAGCCATCTCTTTCTCCTGCACGCAAGCAAAAAGTATCTCGAGGACCGGGAGGGGTGCTTTATCACGATCGCAAGCGTCGCAGGTGTTAAGCCTAGCGGGAGCTCTGTGGTACACTACCATTTCCCCCTTGCCACCTCCTAAAAATCCGGAGCGTTTGCTAAAAACTGCCATCAAAAAGCCTTACGCAGTCACCAAAGCGGCACAGATATACATGGTAAAATGCCTTGCCGGAATTGCGGCCCCTAGAGTTCGAGTGAACTCAGTGTCGCCGGGAATTTTGATGACGGTGAGTTAACCCGGGCATTTCTGGTGCCGCAGAGTTCCCTGTACAACAAGAGCTAACGGAAGAAGGATTGGGGTCGCCAGTTCTCGGAACAGAGACTGGAAAATGCGCGAGGGAGGGCTGCGCTGCAAAGGTTTGCGACAGTACAGGTACATGGTACAAAACTTCAAATGGTGGGAACCTGACTAACAATGTCAATTTTACGCCATCAAAGGACGTTGCACAGCAGGTTCAGTTGTTAGCTGAGAACAGATCAATGACTGGCGTCAATATCGTGGTGGATGCGGGATTCTCGCTTGGTTCTTGAAGACCTGAGGGAAATCTCAAGGAAAGGCCCAGGATTTCCTTGAGTACGGCAATGGAGTCTCCTTATCCCGGCAGATTCTTCCAAATGATTCAAAATAGTTTCAAATTCTTAGATACTGGAATCAAGAGTTCAAAAGTGTTGTAGAATGACTGGTCAAGTGCCCACCGTCCCTATAAGGCAGCAATCTCTCGGATGTCAACTATGCGCCTAAGATCACCAAAGATTACGGCTAGACAATATTCAAGTATCGTCTTCACATTCGGTGTTCACTCCCTCTCACCACCAATGCAACAGACGATTTTCCACCCATACCTCGATCCGGTTGCCAACCTTTCCGGCAACGACAGTGCCCTTATCTGGAAACTCAGGGCTATTTCCGTCACTTTTCGAATGAAATGAATAGCCAGCACCGCCGAGTTTCGTAATACCCATTTCTCTTAGTTTGGTCGCAATTGTTACTCTGGTCCTGTCAAGAGCCACGTTTGTTGAACTTGATGCATCAGGGACACTGGGTCTTACTATCCACACTCTTGGGTCTTGCAGATAGGCGACCCTTTTCGTGATATAGTGATCCTTGACCTTTCCAAGTACGCTGTCCACATTTGGGGGCCCTATATGGCCAAGAATAGCGCCGCGCTGAGACCCAATGACGACCACAAAGCAGCCTCGAATGCCCTGCGTCCCTATCATATGAGGTTCTTCGTCAAACGCTTGGAAAGATGCTTCATTTAAGTGAACCTCATTCAGTGAACGATTGACGAAGGCTCCGCGAAACTTTCCGTGAAAATTCTGCGACATGATGATGATACGAGACTTAGTCGCACTTCGACAATTGAATTGCTATGTCAAAGAGGCCAGAGTCAGTTGTGGAAGATAGGCGCGAGTGTCGGTGGGTGTTTGGGGGTAGCCCGGCTTCAAACATCGCAGTCAGACCCATATGTGTCAGTCATATATCGACCTTCTCTCGGGGACACATTCACCGTAATAGCAAGGAGTCATATCTGGTAACTATTTACGGAAGGCCGTCTTCAACGTAGCTGCAGGAGGTCGAGCAGATGAAACTTGCTCGCCTTTTAAAACAACGCCCGCCATTGCGTAACGACTTTTGTGAACTCGGCTACTATGCGTCTGAGTCCAAGTCCCTGCCAACCCTCCAGGTCCTTCTCGATAACGGTTGGGACATCAATATGCCTGAGAGTGATTCACATCCGCCATATCTAGACTAAGAATACCCAAACATAGCAAAGAGACCCATTATACTAAAACCGCCAGGCACGCTATCGAGTCAGGTGCCGATGAAGATGTCGTTCAATGGTTTCTCGCCCACGGCGCGAACCCTAACGCCTTCGCTACGAAGCACAAAGCGACGCCGCTCTCTCGTGCCGTCCAATACGCGAGTGTGAAAATTGTCCAACTTCTTCTAGTTAGTGGTGGCTCCGTGGAAAAAGGCGAACTGGTCTTCTATACTTGCCGGAGACCTGCAGGAGACACGGACGCGTTGATAATCCTCCAGATGTTGTACGAAAGAGGTGCACCGGTCGATAATGTCCTCTTTGCAGACTTCGATGAGCTTCGCAAAGTTTCGATGTTCTCCTCAACTCCTCTATGGGAGTCGATTGCGATGGGCGACGTTTCAAGAGTCCTTTTCCTTCTGGATCGTGGTGCGAGTACAATGGCCAAAGAGGCAAGCCTGTGTATATCACCACTGGAGAAAGCAAGACAATGTGGAAACCCGCAGATTGCCAAGATAGTATCCGAGGCATCAAAAAGGGTGATATTAGATATCAAAATTGGATCTTGACGAGACGAAAGAAAAGAATTGGATGCTGGCCCGAAGTCGTCAGCAAGACGACTCCACCACTGCCGTCAATTCTCCAAGTCTGGGAGGACGCTATCGCCTACAACAACGTATACAAAACCTCTCCACAACAGCATCGTCTATAGGACATGTATCGGTGACGACGAAATTGGAAATAGGCGTCCTTGATTTGTCACTGATCCTGTCTAGCCTCGTGGATATTCAAAGCTGAGTTCTGGGTCGCTGATCGGAAGTCTTTTTGACCCTGGACTATGCTGTTCAACTATCTCTCCAGGTGTTACTAGGACGATTCAATGGAATATTCGAATATCTCTCTTAGTCGAGGGTTTATAACCTCGAGACTATTAATCTTTCTACTCAATCGCTCCTCTGGTTTGAAACTTGGACTATACGAGACAAGTCAAGATTTCAGGGGGGTGCACAAGAAAGTTGTCAATTACCCAAGCCATAGTCGTGTTGGTCACGCCATCAGCCAGCGTCAACCAATGCTGATTAGTCACACTTGTATCGTTGACCCACGCATTTGAAGCATTGCTTGCAGTGATGGTGTTGTACCCGTCCTCATTGGCATAACTCAAGAGAGGCCACATGCCGATCTCAGCAAATCCGTCAAGCCCCAAAACCCCATACAATACTGCAATCGGGTCCCAGGTCTCACGACGGACAGATCCACGAGTCACATACCACTGATAAGCGGAAATGATTGGGGATTCATTCGATGTGAGTGCTTCTGCCAATGGTCTGTCGCCCGAAAATATGTTGTTGCCCAGTTCGCCGCCAGAGAAGGTAATGGGTACAGATTCTGGGAGGTTCGCAATGACATACGCCGTACTGTCAGGATCGGTCCCACCAAAGTTATACTCCCAGCCGAATGGATAACGACCTCCCATGATGATCATTTCGCTCACTTTAGCAGCCACGAGCTCTTGTCCCGTCAAAGGACTAATGTCATCGCCTTCAGACCGTAGCAGGTCGGCAAGATTGGTGAGAAAGCCAATGGAGATAATATGCATGCTGTTGTTGTCCGCAGAAGCAAGAATCGATCGATAGAGATCAACAGGCGTTGGGCTTAACGAAGCGTTAGTAAGAGTCCCAGGCCAGTTGTAGGCAACTTTGCTGGCATATTCGCCTCTCCTTCAAACAGATTAGACTTGGAAAGCCAAACCAATTGCCTGACTTACACGTAGTCCCAGTCATCGAAGAACGTCACATTGGACAACGGACGGAGAGCTGCCACAGGCACCTCTGGATTCCCAAAGTATGAACAAATCGACTTTGGGAGGTTAGTCGCGTGACTGAGACTAGAGACAAACACGTACACTTGCGGCAGGGGCACCATGTTCCGACGGTGTGTTGATTATGACCCCCTTGAGGTCGGCCAGGCCACAGTTCTGTAGAACATTGGCGATCGCTAATGCGCCAACATCATCGACATCGCCAAACAAGTCGGTGTCGATTATGATAGGTTGTGGTGATGCGAGGGCTTTAGCAATGAATGGTAGGCTATTCGCAGCGAGGAGTGCAACAGGGATCACGGATCGCATCTTCGCAGTCTGTCGAAGAGGAATAATTACAAGTGTGGAGGATTTAGAACACAGTAAACGTGATTGGAGAACCTCTATAGACTGCGACGAGTCGCATTGCCCATTTTATGTGTCGAGGAACTGACATTGGGTAATAGATCGTGGGTTACCGAGAACAACTTCGAGATTAGCACATCTTCTGCCATAGCTAGCTCTCTCCCAGTTGACCCGATATGAGGCGTCCAAGATGCAATATTCTTGATGCTAGACTCGTAGCTGAGATATCTGGCATGTGGCAGCAATCATAGTAACCCGATGGGAGTACAAAGTGGTTGGGCTAAGTAATCTCGTACGACAGATGGCGAGATATGATTGGAGGATAGTCACGTTCCTAAACCGACATTTGCGTTATCATGATCGACACTGCGGGTCGGGATTTTGATAAAGTTGCTTAGTACGACATCAATCGCGGGGTTATCGACCTCAGCTTGTCTGGAGAATTCTTACGGTCTCGAACCAACACAAACAAAGATTTTCGTGGCCTGACGTGCCAATCCCTGAATTTGGCGGTATTGTAAAGGTATATCTTCTGGCCGCCTGTCCTGATAACCAAGCATGCCAATCTGTGAACCCCTCGTCTACTGATTGCCGAATCCTCAAGGCCACGTCGTGAATCAACACAAGGCCTATCTAGCATACAGTCACTACGCTTAACCTACACACACATCCTAACTTTGGCTCTCGTGGAACCTTCAGCAACAATGGCGCCAACAAAATATCTGGATCGACCGATCCCGGCCATCTCCCTTGCAGACTTTGATTCCCGCATCGACGAGATCACGGAGCAGCTTTGCTCTGCAGCAGAAAGTGTTGGATTTTTCTGCGTCGTCGATCATGGTATCCCAGTGACCACTATCGAGGAAGCTTTTGAATTGTCATCAAAATTCTTTGCGCTTCCAGATTCCGTCAAGGCCGCTGTGCCATTTTCCAATAATGCTGGCTGGGAGAAGAATGCTCAAATCCGTCCCTCTACTGGCGCGGCTGACCGCAAAGAATCTTACCAGATGCAATTCGGCGCCAACATGGAGGGAAAATGGCTTCCTGATTCCGAACTACCAGGCTTTCAACTCTCTGCGCTCACTTTCATGCACCAAGTACAGGCTGTCTCTGAAAAATTGATGAAATGCTTCGCACGAGGCCTTGGGTTCGACGACAACTACTTCATCCGAGCACATGACATCAGCCGTCCAGAGTCCCAGACTGTTTGCCGCCTTTTGCACTATTTTGAGGTACCAGCGGATAACGGGCGTGCGGGTGAGGTGTGGCATCGTGCTGGTGCCCACACTGATTGGGATCTTCTCACTTTACTCTTTCAGAAAGGCGGCCAGTCGGGGCTCGAGATCTGCCCTGGTCGTGAGGTGAGCACGTCTTTCGGCTACGGTGACACATGGACCAAGGTCGAGCCCTCAAGCACTGGCGCCATCATTTGCAACATCGGTGATTTGCTCATGAGCTGGTCCGACGACCGCTTCAAGTCAACTTATCATCGAGTCAAGGCCCCCACAGAGCCAGGCGACTACTACGGAGAGAGATACAGCATTGCCTTCTTCAACCAGCCTTGCCACGATGCGCTGATCCAAGGACCTAAGAAGAAGTACCCACTCGTGACTGGAGCAGAGTTTACCAGGAATGCAATGAACCTCTACTACGCTAAAACAATGGCGGAAAAGGAGAAGAAACTTGCCGAGCCTACCAAGATGGACGTAGGCGGTAAAATTGTTGATGGAATTGGAGCATAAAGAGTCGCTGGGACACGCCTGGGCAGTGCGATTTGTGTGTTTGAATTAATGAGAAATCACCTTCTGTGGCATCGCTCGGTCTACAAAATGCATATTCCTTCTGGGTCTACCAAGACACCTCATCTGTTGTCTCTCCTTCCATTAAAGCCAGTGCGAACCTCTTGAAAAAGATACTCCTCCTTGAAAATCCTTCTGACAGATTTAAATTCGCGATACATTGTTTCAATAGCAAAGGAAATTTTAACTGCGGCATTTTCCAAGATTAAGATGGTCTCCTGAAAGATGTGCACAATTTGTCTAGGGGCAGAAGCTTAGTTTTCATAAGCAGAGAACGGATTTACTTGGAAGACATCATCAACGACATTAAATACCATTACGAGGTAACTATATGTTAGGGAATTATTCACCTCTACGCTCTGCATGGGGTAGAGCTGTCGTGACCCCGTCTGAATCAGTACCAAACAACAGTTTATCCATCTCACTCTTGTCGTGGGGAAAGACGAGATTCAAGAACACTCCAACCACGGCTGCGATGATGAATGGTGTCTCCACGACCAAGTTGATCCCTTGTTCGAATCCTTGAAGATGCACATTTGGACCACTGTAATCCAGAATCTGGTGGAACCACGTCGGTGTGACAATATCAATGAAACCGATGCCAAGAGAGATGGTGAGAATGAAACGATTGCGTCGGTTGAACTGCACCATTCCCAAAATTCTGATACCTGCAACAACGATAGTGCTGTAGAGGAAGACTTGCATCCCACCAAGGACTGACGGTGGCATAGCTGAAAAGACAGCGCCGAATTTGGCGAAGAAACCCATGAGAATCAAGAAGCAAGAAGCTGCCCAGCCGGCACGTCGAGACTGCAACATTTTTGTCAGCAAAGATTTTCTTAATTCGTGTATCTTACAAGAAAGGAAGGAGGGCTTCTTACCGCACAGCCAGTGATGACAATGACACCGTTATTTCCTGCCTGAGCAACCATTGGTCCAGCAGTTCCCAGAGCGCTGATTAAGCTGCCCAATCCATCGCAGAGAATACCACCCTGGATCCGACTGTTGAACACTGTGCCCTCGACGTCAACACCAGAGATCTCTGCTGTGGCGAGAATGTCAGGCATGCAGCTGACGCCCTGGCAGATGAACATGATGAGCAGTGGAAGAACCAAGGCTCCATCCACAGACAGTCTGAATGTGTGAACCCAGAGAAAAGTGACCACTGGGGCAGAGTCGATGTTCTCCCTAGACCAGTAGCCTGTTGCGCCAGAGATTGCGCATCCGACAGCGAGCCCGATCAGAACGGAGCCAGATTTCATCAGAGGAGCACCAAATTGCTCCACCAAAATGATGCTGACAAAAACACTGAAACCAAGTCCGATCAACTTTGGGTCAGCCCAAGGGAGGGGTCTCGGTGCCGCCACATTGGGGCACAAGGCATAGAAACCCTCACCGCCATTGCAATTGTATGAGCCAGCCCAATTCTGCATTCCATTTGAAATCAAAAATACACCAATTAGCAGCAACAGCGAACCAGTGATCATTTTGGGAAAGACTTTGTTGAGAAGACGAGGAGGTACGAGCGACATGCCAATTTGGATGAAGACAGTGCAGAGCATCGTTCCCAGAAAAGCTCCCCATGCATCGGGGCAGGGGAGTTGTGTTCCATCCTCGGCGACAGGACACGTTCCATTATTATAGCGCATGCTGGTGTATGAAAATGCAATAGGAATAATATCGAACGTCGGTCCCACGACTGACAACAGACCGGTGCCGATATAGAAGGGCGTGCCTTTGATGTGAACTCTAGTGACTTGAATGGCAGTGGCAATCCCAGTGGTGATGAAAGCTGCCGAGACCAGGTACGAAACCTGCTGCGGTTGTAGATGGAAGGCTCCAGATGCAATAGCTAGCGGTGGCGACACAACTGATCCGATCATGATGAGTGCATGTTGCAGACCAAGGATAATCGTCAGAAGGATGGGAACTCGATCATGAAGGCCATAGAATGGTACCGATTTCTCCTTGTGTCTCCTGTTGAAAGGAGGAATATTGGGGGTGACCAGGTACCAATAGTCATAATCTCCCACCCAAGCGTCTTTCGACGTGATGTAAGTCGAGAACTCGGAAAATCTGTCCTGAAAGGTGAGTTTCTTTGCCGTTCCTTGATTCATTGTCTCATCTGTCGATGTGTTGAGGCTTTCCGACACCATCTTGCTGTCCTCTGTTGCCATCTTTGCGGGCTCCATGGATGATTAACGGGATTCGAGAACGTGACCAAGATCAAAAGCCGATATTCTCAAGAGATCAAGGTGGCCTGAGCCATACGGGATATTACTGCCACCTTATATCCTCCAATATCCTGCATGAATCCATTAATTGACCTTACTTTAATCCAACATGGAGGAAGCCGCTTTCAAAGGCATTTGATTGGGTTGAGGGACAGTATCAGTGGCCGTACGACAAATATCCTTTACCATCCTAGATTGCATATCACCTTATCGCCGAGAGTCGAGCGCGGAGTTTGAACTTATCTGTCGTGGGTATTTTCGTACAGAAGCGCAAATATGATTGGCTCCCAGATACGATGGCCCGATAAACTGTCGGGTCAAAAGCCATGTGGGAGAATGGGCCCCTCGCTCGGACCAGGCGCTAACCCGAGTCTCTCAACGAGAGGGTTTGGCATCCTCCAGTGTCGAAGCAGTCACTTGTCTAGATCATCCTACATCGGTCACTTCCGATTCGACGATCAATTTTTCAAGAAATGCCTAGTCGTGCTTGATCTAGACGTGGGAATGTTAGTGTTCAACGACAGGACCTCCAAATCAATAGCCACACTCGAGAGCAAGAGGACCGCCAAACATCTCTGAAACAGACACATCTATGGCTGCCGTACGGACCTTGTTCTCAAACGCTACGATCATCACAGTAGATGATGACAAGGCAATTTGGTTGGATGGGGCCATCTTGGTTGATGGGAACCGAATAGGTGCAATTGGGAAAACGGAAACGTTGCTCCATCACCCTCTGCTGCAACCAGATTCAACGATTATCGACTGTCAAGGCAAGATCATCATTCCGGGTCTCATCAACACGCATGCACATCTCGGCCAATCAATCCTTCGCGGCCTGGCTGAAGATGTCCCTCTTCACACTTGGCTGTGTGACGCCATCTGGCCCCTCGAAGCCAACTATGAAGACAATGACGGTTATATTGCAAGCAAGGCTACTATTGCTGAGATGTTGAAGAGCGGTACCACTTGTTTCCTCGAGGCGCTTCTTACCTATCGGAGTGGATTTGAAAACGCAGCTCGAGCCGTGGATGAGATGGGAATCCGTGGTTGCTTGGTATGGGAGACTTGATCTCTTCCGCTAGGTCTTGAGATACGAATGCTGACATCTGAATTTAGGGTAAACTCGTCAAGGTAGAGGAGTCAAACAAGTTTGGATTGTCCGATCCGCGAGATCGAGATATTTCCAACATGTCAATTGAAGCCGCAGTGACGGCTCATGGCAAATTCCACGGCTCTTGTAGCGGGCGACTTCATGTCTGGATGGCAGCGGGAACTCCTCGAGGTACAGCCGAGTCAGCTCATAAAGCCATTGGAGACGCCTGTTCTGAACATGGAATGGGCCTCACCATGCACTGTGCCGAAGCACCCAAAGACCTGGTCATCTACCGTGAAAGCTACGGCTGCAGCCCTGTGGAGTTCTGCCAGAGAACGAATCTCATTGGCAAAGATAAAAAGACTGTACTTGCCCATATGGTGAACCTCGACCTCGGCAAAGACTTGCCATTGTTGCGAGAAACCGGAGCCACTGTTGCACACAATGCAAGCAGTAATTGTAAACTTGGGTCAGGAATTGCCGCAGTGCCAGAAATGCTCCAAGAGGGTATTAATGTCAGCTTGGGAACCGATGGTGCCCCATGTGCAAACACCTACGACATGATTCAAGAGATGCGGGTTTCGGCGCTTGTCCACAAAGGCTCTCGACAAGATGCGGCGGCCATAACCGCAGAACAAGTTCTCACAATGGCAACAATCAACGGAGCCAAAGCACTTGGACTTGAGAACGAAATTGGTAGCCTTGAAGTGGGTAAAAAAGCGGATTTCGTGGTGATTGATCCTGTGGGTCTACATTGTTCGCCATTCGATCCATCGCAGGTGTTGGATGGCGGCATCGACCCCATCACGACTGTGGTGTTTTCATGCTCAGGAGCAGATGTCGATAAAGTAATTGTCGATGGGAAAGTGTTGGTGGACGATCGAAAGCTAGTCAGGTATGACGAGACTCAGATTGCACAGGAGGCAAGACAAACGATCAGGAGGATTCGCAATAAAAGTGACATTCGGACTAAAATCAAGAGAAACTATTGCTGAGAAACATAGGGTAGATTAGAATTCTGATGAAATACAAAACTTCATTTATAACTTTGCGCGTATCTAGACAACATATGCTCCTCCACGGTGAATGTCTTTCCGGTCTTGTTCTCTGCAGAATTGTCTAGACATCTGATAACGCAATCAGGGTTTCCATCCAAGAAGAACGGAATTGAATATCTCTCCGCCCCGGACTTGTTGATTACTCGGTGGATGTTACTTCTGTAAGCGCCACCGGTCCAGACATCCAACATATCTCCGATGTTGACCACGTACGCATCCTCCCGCGGTGTAACATCTATCCATTCGTTCGTCTTCTGGTTCAGCACTTGCAAGCCGGAGTTTCCATCTTGAAGCAAGAGGGTGATAGCTCCGAAATCGGTATGCGCACCTGTGCCGACCAGCGTGTCATCCTCAACGTCTGGGTGTGGGGGGTAATGAAGGAGCCGAACAGATTCGATGGGGTTCTTGCAAAAGTCGGCGAATACACTCGTATCCATATTCTTCATTCCAGACGCAAGGATACGCATGACAGTGAAGGATAACGCTGATAGTGCTTGGTGGTATTTGAGCAGCGGGATTTGGAACTGCCACGGGGGCAGCAGGTCTGACTTTGGCCAGATGTTTGGTTCGAGAAAAGGACGCGGGACATCTCCCTCACGCCCAATAAAGTATCCCTGATTTGACTCGTCAGGTCCCGAACTATTTGACAGGCCAATGTCGATTTTAGAATGCAGGATGCCTTTCTCGACTCACCTCTTTCAAGTCTGCTTTTTTGCCTGGTTCGAGGAATTGGGTCCCTAAGATCTCGTAGCCCCGGCCAGGCGTGCCGCTGAGCTTGCGCTTCTCCTCATCTGGAAGTGCAAAAAGGGCTCTGGCTGCCTCAAATGCCTGCGCCTGGAGAGATTTGGAAACATTATGCCCTACGAGTTGGAAAAATCCACTGGTAGCACAAGCTGTCCGGATTTCCTCGACAATGGCATCTGCTTCAGCTGAAGCAGGATCTTGCAAGTATGCACTAAGGTCAATAGTGGGGATGTTGAACTCCACAGGCTTCTGTGATGCCATATCGAATGTGCTGCAGTCCTTGCAATCACTGTAAATTTGTTGGAAGGATTTTCGAATTGGTCGCGAGTTCTGTAGTTGTTCTGTCAAAATGGGGGGGTGAGCGAAGCGGTTATTTCTCCTATAGAGATGCCTTTGTCGAAGATTTTGGAATGAAATTATTGTTGACTTGATTGCAGATTCATATCAGGTCGGACAGCCCCGCGTATCAGTCTATCACTGGCAGAATCGTACTAAATGAATATCTGGTAAGCATTTTAGATCAACGTACCCCGTATCTGGGCAAAGTCGGGGAATAAATCTAGAAGATCTTTGAGGGATCATTGGAAGATCTAAGATATGGCCAGATCTTCAAAGACCAACAAATATTACGATATCGATTTCGGGGGAAGAGAGATAAGCGGGCGATATGCAAATTGCCTGTGCTTGCTCCTATTGGTGCGCTGGTACGATAAAAGTCACGTGTCATGCATAAATCGGCCGAACATCATCGGGCTATCTTAAGCATGACATTGGTCGATCTTCTAATTCTGCCTCTGATATCCCTCCTATATCCTAGTCCCATTCTTCATCTCATCTTTCGCCTCTACACTGCACTAAAATGGCCAAAGCACGGAAGCGGAGTACATGTACAGAATGCAGTCTGCGACGCCAGCAATGTGATAGGAGAATACCGTGCGGGCGATGCGTCAAGCGTGGGATCCCGGATAAGTGCCAATTGAATTGGCATGAAGGCCGATACGATCCCTCGAAGCATCGAGCCTATCCATCAAGGCAGCGTGAATTGAGGCCGACTTCCCCGAGAGGTACGACAGACCAGTCGGTCACTACTGGACTCCTTGACGATCTACCCGCGCAGACAACATATCTCGAATCTGAGACGCCACGGGAGATTTCCCACTCGAGCGCACCACGTCCGCGATATGTTTTTGTCCCGTACGAAAGCAGTCAACTCCGCAAGAGTTCGGTAGACGTCGCTGGTGGAATGAACGCATCCATATTCTCTTCCATCGGGTCTGCCTCGCCTCCGCTGTCAACCGTCGCAGTTCATGAGGCGTATCTACAAATGCTCCTGCCCAGTTTGGACCACATCTGGAAGCTCGTCGATTACCACGAAGTATATCTCCTCTGGTATCATTGTTGTTATCATGGGCCGACATTTCGATCCGAGCTCGAAAGCGTGATTTCTGAGCAGGAGGATAAGACGACACTTATCGTTGCTGGGCTGGATCTGCAATGGCTGGCACTGCTATTCTCGATTATGGCTGGTAGCTTAACTTGCACAGCTGAGTGGCGACTAAGAGATTGGGGCTTTTCTCGGGTCGAAGCTGTCAAACTGTCGAAGCAATGGTACAAGGCGGCCATTGCGAGTCTGAACCATGGCGAATGGACTTCGGACCGCAAGTTATGCTCGGTGCAGGCCGTCACTACATTGACGATGTCCGCTCACTGCCTTGGTTACTCTACTGAGCTTTCCATCCTTCTTGCGGCTGCATTGAAGATCGCACAAACTCTTGGACTTGACAAACTCAGTCATCATGAGCCCGCGGAGAGGATCGATGAGACTTCTTCCAATAGCCAGCGGCTCCAGTTACTGAAACGTGAACTTGGTAGGAAACTATGGTCACAGCTGTGCGTCCAAGACTGGATGTCACTCCCCTTTTCCGGAAGTCATGATATCAACCCATTGCACTTCACCACAACGAAGCCATCAAGTCGAAACCACTTGACGATGGAGTATCTGCCGGCTACGTTTCCAACATATATCAGCTACGGTAACTACATCTTTGAGATCTCTAAATTGGTAGTGCGGCACCATGAAGCAACACTGCAGTCAACCACCCCATTCACTAGATACCAGCACGTTTTAGACTACGACGCTCAGATGAGAGATCTTGCCACCAAAGGTATGCCTCGATATTTCCATGTCGTTGAACCGGTCGATGCTCTGTGGCCTGAATGGGTTCATTGGGCAAGATCTAGTCTTACAGTCTGCTTTGCGCATAAGATCATCATGATTCACCGCGCCTACATACGAGAGAGCTTCACCAATCCAGTTTACTCCATGACAAGGATTACATGCATTGCGGCTGCAAAGACGATTTTGAATGAGGCAAAGAAAGCAAAAGATGTCAGTGGCCCGATCATCTGGATCGATAAGGCCTTTTGCGTGGCGGCCGCGATCATTCTTTGCCTCGACATCTTTCATCGTACGGAATCCGAACCGGAACTTGCTACCCACAGGGGCCTTGTCGTGGAATGTATCGAACAGCTTCGAAAATTCGAAAGCAGTGTGATCGCCGTGCGAGGAGCGAGCTTGCTGTCTGGCATTCTTGATGAGATGGATCGCGCTAGGGAGAGATTGAGCTGGCCACCACTGAGCATCGACACCCATGAACTACTGAGAACGATGTCGGAAGTGTCTCCATCGTTTTTAGATCAGAAGTCTGAGCCTCCAGTAGAGTTGTTTCCTCCTCAAGCAGGCTTGAGCAATAGCTTTCTCTTCGAAAGTCTGCTGGGACACAATGACTTGAGTGAGTGAGAGATGACATACAGGTATTTGTAGATTAATTTATGTACTTAAGCGTCTGGTCCATGAGAGGTAGACTTAGCCACTAGTGTATAGCAAGCGAGAGACCTAAAGGTACGGATAGAAGAAAGGAAAAGGAATACTAGGGCCGCCAATTATCGAATGAAGCCTTCGAATACCTCAAACCCCTGAAATTCATAATGCTTATAGGTCTCCACATCATAGATGTCAGAGCCTAGCTCCGCATCCAGTCCTTTAGATCATGGTCTATCCTGTTGAACCCAAGTACATATGACATCGACAGGCCAATGGAAAGATTTGGTAACATTACAAAGATTCTAACAATTCTGTTCTGCCCGTCAATTTCCTGGTTGTCCTGCTCCAATCTTTCCATCGCACAGGCCGCTACAGGACAAAAAATAAAGTTGTCTCTGACGTGACTTCGGAGGTCATTGGAAGATCACATGATAATACCACTACGTTGCTAATCCTGAGAAGGCTCAGATTCTGACTTAATTTTTGGGCGAGGCGCAGAGATCAGTCAGGATCATTCCACGTCGGATCCAGACCAGAATCCCGTTCCGCAAGCTTAAAAAGTTTGCAAATTGACATTTTCGTAGCTTTAACTCTCGCCGACTTTCGCGCCGGCATTCGGACAGGCAGTCCCCTGCGAATCCAGTATCTTGAATTACAACGACCAAGCCGTATGATTGGTACGCTCATATTGTTCCCCAGGTCTCCACACATCTCCAGGAATTCGGTGCCACGAACAGCTCATGTCAGCTGGGGGCTCCGGTTTTAGTATCCCTAATGCGAGGCATTATGTACGGCAATTAATCAGGTCACTGAATACCTACTACGTGTCGACGAACCTTGGCCAGGTCGTACAAACCACTTTTTTCTCGACTACCAGACTTTTGTTGCCGCATACCGGTTTATGCCAAGTCAGTACCCCACAATAGAGTGCCCGTTATGCGGGCTTGGGATGGCGGGAAATCTCCAGGTTCGGAGTTGCATTGTCTAAGCAACATATGACAAGACAGAAGGCCTGCTCTTCAGGGTCGAGGCTTCGATGAGCTTGTGACTTCTTAAAGCGCCTCATCTCCCAGGATGTCATGGATGAATATTTTCATTGAGCACAGGACCTTGTCTCAGCACAAACTACACCACCGACCTCTGCTTAGACAACATGGAGCAGGCAAAAGAGACTGCCACCGTCCTTATGGATTCTAAGGATACAACTACATTTCATTCTGAGGATACCAAGTCCGGATTGGATATCGAGGCCGACAACTCCTCGTCAAACAATGAGATGGAGGAGATTGATCCGAAAGTTGAGCGCCGAGTTGTCCGAAAACTGGACATGGTGGTTCTGCCATTGCTTTCCCTCAGCTTCATGTTTGCATATCTCGTAAGTCATCAGTGTCATTGTCCATGTCCGTACCATTCAAGCTAACGACCAAACAGGATCGCAGCAACATTGGTAATGCACGCGTCTTAGGCATGCAAGCAGACTTAGGGTTGTCTGCTCAGCAATACCTGAACTGCGTTATGATGTTCTACCTGGGGTACATGTTGATTGAGTTGCCCGCAGGGATGGCTCTACGATATATTCATCCGCGCTATTGCTTTGCGGGCGCGCTGTTTGCGTTCGGCACATTTGCGGCATTGCTCTCTATCTCGGGCTACGCTGGCATAATGGTCCTTCGATTGCTGATCGGGCTCGCTGAAGTGTTTATCACCAATGCCTTCATTTATATCTCCCTCTGGTATCGCCACCACGAGATGGCAACACGCACTGGTGAGTCGAACCTCTTAGTGGAAGGTATCCCTTGACTTACATGGGTTAGCTGCAATCTATCTCATGACTCCCGTCGCCGGTGCCATCAGCGGACTGCTGGCCTATGGTATCGGCTCAGGACTAGAAGGAACGCACGGCATAGCGTCGTGGCAGTGGTTGTTTATAATTGAAGGAGTTGCCACTGTCGGATTCGGATTTGTCGTGCTTTTTCTCCTGCCTGGACTCCCCGAAAACACTGCCAAACACGGTAGCTGGCTCTTCCGTGATGAGGCTGAACGTCGTGTTCTTACACAGCGACAGAAAAGAAGTGAGATCTCCGTCCATTCGGAATGCGCCCCTTGGCGAGAGTCTATCAAACTAATCATGAGCGCGTCACAGGTCAAAATGCTGATAACGCTCGCTTTCAACCGCATCAGATCTGGATGTGCTTCAAGGACATCAAGTTCTGGCTGGGCTCCTTTATGATTGGAACCGCCGGCATTGGCATCGGCGCTTTTAGTGTCTTCCTCCCCACATTCATCAGAGAGTTTGGCTACGGACGAGTTCACACGCAGCTGCTGACGATGATTCCATATGCCTTTGGACTCGTCGGGTTGGTCTTTTTCTCTTGGTTGGCCGACCGCCTTCAGCAAAAGATTCTGACCACGTTGGGTTGCTCTTTGATCTCTTGTGTGGGCTTTGTGATGCTGCTCGGCACTACCAATAAAATCGCATTGGTCGCAGGCTCCTGCTTTGTGGCAGGTGGTGCATATCCAGCCCTCGTGACAGCGGTATCCTTCACATTGCCAATGCACGGAGGCTATACCAAGAGGGCGACCTCAATGTGGGGTACTCAGGTATTCGTACAGTGCTACAGCATCATTGCGACCCAAGTATATCGGGATCCTCCGCGATTCTTCCTGGGCCACGGCATCGCTTTGGGGCTGTACGCCCTGGGCGTTGCTTCTAACATCGCACTATACTTCATCCTCACCAGGGCCAACGCTGCTCGTGATCGAAGGCAGAGAGAACTTGCAGAAAGAGGAGAGGTCGATCCGAACGCGGAGAAGTCTATTGAAGAGCTTGGTGATTTCCACCCCAACTTCCGATATGTTATTTGAGGCTTCTGCTTTCCCCAGGTCCCGGGGCTTTGATTCGATGTCAAAGGAGAAGCGGGCAATCAATATCGTCGACTTCTGAGCGACTTGAAGCACTCATAATTAACGCGCGAATATTTATATAGCAGCAGTACCAACCCTTTGTAAAGTTAGCTCAGTAGTAAAGAAATTTCCAAAAGACAAGCACTGAATGGAGAGCCATCGAGCACGAACACGCTGAGACGTCTCTTCGCAATTCATGATGCCATTTTATCCCTTGCACTTGTAGAGTTCAAGGCATGCTTATCTTCGTTTAGCATTAGAGTGATCAAGCGCAAGGACAAGGAAGTACAGAAGCTCAAGATCTGGAACGTTGACCTTGTTTCCCGTGCAATTCTCAACAGGTTTCCCAAGATTGCCTCAACCTCCAACGGTCGTCCCGCGTTCACATCCATCAACATGCTAGACTCTTTCCCAGACTCGGGTGTAGCCCTCTGCGAATGGTAAAATTGCATGACCCTTTTGACATGAGCGTCTGTCACCAAGCCAGCGCACCCGGTGGAAGCAGCCACAGCCCCGACTTGATGCATTGTTCGGACCAGGATGTCGGTTGCAGATGCTTGTTCCGCCATTAGGAACAGGGTACCCCCGTCACAGCGAGTGAGCGCTGCAATTGGATTCCAAGTTGCATTGACGGTCAATTTGAGCCAGCGTTGTGGTTGTATATCCTCGTACACAGGTGCACCGCCGCCAGGTGATCCTCTGCTCCAGAGCGCTGATAGTTGTCCAGCCTGCCGCTTGTGACTTCTTGGTGCAGATGCAGGATATGTGCCGGTTTCAAACTTCTCCGCCTTGCCTGCTTTGATCACTCCAGGCGAGAGCTGAGTCGCCGCCAACCATACCACACCAGAGATGATGGCGTTGTCGGGATACCTTTGAGCATACTCCCGCTCGATATCAATTCCGTTTTGAGCCAGTACTATAGCAGTTCGTTCTCCGACGGCTTCCTGAATTTGCTCGCAAACCCCTGGAAGTGCCTTGCAGCAAATGAGTATATAGTCGAAAGGACCATGTAAGCTCGCTGCCTCACTTACGGATCCAGTCGTCTTTGGGTGATAGTGAACTTGTCCGTACAGTTCGCTGTCGATGCTAATGCCGCTGTTCCGTGCTGCCGCCAAGTTGCTTCTACAGACAACAGCCAAATCAACCCCAGCATTGTGAAGAATGTAGCCATAAACGCAACCGACAGACCCTGCCCCAAAGATTAATGCTTTCATTTTGCTTGCACAGGAGTGAAAGTTTCAAGTGCTCCTATGACAAGTGTGACTCCAAAGTACCGAGAGTGTCTAAGGCAATTGGCAATTGGTCCATCTGTTCTATGAAGCTTGACATGTTGAGCACCAACTAACCTGACTCCGATCCACACGACAACTAGAGCTGATGCGCATTTCGGTGACTACTCACCGAGTGCCATGATCACCAGGGAATACCGGGCCGGATGAATCATGCCGCTGAAGTGTCCGTCTACGCTCTATCTCCTGCGAATGGTACAGCACTGGAGGAGCAAGGAAGGAGGGGTTGAATTTTATAGTTGGAAGATGACTCAATACCTTGCTATCGCGTTTCTTTTCACAGGGAATCAAGCAACTAATCGAGTAATATTCATAATGGCTGACCTCTCATTTCAAGGCCCCAATGACCTTTGAGCTCTTTCCAAAAGAATTCAGCGAAGCATCTGGATACTTTTCATTGCCCACAGTCAAGGTCAATTCGCCGTTCGAGTTGGCCACAACATCCTCAAAGGCCGGCTGGAAGGTGACATACTCCAACTCATCGTTGTAAACGTTACGTGTAAACTCGGCCTCCTCGTGACCAACCTTGATTCGCTCCCATCCACGGCCAACGCCAGCGGAGTCAGCCAAGAGTTGTGCCTCAATGCAGCGATCCAGAGCACCAAAGTTGAAGGCTGCAGCGTCGACAGTCTTCCCAACGGCTAGAATGCCATGGTTTTGAAGAATTACTGCTTTGCCCTGCCCAAGTGCTTTGGCGATATTGATGCCTTCTTGGGGATCGAGAGCAGAACCTCCGAAACCTTCGTACACAGAGTGACAATTGTAGAATCTGAGATCATCATCAGAAACAGTGTTGTTTTGGATGGAATATTGGTACTTACCGACAAGCATCTTGACTTATCATATCCAATTTCTTGCCGAATGAAGCAAACGCCTTGCTGGGAATCGAATGGCAATGCACAGCAGCCAGTACATCTGGTCTTGCACGATGGACTGCAGCATGAATGGCATATCCTGCAGGACTGATAGCATGCATATTCCCTCCAACCACAATTCCATCGTCATTCACCAGGCACAAGTCTTCAGGGGTCACGCGACTGAAACTCCTTGCATGAGGATTAATCCAAAAGTGGTCAGTCAGAATCGGGTCTCTAACGGTGACATGCCCTCCAGCACCCTCGTTGTTGTAGCCGTTAGCACCGAGCCAGCGCAAAGCAGCTGCGTGGTGCAGCTTGCGGAATGCTCTCTCATCCTGGAGGTCGTCAAAGATGGGGATTCGCACTTGGTTCAGAGCTTGTGTCTGGGCAGCCTTAAGTGGGACCGCTCCATATCGAAAGCCAGGGCGACCAGAAATGCTCGCCTCGCCTTTGACCTTCACACTGCCAGCCACGCTGGTATCATACTGAGCAATTGTTTCTGTTGCACTGGGAGGAGCCATGGGGAAAGACTTTTACGAGTACTTGGTAATTCCGAGGTCAAGTTTCGATTGATTATCAGTTGCAATATATGTACACGGGCTCGAGTTGATCAGAATCAAGTTATGCTGTGCCGCATAACCTTGCACAAATAGAAACCAGCACGTCGAACTATAGCCCCCGTGATTGTAGTCATACGACCCCGGAGAGCGCAGCCTGCTTTGTAGGGTGTATGCTTTGAAAGGCTACCCTGCCTCTGCTCCAAGCATGCCAATATACAGCAAGAAATACCCAGAGTGGTTGGCATTGATCAAGGGTCGACTGCGGCTTTCTTCGTCGCTCCGTGTTTCGCAGCGCAAATCGGCATGGGCCGAGGGGGCGTGATTGGTCGAATCAGCAATGTCGGGTGCTCGGGGCTCTTGCGGGGTTGGAAGTACTCTGCGTGGCGTCTTTCTCAGTCAGATCGCTCAGGTGGCTGTCCAGAAAGACAGATGACCTGAGGGAGATTTTGTCAGATGGCCTAGAAGGTATCCGTTGCTCCGATAAGGCCTCTCATCCCTTACGTTGGATTGTCGCAATAGCCCAGACGGCGCTGTTAAGTCGACGAATGACTGGCGTGAGTCTTAGCCTCAAGTAAGACAACTTTGCAGGACAGATTTGTTCCGTTATCACCTTAATAAGCATGGAGACTTGCGAGGAATGTGTGTGCCATTAGAAGCTCTCACTCCGTCTGAAGCTAACCCTCTCTAATGGGCAAAAGGCCTTTACATCCTGGTTTACTTTGGCATCCATGTCCAAAGTATAACCACTACTCGAAAGGATGCCAAGCGGGCCAAGATAGAAACCATGAACGTCACCAAAGAAACTTGCCGTTTATCCATTCTCCCATCGGCCATTTGCAATGCACATGGCCATTGTGGTGCCACACCTTAGGATCTAACCATTCCGCATGCCAACCATATATCGACCATCAAAGCTAGTAGACTATCGACAGACCGAGAATCTGGGGTCATGCCTCCGCTAAGCCACTAGGATGAAAGTTCTGGCTCCCAAATCATTGCAACTTCAGAACCCCTCAACTTCTCCACGACACATAACATCCTCATTCAACATGAATCTGTCTAATGACGCGTCCAATTCAGAAGGTCCAGAACCCGTCGAATCACGCCAAAAAGGAGGAAGACGAATTGCTTGTACAGCGTGTCGTCAAGCAAAGGTTAGCAAATCTTTTGCCATCGCGCGCAACGTGCGCAACTAACAACCTGATCCACAGCTCCGTTGCCTAAGATCAGATACCAACTCTAGAACATGCATTCGATGCCAGAAGCAGGCGCGAGAATGCGTGGTGGATTTGGAATACAAACGACTAAATAAGAAGGAGTATGCTGGGAGTCGACTTAGCTAGGCATTGCGACTGACATATCTTCAGACGTCTCAATCATCTTGTGCAACAGCAGATCAAGGAGCTCCAATCTGCTAATTCAGCTGCTCCAATCCCTGTTGTCCAGCATCATCCTCAACTTGAACTACCAGAAATTGGCAACACGGATTTCGCACCCCTTTCCAATGGCCAGGCCGGCAGTCACAGAAGCCCGTCAAATTCTGACCTACAAACGATCAATTCGAGTCGTGCCAACACTGTCACTGGCACACATAGCAGCGTTGACCAAAATCCATCTTACCAGACGCCGTCCCAGCCGCCAATGAATACAGAATATGTCCCAGAAGAAACGCGACGTCAGTCTTTGGATCATGTCACATTAGATCCTGAACAGATCGATCACCTCTTTGACATGTAAATCGATTTTTTATCAATGTTGATACACAAACTGACGTCTATGCTAGCTATCACAGATCCTACCATCCGCTCTTCCCGATCCTAGAACCCATCCCACCCCCAAATCTGGTGTTCGTTCAAGGACCCCTACTTTTCTGGACGATCATCGCAATTGCTTCTCGTCAGGATCTAGACGATCCCTCTTTGAAGGCTGCGTTAAACCCATGTGTGATCAGACTACTTTGGCAGACCGTTGGAATGCCGCCTCATTCACTTCGCACGTTACAAGCCATGTCTCTTATCTGCATGTGGCCGTTCCCGACTTCTTCAATGTCCACCGACCCAACCTTTATTTTAGCAGGTATTCTCAAATCGGCAGCTGTGCACATCGGGCTACATCAACCGGAAATTTTACAAGACTACTCACGCACAAAATTTAAGTTAGGAGAACAGGAGCTCAAGGAGGCAGTTAAAGTATGGGCAGGATGTTATATCGCCGCCGAAAAGTGAGAAACTTTCCTCAATCATAAAGCGAAATCCCTGGTCTCATACTAACGAAAAAACCTAATAGCGCGACGACTTCGACCGGACAGGATTCGTACTTCCCATCAGACGGCACTATCGATCGGGCCAGCCTAGCCGAAAACCCATATGGCCTACCGAGGGATCTTCATCATGTTTTGATGATTCAACACTTCTGTTGTAAGGTACATCGTACCTTGAACGATTCCAACTACAATAGACCTGAACGAACTTTCAACCTGAATTGTACTCACCTTTTGAGGGTCCTAGAAGATGAGCTGAAAAGCCTAGAAATGTCTTTGGGGAGACAACTTTCCTGTAAGCTTCCAGTGTACTTGGACCGTCGACTCCGAACTAACGTATTTCTCCAGTCCACGTTCAAGTCGTACTTCTCTCAGCTCGCCTCCAACTTCAAGCCTACTATCTCTTCAACGACACGGATTCGACAGAACGGAGGTTGGGAGTTATCAAGGCATATGATACGGCGATCGAGCTAATCCTTCGTATCAAAGCTGGCGATAGCATCAACGATTTCATCAGATGCGCATTTGGCGCGGTTAGGACTGTGTCAATGATTGCTGCGATTTTGATCATGAAAGTCATCCACTCGAGCTACTCGTCCTTCATCAACATTCCAGAGGGCAGGCGTGCTTTCAACGCATTCTTGCTACTTGCCCGCCAAGGTTCTATTGAAGATAATGACTTGTTTGGCAGAGCCAACAAAATCTTGACTCAGCTTTGGGTAGTGCATCGCTCTTTTCTCCAAGAGCAACAGAAGCACCCAACACTAACACACAAGTCTCGATCCTTCTTCAGTGTCGCGTCTGACTCTTTATGGTTGTGGCGGGATCGTTTCGGGGGCCAGCCCGACAACGGAGCACCTCCACTGGTACGGACGATCGTGCACATCCCAGCACCTCAGTCCAAGCCTCAGGCACCGAAAGATACAGCCGGGAATGGGAATGCCTTGGAAACACCCGCCGCTTCTCCCAATCTCCACCACAATCTCACCAGCCCACTCCAGCCCGACCAGTGGATCGCAGAGCCTGACCAGTCCACGTTTCCGTTGGACTCTCTGGAAACTGGACAAGTCCTTGCGTCCCTGGAGAGCATGCAACCAGTCGATCAGAATTGGATCTGGGATCTCGGGTTCCCTTCCCTCAGTACTTCCGAGTTCAACATGTGGCCGACCAACTTGGGAGACCAACACGCCAATCCTGGCGCACGATGAGCATCAATGAGATATAGTATTGTGGACCACCCCATCTCATCGGAATGCTGCCTCCTCCTACAGTGCATGTTGGAATGATTTCCCGCCAGCGGTCTTGTCGAAAGAGACGCATTCCATCAACCCACACACCTTGAATAATTCCTTGGGTCCCTCCTTGAACTGATTGTTGGATGAGACAGTTCCATTCGCGGCGAGCTGCTTCGCTGCATCTTTGACCGCCTTGTACACAGGGCCCAGGGCGAAGCCTGGGAATATGATCATGCGGAAGCCCAATTCTTGTGCTTCAGCAACAGTGACTGCTGGAGTCACTCCCGCTTCCACCATGTTGAGCAGAACGGGAGCCGGGTAAAGATCACGACAGACTTGTCGCATCTGCTGTTTGGTTTCAACCCCCTCGAGGAAAGCGACATCAGCACCGGCCTTCAAGGCGTTTCTCAACCGCTGAACTGCGACATCATATCCTAAATTAGCCAGTGCGTCGGTCCTGGCAATGATGACGATGTCTCGTTGCAATTCTTGTCTTGCCATGGCCGCTGCACGAATTCTAGACAGGAACGTTTCCTCGTCCACCAGTTCCTTGTTGGTAAGGTGCCCACATCGTTTGTTGAGAACTTGATCTTCGATGTGCAGCGCAGCGACGCCGCCAGTGACGTACGATTCGATGGTGCGTCGGACCATTAAAGGACCTCCATACCCAGTGTCGGCATCAGCGATGAGGGGAACTTGTCGATCGAGCCCTGCGATCATGGACGCTTGGCTGCTCATCTCATTCAGTGTGGCGATCCCCAAATCAGGCATGCCGAGTCGTGACATGACGGTTCCTGCACCGGTCATGTAGAGGGCATCAAAGTGTCCAGATGAAAGAACTATACGTGCCGTAAAGCCATCGTAGACCCCCGGGCACGTTACTATCTTGTTCTTATCTGCGAGAAGACTACGCAAGCGAGTCACTGCTGAAGTCCGTTTCTCTGGAGGAGCCATTTTTGCTTTTTAGCGATGTATATGGTATAATAAGGTCAATTGTCAACAGATGAGAAAGTTGGAATTTCAGAATGATGCTTTTGACATGAACATCATTAAATAGAGACTACACTCGTAAAGTCAACTTAATGTCAATCGGCTCTACCCCAGGGTTCAATGCTTAGATTTCGAGGATTCCAGTTGCGCTTGATGATTGGATGACTGACTTGTCCGCATCTCGGTGCGAAGCCTCTAACCAATTACGGCCCGACTCTAATACGGCCCGGGGAACGTCCTGAGGAGGAGACGCATTCCTTGCCTGTTGGAAACCAACATGCTAGGATTGGCCATCTTAATCGCCTAGTGATCTCGGGTGGACAGTTTCATTTGAAGCCTTTATTGGCGTCATGGCGATCATTATGTCCGGGGTGACTGTATATCTTTCGTTCGCTTTCATATACCTCCAGTCTTGTTCCTCGGCATATATACATCTGATGCAACAAAGCTGAAAGAATGATTGCGAAAACAAGCGACGAGACCGCTGTCCTAGACAACTTGGGAGGGTTGCTGACCCCATGGACACAGAAGATACTTAGAACCCTAGGCACTGCGCGGGGCATCTCGATTGCTAACTCGGTGCACGTCAACGGTCTGAATGGTACTCCCAACGGAGCACACAATGATCAGAGTCCCAGCAATAGCACATCCGCAGAAGACTCAAGCCACAGCACAGAAAATGCTGTCAAACAACTTGAAGTGGTTTCGTCTATCCTATCTTCCACGGGATCATTCCAGCGTGAGGCTGACACCCTTCGAGACTGCTATGAAGCAGCCATTCGTCCAACGGATTTTGGAGGCTTAGGCCTGGATCCCAACCACGCACTGACACCAGAGGAGGAGGCCGAGGTGACTTTCCTCTTGTCAGCGCATCTAGAGGCATTGAACTCAGCCGACCGGGCTAAGGCTCCCGTCCTTCCACTATCAGAACGTCCCACAGGGCGCCGGGGCATGACGCTAAGCGAAAAGATCTTTGCTGCCCATGATGTTGCACGTACTGGATACGTCAAGCCAGGGGACATCATCCGGGTAGACGTCGACTGGGTACTTGCTTCAGAACTTTCTTGGGGAGTAAGTGACAATTTTGACATCTCCGAACAAACCATTTCTAACTAAACACCACTATAGGGGATGGAACAATGGTATGACAAATTAGGGAAGCCAGGAATTTTTCGCAACGATCGATTCTGGCTTGCGGGAGATCATGTGGTCGATCCCCGAATCATGAATCATCCCAAGATCAAGCCCTTGATCAAGTCTAGTGAGCGGGCGAAGCGCGATTTCATGATGACTGAGAACCAAGGCATGAACGTAAGTGGCCATGCCAATAAACACCATGGGTCATCTATTGCTAACACTATGCTTGACTACGTAGTACACCATCATGCACACAGAATTTTGTCGAGAGAGAGCACAACCAGGGATGCTGGTCATTGGCTCAGATTCGCACACTTGTTCTGCTGGGTCTGTCAGCGCTCTGGCCATCGGTCTCGGTGTTGCAGATGTCCTGCTGCCTCTGGTCACTGGTGAGACTTGGTTCAGGATCCCAGAGACCGTCAACATCCGATTCATCAACCAACCAAAACCCGGGATCGGCGGCAAAGATGTCATTCTCTACATTCTCAAAGAACTCAAGCGAAATACTGTAGCTTCAGACCGGATCGTGGAGTATACAGGGCCAGGGGTAAAGCATCTATCATGCGATGCGAGGTTTGCAATTGCAAATATGACTACGGTACGTACTATGCCAGCACTGTTACATGGCGGAGTATTGACTGTTTTTGTAGGAATTCGGCGGTGTTTCTGGAGTCTTCGTACCCGACCACGTCACAAAATCATACATCGAGTCACGGAAGCTGCGCAAGTACAAGTCCGACGCCGTCTACTTCCGACCAGACGAAGACGCCGAGTACGCAGCAACCCATACAATCGATCTCGCCAAGGTCGAGTCGTTCGTTGCTCGTTATCCTAAGCCTGATGATGTCGTTCCGGTGAGCAAAATGGCAGGCACAAAGCTTCAAGGCTGCTTTATCGGCGCGTGTACCACGGCAGAAGAGGATCTCGTTTTAGCAGCCTTGGTTCTGGAAGAAGGACTCAAGCGAGGATTCAGGCCTGTTAAGGAAGGCAAGAGAAGAGTCACCCCTGGGTCCAGGCCTATTCTCCATCATCTACGAGAAACAGGCCTGGCGGACATCTATGAACAGGCAGGTTTTGAGATTGGTGCTCCCGGCTGCAGTTATTGTGTAGGCATGGCTGCCGACAAGGCAGATCAAGGAGAGACGTGGTTGTCGAGCCAAAACCGCAACTTTGAGAATCGAATGGGGCCAGGTAAGTCTCTTGTATCTTCATGGGCCCGAACAGATATGACTGACTTTATTCTGTAGGTGCCTTTGGCAATATCTCATCCGCTGTGACTGTGGCAGCCAGCTCTTTCGATATGCAAATCACCAATCCTTTATCACTACTGGACTCAATTGACATGAAACGAATGGAGGATATCCTGAGCTACAAGCAAGCGGCTAAAAATTCTCCCTCTAGTGGTACCACCCCAGAATCCCATCCGACCTATGTTGAACCAGGAGCAATAGTGGCGATGCCGACATCTCAGAACACGGAGGCTCAACCACTAAAAGAGGGTACTCAAGCCACTGGTGTCAACAGACAAGAAACAAGCCCAGCTATCTCAACAAACGGCACATCACAGGATCAATCCCAAGAGACGTCACAATCACCTAAGCCAGAATCGTCATCCCTGATAACCGGCAAGGTATACATGTTAGGAGACTTCATCGACACCGACGCACTTGCACCCTCAGAAGCACTGATCAAACCTGGAATCACACCCGAAGAACTCGGCGAATACTGCCTCTACCACACCCACCCAGATTTCCGACGAAAAGTACGTGAAGAAGGCTATAAAGTTGTCGTTGCAGGAGAGGCTTTTGGCTGTGGCAGCAGTCGCGAGAATGCCGTGACGGCGTTGCAGGGCGTGGGCGTCCAATGTGTTATTGCACGCAGCTTTGCCTTCATTTACGGTCGCAACCAGCCTAACTTAGGTCTGTTGGGTTTTGAAATGCAAGACCCTAGGTTTTGGGAGCTGGTTGGCCATGGAAAACAGATTACCGTCGATCTGGATTCATTGGTGGTGACAGTCGAAGTCGACGGCGAAGATACAAAGACTGAGTCTTTCCCTTTTCAATTGAGTCTCATGCAACGACGTCTGATTGATATTGGTGGCGCTGAAAAGGCTTTTGCGAAATGGGGGAAGGGGCTTTGGGAGGTGTTGACAGCGAAAGACGACGGAGCGGCACAACAGCAGAAGAGTATCTCCTCTCTTGCTGCAGGGCTGGAAAATAACGGCGGCCAGGTGAAGCTAGAATGGTAGACTGCCTAAGGTCCTACAGATGAGGTTTTTTGGTTTTACTATGTTTACATGAATTTAAACGGACTACAGTAGTGTCATAATCGAAGCAACTTTCTTCTCCTCATGCGCAGACATAGCTGTTCCTCGAAGGAAGAGTGAAACATGCCTGCACATCAGAATCGTTCTTTTCAGGATATGTCACAGAGAGGTTATGGCCTTGAAGGCTTCCAGACAAAGACCTTATCGAGCATTTTCAAGGGGATCATGTTGACATATTCTGTTTCTTATCAAATCATAGCCATGTCATCTGACATTCGTCGAAGTAGTCACATCTGCCACTTCAGAATTCGTAACTCATCTTACAAGTTTCATCAATCTACGCACGCCGACATTTTGAACATCCTTCACCGCTTCACAAATCTTGTTTGCCTGGGCCTCGCCATAGACCCCCGTGGCCAAAGCCATGAACTTGACTCGAGTATTGTCCCAGGTACTGGGATTATCCGGCTCTCCAGTCGGACTCCTGAGATGCAATTGTGACGTATATCCGTCCGAGAAAACGACCTCGAGGCTGCTCTCAAGTCCAACGTGCGAATCCACGCTGAGGACTTCCATAGCATCAATGATGTCATGAACAGCAGAGTCACCGATATAGTCGTAGATTTTCCAGCCTAAACCACTATTCCCATGAAGCCAGGCGACTGCGGTCTGGTAGTAGACGCTGAACTGAGCGTCGACGACGTTTTGTGGCCGGAGTTTGTTATCGGTAGGCTCGCCCACAATACGATAACATGTTTGGGACAAGGAGATCTTGATGCTCTGCGGTTTTCCATGTGTCTGCTGTAGCTGTGCTAGTTGTGCTGCAAGTTCAATTGGACCGTGTGTCATTCGACAGCTGGCGTAGGGCTTGACAGCCGTTGATAGAAACTCCCAGTGTTTCAAAAATGGAAGACTCAGGCTGGGGCTAGGAGAAGAAGAAGTAGAAGAAGAAGATTTTGTCGCCCCAGTCGAGCTGTACAGGTTTAACAGCCCGTATCTACCCTCGATGGGCTCTGCAGCGCCGACAACGCCGCTTTCGGCCAGTGTCACGCAGGCGAAGGCATCGTGGGCGGCAAATCCAGGGTGGAGGCGTTTGTTCCAGCTGCCGTTGGCGAGGTATTGCATCGAACCTGCAGCCTTGGACAAGGCGAGTCCAAACGCGTTTTCAACTGTCTCGACGTCGGCGTGTCTTAATCTTGCGATGGCCGCCACGGCCCCGAAAATGCCAGCTGTGCTGGTGTTATGGAACCCGAGGACGTATCCTCCATTTCCCAATGCCACGCCGAGTCTACAGGTGACTTCATAGCCGGCCGCTAATGCAGTCAACAAGTCTTGTGGTGAAGCGTTGGTATTGGTTTCGGCCTCCGCAAGGGCAGCGGAGACGACACTGACGCCAGGGTGCAATGCTCCTCCTGCGTGAGTGTCGTCGAAATCCAGACTGTGGGAAAGCGCGCCATTGAGCATCGCTGCCAGTGGCGCAGACCATGATGGACCGTTCTTAATAACCGAAGCCTGATTACCCTTGCCATCATATCCAGCGTTGAGGGCTTTGATAGCCTTGGTTAAAGAATCGGAAGACTCTGAGAATATTGTTGCCGCAGAAGTAACTCCAATGTAATCCAACAAAAGGAGACGAAGCTTGTCTTGGACTTCAACAGTCAGGTCCGCATACTCTAATCCTGACACGAATTTAGCGAGACCCTTCGTTGTAATGGGATTTTCTCCCACCTCTGAGGCTGACACGCCATTGGTGTGTCCGTTGACGCCATTTACGGCTGGGAAGCAGTCCTTAACGTTGTCTGGGATGTAAATGTTGCCATCAAAGATCCTTCGAGCAGTCCTGACAAAGGAAAGTGTTTCAAAGTCGGGGACTTTGCCTTCCTTTAAAGGCTTCGAGATCACCACGACAGGTATGCTGCCGGAGGGATGTTGAATCTTGAGAGTTGTTTCTTGCAGGCCAGCTTCAGACATGAGTCTGTGGACAATGGTGCCTGGAATTCGACTACAGGCAGCTGTGCAGATGGAACCAGTGCCAGCCATGGAGGTATGGCATTTGTTATCCAGAAACAATCTTGACTGGAGGTGGAACTCAGGATCTGTTGATGGCGACACGAGAGTGACCATCGGCAGCATCGGCGATTGTTCATCGACGAGCTCCCAATCCTTGCACATGCCAGCTATGACGGCGGCCTTTCCACGTAGTTCTTTGACTCTGGCAATAAGTGCGGCATCCTTGTCTAGATCTCCTGGACGTTCGTTGCCTTGAATTCCTAGAGCTTGTGCTGGCGCAAATACCAAGATATTACCAACATCACAAATGCTGAATTCAATTTCGACGCCATTGACGATGGCAGTGTCAATGACGGAGTTGGTAGGAATTGCGCCTTTGTTCAAAGCCCCTCCCACAACCTAGAATCTTTGAGCCACGCAAGCTCCACCGATCATGCGAATCACGACTTACATTAGAATAGTCCATGAGAATAGGGGCACCAGTACCAGGGCAGCCATCGATCGAGGCATCACCAGGTTCGAGAGAATTTCCCGTCGCTGGGTCGATTGGTACATGAGAGATGAGGAGTTTGTTCGTTCCAGTGTTGAAGATCCTAACCTCCTGTGTCTTGATCTTGGGGTCCATGCTTACGCCAGGCCTCTTCTCCTTGACAAGGTCCTCATCGATGGCAAAAGGTCCTACACCTGCAGAGATATTGCCGCAATTGCCAGAGTATCCAACAAAGTCATCATTAATGCTGACTTGTGCAAAAGTATAGTCAACATCCGCATCTGGACGTTCTGACGGGCGGATCAAAGCGATCTTGGAGGTGACGATGTGGCTTCCACCCATACCGTCAATCTGCAGAGGATCCGGTGTTCCCATGACGCGTTTCAGAAAGCGGTCTCGAGCAATTCCCGGGGGAGGGACATGATGCTCGTGGAAGAAGAGAGCCTTGCTTGTCCCTCCTCGGATGTATGTGACCGGGACTGATTGATTCTTGCGACCCATATTGTTAGACTGATGATGCGCTTCAAGTTGTTGTTGGCATCCTGCAACCTGGTAGACGAGGATTCTTTATCATCATCTCATATAGCGTTGAAAGCTGTTTGGATGATCGTAATGTCTCGCTGAGTAAAAGTGTTTTGGCCAGAGCGACTTTCGGTCTCGGAACGGCGACGAATGTTCATTTTTTCAAGGCGGGTAGTCCCCGTCCGTGCACAACAGTTCAAAGCTTGCTCTTTCAGGGACTCCAGGTGCTCAATTTACGGGCATCATGGGGGTGAATTGGCGGGTCTTCGGGTCACTCGGCACTGCCGCGAAGGCTCCCTCCGCATTATGCTCTCCGCAACGGCAGGCCATCTGTACCTGCGGGCCGACTTGGGGTCAGCAAGAAGCGCCTAGGAAAACACGATGAGCACATGGCAATTTTTGATGGGATCATGGGTAAGCCGATGAGGCATCGGTATGGTTGAAAGAGTACCACATTTGCCATTATGAAATGGGGCTACATGGGCTCTACATACTCCGAGAATCGCACAGCTTATAGCACACCATAGCCCACGAATCACTTTATCTCATACACTGGTTTTGGGTAAATGAGTAACAAGGGGATTTGACTGGGGTATCTCATATATCTAGGTAGAGAAACTAGACTGCCCACAACTTAGATGCACACTGAGACGTATATCTGACCTATCGCTTCGTAAGGGTGACAGGTCCGCTTTCTACTCAGGTGCCCAACAGTAGTGTGCATTTAACATCAGAAGAAGCATCGCATCCATCGAAGATGACATTGATCACATCGCTTCGAATCGATTGAGGATCTGTCACGTCTCGTACAATGAGCGGGAAACTCCAGAACTATGAGCCTAAGTAGGTGAGTGATAAAGCAGAAGGTAGGTAATCTGATGAAGATATCCAAACGAGATCTTCTGGAATTTCACGACGAGTCCGGTTGACAGATGCCCATCTCAGGCTACATTTACAATCAAAACACTAAGTCACACAAGTCAATTCCATTCACTACTAAAGTACCTTGACACATGCCTACGGAATAGGCACATGCGATAAGGACCCTCGCTGGGACTCTAAAAAGCAGGGGAAATTCACGACGAGCCTTGGCAGTCGATCGTCTTTGGTCCACCATGGCATGACACACCACCACACTCACATCTCCGAAACCATCGGTCAGTGGATATGGCCATGATTGGATATCGAAGGACTTTCACGATGGCTGGAACCGTATGTCGCAATTAGATGCCACAAGGCGGATGGAAAGATGGGGAGTTTAGTTATAGTTATTGTGGCACTAAGAAATTAAATGAATTAAGATCGGGTGAATACTTTATTTCTCAACATGTGTTCTTTGAAGATCTGATCCTGCCATATACATCCCATTCCCAACAGGAACAACGCGTGTCTCTCCAATCAGGTCAGGTCAACTTAGCTCTCCCGACAACAGGAGCGCATCTTCAACGACGACGACGACGACGACGACGACGACGACAACGACAACGACAACGACGACAAAAACAGCAAATATGATCCAACCCATCTCGTCAGTAGATGGAGTTGTCGAAGAAGACGTCGTAGCAGAAGGAAATACCTCGGTACAACAAAAACTCAACGGCGTGGACGACACACACCCTATTGCAGTCAGCGCTCTTATCCATCGCAGTCTACACAGCCCGCCACCACAGGTGGTTAGCGCCAAAGGTCAAATCTTGACATTTTCAGATGGACGACAGATCTGGGACACAACATGTGGTGCGGCGGTAGCGTGTTTGGGCTATGGAAATCAGAGAGTGCAGCAGGCTATCATTGACCAAACGGCCAAGTTCTCCTACGTCAACTCCATGTTCTTCGGGACAGATGTTGCTGAGCAATTGGCAAACGAGGTGATTAGGGGAACAGGTGGGAAAATGTCAAAGGCATATTTCTTGTCTTCTGGTGAGTTTTTAAGATCCAATACCCAGAGTGGGAGAGAGAGAGGGGGGGGAAATCCATAAAATTTGAATGAGCAGTCTTATAGTCTCTTTGGATTTGGACGTACGTTTCGACTGACAAGCGAATTCAGGCTCGGAAGCAATGGACGCAGCCATGAAGCTAGCACGACAATATTACCTCGAAGTGACACCAGCGCAGCCATCACGCATCAATTTCATCGCTCGACAGGGTTCCTACCATGGAAACACATGGGGTTCTCTCGCCATGAGCGGACATGTGGCGCGCAGGAAGCTGTTTGAACCCATGCTCATGACCAACATTGGTCGTGTCTCGGCTTGCTATGCTTATCGAGGCATGAAACCCGGTCAGACCGAGGCTGAATATGTCCAGACTCTGGCCGACGAACTTGATGCCGAGTTTCAGAGATTGGGTCCAGAGACTGTTATTGGGTTCGTGGCTGAACCTGTAGTCGGTGCGGTATGTAATCAGACCCATCTTCCTCTGAATGAGCATTTCATTGTCTCTCCGCTTCTCCCGTACTGACATCAATCTCAATCACTCTGCAGACTCTAGGAGCCGTCCCCGCTGTCCCAGGGTATTTCCAGGCTATGAAGAAAGTATGCGACAAGTATGGAGCGTTGCTTATTCTAGATGGTAAGTCTATGCGAAACTCCCCTGTCTATCCCCGTCCCCTAACTTCTCACTAACCCCCTTCTCCCTCAGAGGTCATGTCCGGCATGGGACGATGTGGATCACTACACGAATGGCAATCCGAAGGGGTTGTTCCCGACATTCAAACAATGGCCAAAGGTCTAGGAGCTGGATATGCACCGATCGCGGCAGTTTTGGCGAATGAACGTGTTGTCGATGCTTTGTACAAGGGAACAGGGTAAGTTTTCATTCAATTTATGGCAAAACTCAGATCACCACAAAGTGTATTCGACGAGAGCTGACAATTATTTTCATTGAAGGGCATATTCTCACGGCCACACCTATCAGGCATATCCGGCTTCATGTGCGGCAGCGCTTGAGGTACAGAAGATCATCAGGGAAGAGAACTTGATTGAGAAGGTCAAGTCACTGGGTGATTATCTGGGTGAGACATTGCATGAGCTGCTCGACCCACATCCTCATGTCGGTGATGTTCGTGGAAAAGGTCTCATGTGGGGAGTAAGTTCATCATTCATCAATACAGATATATCCCATACGCGTATCTCGGTTGGTCCTAGGTTATTGTGCTAACATATTCCTTTTTCTCTTGTCCAGATTGAATTCGTCCAATCCAAGCATGACAAGTCAGCCCTCCCACGAAGTCAGAATGTGGCTCTACGGCTCCATGAATTTGCTTTGCAGCCCAAGTACAGCATCTCGTTGTATCCCGGCAGTGGCAGCGTAGATGGTGTGTTAGGCGACCATGTACTGTTGGCTCCGGCTTTCACAGCGACCAGGGAGGAGATCTTGAAAATTGCCCAGTTGACCAGAGATGCTATTTTTGATTTCTTTGAATCCGAGTCATAAGGAACAGGCTTGATCATGGGTTTTACTGTGACTATGAACCCAGGGCGTTGTACACTTCGCACAGGTGTGAAGATGGTCAACAAGTCCACAGCATGACAATACTACTCCAAGTCTGTTGCAGGTAATTGGCACAGACTATTTAACTGGCTTGCATTTAATACTTGATCGGGTCTTTGGTATCTATGAAACACAAATCACAATTGGGGAGGTAAAAGTGCATGATAAGAGGTGAATGACGGCGAGCATGTCTCCGTTAGCAGCTCCATGACGAGGAATTTCAGTGTCTTCTCTGTTCGTTGCTCATCCTCAAACGCTCGTTAGGCCAAAGCACCCATCGGATCCCAGAGTGGGAGAGTCAAGGGCTCCGTTTTCAATAGGTCGCGAATCTCCTTAGAAACAAATCCAGGATCAACCACGACTTGATAGACAAATTCATCAAGCCATTTGTCCGTCATGACGAAGAAGCCCTTCTCACCGGCACTTTCACCCCACGAATTCTGAACTCTCCAACGGACTGACTTTCCATCTTCCACCTGGACGGCAGTGAGAACCATGGCATGCGTCATGGCAGATTCACGGGCCTTGAGACGTTGCGACTTGCTCATGCTAAGGCTTATGTTGAAGGCAAGATTATAATCATAGAGAGCAGTGTCCATAATTCCCGAAGATGAGTTTGAGTATTTGCCAACGTCACTGCCAAAGAAAACGGGCAAGCCGGCGCGAAGCATGTTGATGGCGGCTGTCTTCATGGTAGCAATGTCGACGTTGACGTAGGTGATGGGACGACCTCCTACAACGTTGCCTAGACGGTCGACAGTCATCAGCTGGTTGTATTTGTTTCGTGGGTCGTTGACAAGACTGAAGAGTTGATTGACATCAGCATTCAGAGAGCGGACGACGGACGGGGTGGAAATGTCCTTGGCCAGTTCGAGAGGGGTCTTTGAAAATTTGTGATATTTGTTGGTAGCATCGTAAAATTCCCAGGTGAATTGTTCATCCGTCTTGGGAGGTGGGCCGAGGAGAAGGGTGAGGATGAGGTGGACTTCTTGGATGAATTTGGTCTTTGTGGCGATGATGGAGGATTTTTTGATGTTGGGTTTGGTGACGAGGGAACGGAGGGTGAGGGCATCTTCTCGGAGTTTTGTGGTGAGGATATTGTTCAGGACTCCTGAGTTTTGGGCATTGAAGGAGTCGGGGTAGAGCTTTTGAGGGACCTGTAAAAGATTAGATGGTGAAGTTGGAGAGGTCAAGGGGTACTTGCCAGTCCATATTTCTCGACCAAGTTGGCGGCCATGTCCCACTGCCCACCATCGTTTACGGGAGCACCCAGAAGTTCTTGGATCAGACGACTATCCAGATCTTGATCAGCAGTGTCAATGACCTGCTCCAAGAACCAGTTTGCTTTCTCCAGCTTGTCCCAGAAGAATAGATATGCCTGACTCAATTCAAACTCTTTGAGGTTGTATTTCTTCATGATGGGGACGCGGAGGACATTGGTGGTTGCAAACAACCAACATCTTCCGGATGAACGTTGATTGGTGACTGGAGACCCTTCAAATGGGATCTGAATGTTGAATGTCTGAGTATCTGGCAGGGTTGCGACCTTGTTGGCTACGACGGAGCGGACATCATTGGAGAGTAGAGCATTGAGAGCGAAGCGGTTCTTGGGATCATGGAGCAACTCTTTCTGCCATGCATTTGCAGCATCGATGGACAAGGTTGGGTCGGTGGAATAAGTGTGAGGAATTCCTTTTTCTGTGTCAACGTGGATGTATTCTTCATGGTCGACTTGATGCTGGCGGATGGTGTCTCGAGTGCGGAGATTCTGGAGTTGCTGGACGAGGAGCTTCTCGACGGCTGGATCTCGGGACGAGGTTGTAGACTGTGAATTCCCCATGATGAGGTATCGGATGAGAGGAGGAAGTAGTGTGAAGAGCAAGGGGATGTTACAGGTTGAGTTGTTGTGGTGGAGGGAGGCGGTTGAGGTCAGGTTGAGGTGAAGTTGATGTGAGATGTTGTGAAGTGGGAGTCAAGATCAATCAAGTGGAAGGAGTAGATAACGTGATAAGGCGCCTTCCTTGTGTGTCACCTACCGACTGATACGGCAGGAGCGCAATTGAGGACAACGGAGGGGCACCTGCCTTGATTGAAGATATCCACTCGACTAGTCCTATTCTAGTCTGGTGCAGCCCTGTCTCCGATTACGGACTACAAGGATATAGCAAAGTATTCAAGTTCCGTATATCAACTTCGTGTTGACATATCTGCCTAAGGAGTTGTTCTTAAAGTGCGGACTGTGAGAATATAATAAAGTGACTCCGTTTACCAATTGCGAACTACGAAGATGTAACAAAGTGACTCCAAGTTCCGTATTTTCAACTTCAGGTTGCCTATCTGCCCGAGGAGTTGTAGCCAAGACTGAATTCAATCCTACGTACCAATTCTTGCATTTCTTTGCTACCATCATGCTCATCGTCACAGATGACCGTGAAAGAAATAACCTACCACTGAAAAGAAGTTACCCTCGAATGTAAGAAAAGTACTCTGCCTCGTAAGAAAATCACCCTTGAATGTAAGAAAAGTACCTACTTTCCATCGTAAGAAAAATGCCCTCCCTCGAAAGAAAACTACCCTTGAAAGACAAGAATTACGCTGGAAAGAAAATGTAAAAGCCGTGATGATTCTTTGCTATCCAGCTAAACTCATCTCACCATGAGCGAGAGAGAGAGAGAGAGAGAGTCAATGTCTATCTAATTGCAGGGCCGGTATCCTCCCATTTCACAGGCTTCTGCCGTCACTTGCATAGCTCCTTCCAACCAGCCGTCGTAACCAAAACCTCATTCTTTGATCCTCTGATGACCACTGCCAGGACGGAATTGGGCAAAAGACCATGCAATAACCTGCTCAAAAGGCTCGTTCTATTCATCACACCACTGGTTAGCGACTGGCGTTCACAAAAGAGCCTATCTCAAGGCATACGTACTGAGCAATTTGCCTTGAACTGGCTTCTTGTTCCCTGCTTTAGCTTGCAGTTCATCGCAAGTCTCCACCACGACATGGTGTTTCCAGATCTCACAGGGGTGGACGTCACAGTCGGTAGGGTTACTCAGCCTGGAGAGGAAAGTCTGACCTATGAGCCGACCGAAGCGATCATTGGAAGCTGCGACTTCGGACCAGTCCGTAACCCCATGGGACCGGTAAGCCCAGAAGTAGACATGGTGGACAAGGAACTTTTCCAACAAGGTCAAGGACTCGCTTTCCCGCTCGAAAACCGCAGCAATGAATTTGCGGCTGGGCACCAGTGGGATTTCGTCTGAGAACAACGCTCTCAATCGAAGCAATGCCACCTCTCCCAAGGATGGGACCATCAAACGGTCTGCCATGTCGTAGATCTCGAGCCAGAATTCATCACTGTACAGTTGTGTGTCTTCTGTCATGTACATTGATGGTCCCTCGACCACCCGGCCAGTGTAAAGCCAGTCGTAGAAGAGCTGAAATCGGCCTGGCTCTTCATCCGGAAGATTGAGCACGCCGTCTTCACCTTCCGCGAAGCCGTGATTGAACGCGGCATTGAAGTATTTGGAGGCGGCGCAGAGCAGATCTTTGTGCATTGCCAATTCTTTCTTTCCGGGCCCCACAAAGATCTTGACAATTGATGTGCCGTGAGGGACGTGGGGTGGGCCAACGGGAGCAATTTTGCCAATGACCATTGTGAGGGAGAGGGAGGAATCGGTGTTGTGGTAGCGCGGGGTCGTGAGAAGAGGTCTTGCTCTTCTGAGGTCGCGGCAAAGAGGAAAGAAGATGAAGCTGAAGACAGAGATTATGAGCAAGCTCAAGGCGAAGGACGACTAAGTCGCGAGTGTAGATCGAAAAGAAGCTGATAATCTTGTTGTCCTGAAGAGAAGCTGTCAAACTGGAGAGAGAGAGAGAGAGGAAAACAAGAAGAAGATCGAGTGAGAAACAAGATATATATAGTATAGCGCACGTGCAAGAGTAGTGAATGAAAGACTTGCAAGAGTCATAGGAGTCTCAAGACATGAAGATCAAGAAGCTGAAACAGGTGAATCAGATCATTCATGCTTCACTGACATGCCAAAAGCATGCGATATGAGGCTCTCTGATCGGCTAATAGGCGTAATATCGGACGCTAAGCTGTTGAGGAGGTTGAAAACAGTGAAGATCAAGCTGAATCAAATGGAGACCTTCTCATAAGCGGCGAGTGAGTTGGCGGCTGGCGGCGTGAATGCACTTTGAAGAGTTCTTTCCATGTGCTAACGGATGGCCAGTGACCAGTGATCAGTGACCAGTCAGTCTGGGACGTGTTCAACCCAGCTGTGTATTCACGTGGTCTTTCTCTTGTCTGGAGTAGCAGACCACCAGTCATCTTTGTTTCAAGCACAAGTGTCATGAGAGACACGTGCTGGAACCGTCCCGCCCCTGGCTATGCCAGCCTTGCTCTCCAATTCAGGCTCGAGGAAAGAGTTCTTAGTTTTGGAGTAGGTCTTGATGAGGCACTGGTCAGTCTTCGAGCGTAGCTGTGGATAAAGGTCAAGATGATTGCAAAGCCTGGCCTGGTGGTAAGAAAGCTAGTGAAATCTGACGTGAGTTGAAAAAGACAAAGAGACGAGGAACGAAAAGCAACATGACGCAGGCGCAGAGATCTTAGAATAGACCGACCAAGTCAAAATCGCGCAGCCAGGGTGAGATACAACCACATCTGGATGTAGATAAATAGACATGGCTGGTCTCGGCGACTCAGACACACGACATCTCTTCACATTTGGTCCGGCCAGATCGTGAGGCCCAGGGTCAACAATGCCCTTCAACGTTGGTGCGCATGAAGTAGGTGCCTCGGATCTGTTCAACACAGCAATAACACACAAGGCGATAAGGATGAAAGACAACAGGCAGACTGAAGAAAAGTGTAAGACCCAAAGGAATTCAATTTCATCCTAGGCCACAAGCATGCACTCCGCTGGGTATCAGAAAACAATGTGAAGGAGGTTGCTTTCTGGCATAAACAGCTAAAAGGGAACATCGTGCGTATTGCACAATCCCTCGTCAACCTCTCCACCGCACCTCGTAGAAGCTTCCCAGTACTCAAGGATAAGCCATCTGGCTCGGGCTGGCATAGGGCTTTTCTGTGGTGGGGTCGATCCCAGTCGTTCTGACCTTGACCTCTTTGTTCTCCTGGATCAAGGCGCAGCAAGTGCAGCAGCACGAGGTGCAGAAATCGCCGCAGCTGCCACCCTCGATGCCGTACTTTTCTCGGAGCGACGTTCGGTTGATGCATTGGAGGATGCATGAGACGCCAAAGCACGAAAGACAATACCAGGCAAGGCACTGAAAGTAAGTCTGTCAGATGAAACTGAAGGTGATGAATCGAGAAATAAAACCATACCGAGCCATTGCAGCCGCTGGAGTCGGGGTCACCACGTTCGATGTCTTGATTCTTGCCATAGAGAATACATGGGCACCAGCATGAAAGACAGCCTGGAGTGGAGTTTAGTCATCTATGCAAGCGTATCCAGAAAATCTTTTTGGTGGTCACGTACATGTTCCAAAGGGCGAGAAGCAGTCAAAAAGACCGAAAGACCATGCACCGTTGGCGCCGCGGGAACCATGGTTGTGGTTCTGTGGATATGCTACAGCAGCGGCTCCACCGTTGTGCTGGTGGGGAGCGCCCATCGGTTGCTGCATAGGAGCGTCAGCGCCGTTGTACGTCTTTTCATTTGGTTGAGCCATTGTTGTGTATATGTGTGAAAAGGCTCCGTGAAGGCGATGAGAAGGAGAAAAGGAAACAGAGCAAGGTTCGTGACAGCGATGAAAGAAAAGGCGATGTCGATCTGGAGTGGGCCCTGTCGGAAGAGAAGAAAAAGAACGTATGGAATAGAGGTTGATGAGGCCCAAGGCCTCTGGCAGACTGGCTCATGATTGATATATCAAGGGACGAGGCCCCAGAAAAAGTGACAGTGGAGACCTTCTATTATGGGGCAGGGTGATCAGGGCATGGAGCGAGCCTGGATGGGGAATGAACCCTGGACGATCCGAAACCTTGAGTCGATAGAGCAGTGGTTAGAGGTCCAGCTGAGGAAGAAAAAGCTTTGAGAGAGTCGAGGCATGGCGAGTGACAGAGCGTCGCGTCGCATGGACAGGAATAGAGGAAGAGCGGATGGATTCGATAGTTGTGATGATGGTGGTGTGGATGATGGTCGACGGGGCAGTTGCCATCCATGCAACCGAGCCCTGCCGTGCCTCCGTGCCTGCCATGCCTGCTGGGGCCAGTTGGTGGCTCCTTCCCCCTGCCTGAGGCTGAAGCGGGGTTTCTCTGATTGGGAAGGAGCATTCAGTGGACTCGCCTGTGCTCCTCCTGCCCCGTAAGGCGTTCGATGAAATCGCTACACGAACGCTATCCTGATCCCTGGCCCCGTCCCTGAGCATCCTGAAGCTGTAGCATTGCTGTGCTCTTGTCTTTTAGACTCTCATGACTCTTCAAAAAACATAGTTGCGTATGTGTATCCATAAATAAATCGAGTGGGGATCTGAGGTTGATTGCATATGTCAAGGTGGAATTTACGGCCATGCTTCTTCGTTCAAAGATGCATGTGTGTGTGCAAGTACATAGGTACTCCCTTTGTCAGAACAACGAGGAGATGAGTGATTGGCGTGTGTCGTAATCTCGTGTTCAATCAGGCTGGGCTGCTGGCATCTGCGACAATGTGCTACCAAACTTCAGCCCCTAATATGGGATCTGATCCTATAGGGAGGATCAGGGCTAGGGGCCAGGTATTTCGTGACTGCTGTCAACACGAGAAGCCATAGACATGGCTGTTTGAGCGGCTTGGTCTCAGATCCAGAGACAGCCAAAGGACGAAGGATTGTTCTCCCATGGCGAAGGATCAAATTATGGTGATCAAGGGTCCAAGTGGGCATGACATTCTGACACACCGGCTTAATAAATGAATAGAGTAAGTAGTGGAAGGATTATCATGGCACTGAAGGATTCTTCCTGTTGGGGGCTGAGGAGTCTCTATTTCTTCCCTCTAGTGAAATAGCTAGACTGTCTAAGTAGGGCAATGTGATGCTAGCTGCCGCTGATTGCAACACGTGTTGAACGGTGAATGTTTATGTTTTGAATATGCAAACTGCACGACACCGAGTTTATCGTTCTACACTATCCCTTTCCCCGATGATTATTTGGACTTGTGTAGACGTTTGAAGGAAGTTGCTCATCAGCCCCAATTGTCGTCAAGACAATCAATATGATCACTACCCGTTCTCAATCAACGCAATCATTGCCATGATCAAGAAGAGATTGCAATTGCATCAATCATACCTATCCTAGGCTATGCAGCTGTACAAGCAGGGCACCTCCCTTCAATACCTATGTACCATTTGTGCCAGAGCCATTGCGTGTTGTTGTAGACGCCATTGCTTGGTCATAACTCTCCCTAATAGTGTTCAAGATTTCTTCAACCGTCTGTTCACTCTGGTCCCCAGGAAACCTTTCGTCGAATTCCTCCACGAGAATGGGGACGAGTTGACGATCATAAGACGAGTGTGGATCTGCATCCTCCATCTCTTCATCAACCGGCTCCTCATTTGTAAGGTTTTCAGCATCACCACCATTGACAGCCTCAGTCTCGGCATCTTCACCGGGCGCGGAACCTTGGGGGAGGAGGCTTTTGGGGGTGCCAATACCCAGATTGACGAGCATCAGGGCTTCAGGCTTAGTCAGGCCCAGGCGGCGCAGCTTGGGGACGACATCTTTGATAAAGACATCAGGAGAGGTCTGATCTGCCACATAGGGAACAGTGGTGTCTAAATATCTTGCTAACTAGCAAAGGCATCAGAAATAAGCCTCGAATCCAGCCTGCGACCAGACGACCACAGATGTTTCACTTACATCTTGTCGAATGTTGACATAATTCTTCAGGTCGACAGCTAGGTAGCTCCCCACCTTCTTGGCGCGCGGCCGAGGAGGGTTCTCTTTGAGGAACTGGTGAACCTCTAGCGTCGACAGGACAGCCGACTGGGGATCGAGGATTTTCATGGGAGTGGTGGGGTTGGAAGAGGAAGCAAGAGATCAGGACATGGACCGAGAATGAGTCGGGCGCGAGACACCGAGTAATGTAATGCGTAGTTGGAAGAGCATTCTACCGCCTCAACAGACACAGGAACTTGGTAAACTTCACCCTCTCATCATGGCATTGGTGTGGTTAATACCAGTGGTTGTGAAAGGTATCACATCTGGTTCTCATAATAAATTTCCTGGTGGCAGAATCCAGTCGCAGTTTCCACAGAAGTCTCCTCACACTTGCCCGATTTGGAGGCGGTAAAGAGTGACTAGGAGATTCAATTATCACGTGCTTCACATCGTCGTCGTCGTCGTCATCGCCTCTCACTCAACTGTCCTCCAGTCTCAAATCAGGCCAACGGCATCAATTACTATCCATCAGCTAGGATTTGTATCCTTTTCATGTGCAGGTCTCAATACAATGTGACACTTGTTCGGCCTTCATCGACCGTCCATCTGACCATCTCAACCTCCACCCCTCCCGCCTGGTGGGTAGACTTGGATTGATACATTTTGCTCCTCGACCGAGAACCACCCAGTAACTCCGTCCGCCGACGCCATGCAGATACATTCAGAAACTCCAGAACATGGCATTTAACATAGACAACATAGACGGCTGATCCATCGTCTCATGCTCATGCCTTTTCTTTCCGCTTCTTCTTCTTGTCTGCCTTTGCTGTCTCCCCGTCCTCCTCGCTTCTCTTCCGCTTCTTGGTCCCATCTTGCTCGCCATTGGACTGGGCCGACGCAGCCTTTGCGGCAGCCTTCTTGGCCTTCTTGATATCCTTCTTGGAAATGGACGACGGAATGCCATCTTTGCTGAATTCAATCTCCCCGCGCTCGAGTTTACGGTTGTATCGCTCCACGCTCAGTCCAGCCAGTTTGGCAAGCTCTTCTACACTTCGCTTCTCCCCGCTAGCTTTCTTCGAGTCCTTGGACTTTTTCTTTGATGACGACTTGTCAGATGTTCCATTGACGCCGTTCACGCTGGCGGGAACAATAGCCGCCGCTTCATCTGAGTCGATTGGTTCGTCGGGCTGTGACTCTCCTTCCTCAGACTCGGCATCGCTTTCTTCGGCATCGTCCGCCTTGACCTCTTCGATCAGCTGCTTTTTGGATTTCTTCTCCTTCTTGGCAGGCGCTTCGTCTCCAGCTAGACCGTCTGCATCAGGGTTGTATTTCCGCGCCTCCTTGATCTCCCATTTCTTGGGTTGTGGTGTTGCGGCTACTCCATTTGGTGCTATCCCAACACCACGAGGCTTCAACGGCTTGCCTTCGATTGCAGCAAGTTTGCGTTCCAGATTGTTTCTTGCTTCCAAGCCAAGAGCAGCTTTTTCGTCTTCGGGAATGTTCGCCTCGTCCGCGCCCCAGTCATGCAAAGCGTCCACTCTGAGACCCAAGGCCGCTTTAGCGGCAAGGATGCGGGCCATCTTGCCCTTGTTCTTGCCGGTCGCCTGTCCGATCAGTGAGGCGTGGTACAACAGACCGTACTTTGGGGTATCATGTTTTGTCTTGAGGGCTCGGAAAAGCGCCTTTTCCGCGCCGAGAATTTGGATGGTACTGGCGGGGCTCTTGGAGAGGTTCATCAAGCTACCAGCATGAGCAATAAGCCGAGCTCCCACCAGCTCACCCACAAGCGCTGTCAAGTTGGGCGCGATGGCAGACATCCGGGCGGACAGATAGCTTGCTAGTTGGGTTCGATACTCGGTGAACTGGACGACCTGGTCTGCCAGGCTCTGGATATTCTCGAGATCTTCCTCTGTGATTTCCGTTCCCATTGAACGATCCGCTGCAGCCTTGACCGCAGCCTCAATCTCCTCAGGAAGGATCTCTGCCAAATCACTTTGTTCCCAATTTGTCCGCATCCCCATTTTGAGCACCACTTTGGCATATGCGAGGTTGTCATTGAGGATCTTGGCCATTTCCGGGAAATGCCAACCATACCATTCCTTGACTCTCATGGCATATGTGTTGAGCTCCTTGTCCAGATCATCCAAAAGACCAATGGCTTGGACAATCATGACATCGATCTTGTCGGGAGAAAACTTGAGTTTGTGGCGTGCGAGTGAGTGGGAGAGACCTAGAGACATGGTCTTGACGTCTTCGGGTAATAGGCCGGGAATCAGGGAGGGGAGGTGTTCGCGAACAGCGCGGTAGAGGTCGGCGGTCGTCGAGTCGGCAATAGCCTTGATGTCAAGGCCTGGGAGTTTGCCAATGGCATTGCCTAGCTTTGGGTCTGCAACTGCCAAAGACAATTTCTTCTCGTCTTTCAGGGAGTCGAGTAGAGACGCAAGCTTGGGTGTGATTTTGCCCTCCACGATGGCGGCAGCCTCTTCCAACGCGGCGGCAGCACTGTCGAATTTCTGGAATTCTTTCAGTTTGAGTTGAGAAGTGACCTTCTCAACACCAGTGAGTTCGGCGACCAGATCATCCCGCTTGAGCAGTTTCTTGTCTTTGGCCTTGAGCAGAGCGTAACCAGCAGAGGTTTCGGTGAGAATGAGGAGTGTCATGTTGACAGCGGAGGCGCAAGAGCGCGCAGTAAGAGATGTTAGATATGGTTATACTGCCGAGTGAAGATATGAAGTGTGAGGGTCTAATTATGCTGGTGTTGCGCCCATCTGCAAGAAGTTTGTTCAAGTAGAAGTTGATGGACGACTCTCCAAAAAATTGAAGCTGGAACAAATTTCGGGCCCGCAGTTGCCAAGAAGTATTTTAGGCCAAGGCGCTATATGTGATAGCGCTGTTAAACGATGATAAAAGCGCGCTAGACACAATTAGCTTGGTTAAGTGGCCGTAGTAGTGAAGCAGCCACTTCAGCTTCCTTATTCTGTCTCCAACTGCATCCCCATCTATCAATCAGATACCATCACCAACTACCATACACTTCAATATCCTCTCCTCTCTCGGTCCACCTTCGTTCCTGTCCTCTCGATTCGCCGGTCTCCTGAGTTCTAGCTTGTGCCACTCTTTCTTCAGCTCCCTGATAGTTTGCCTACGCACGAAACGAGCTCCCGACTAGGACCTGCCCTCATCCAAGGCTCCCTTCATAGAGCTGTCTTCCATACTGGTCCAGGGCTTTGCAGTTGTCGACCACAATGGAAGGTGGGTGAATCAGTTCTATTCTTTTTGACTTGTCTGACTTTAGAACTTGCAGGCCTTCTGTTCAACGTCAATGGCGGCTATCTGGAGGGTATTGTTCGAGGGTATCGCAACTCACTCTTGACCTCTACAAATTACAGCAATGTTTGTCAATCCCACTCCTCCTACTGACTTCTTATTGACATCTTCAGCTCACTCAATGCGAGTCTATCGATGATGTCAAGTTGCAACTGGGCCCTGCCTATGGCGAGACATTGTCGACTCTCCCTCCGAACCCTTCTACATCGGCCCTTGCTGCCAAAACCACCGAGAAACTCGTCGCCGACTTTAGGTATTTGCAAGGTCAGGCGACAGGATCGTTACACAAGTTTATGGACTACCTGACCTACTCCTACATGATCGACAATGTGGCATTGTTAATCACAGGCACACTACATGAGCGAGATACAAAGGAGTTGCTCGACAGATGTCATCCGTTGGGATGGTTTGAAACACTTCCTGTTCTGACAGTCGCCACCAATATCGAGGAACTGTACAATTCAGTTCTGATCGAAACACCACTGGCCCCCTATTTCAAGGGCAGCCTCAGCCACCAAGACTTGGACGAGCTCAACATTGAAATCGTTCGAAACACGCTATACAAGAATTATCTGGAGGATTTCTATCACTTTGTCAACAACGACCCCGAGATGTCTCTGACTACCACTGGACAAATCATGTCCGAGATCCTTGACTTTGAAGCCGATCGACGAGCCATCAACATTACCATCAACTCATTCGGGACAGAACTCTCCAAGGACCAACGGAGGAAGCTGTATCCTGACATTGGCAAACTGTACCCCGAGGGTATGCTGATGTTGTCGAGAGCGGAGGATTTGGAAGGTGTAGCACTGGCCGTGAGTGGTGTCGGCGACTACAAACGATTTTTTGATGAAGTCGGTTTCAATCAGGGCGGAATTGGGGCTGGCAATCAGTCTGGTGGACTTGGGACTGAGGCGAAATCGCTCGAGGATCTTTTCTACCAGAAAGAGATGGAGTTGTCCAAACTGGTCTTTACCAATCAGTTTACACATGCCATCATCTACGCTTGGGTCAAATTGCGGGAACAGGTAAGCATTACTGCTGCTGATAGTGTTGGCAACCACATACTGACCAGAAACAGGAAATCCGCAACATTACTTGGATCGCCGAGTGCATTGCTCAAAACCAGAAAGAAAGGATAGGAAACTACATCAGTGTGTTTTGAACCAGCCAACATTGTTTAATAAGGGATAGCGCACCGGCGTTTGTTAGAGGCTCCTGTGAGAGTTATCAGATATATTGATCTACGGATGTACAACCACCGACGAATTGAGCATGGCTCAGCCAAGATGTTCAAAACCTCAGTCTTCACCATGTCTCTTCACTGTTCAACACTGTCCAACACTGTTGCTGCAGCCAGCGTGAGGATGTCTGATGTTGAACACGTGAATGCAAAACGCGGTGTGGCATAAACATCAGAGTGGCCGACACCTTCCCTTTCTCTTCTTATCCCTGGACATAATTACTACTGCATGAATTCTCTCTTTCATTTTCCATTGACTCTCACCCTCACAGTATCGTCTTCCACTTCGACAACTCTTATCCATGTCATCGATCTCATCGATATCTTCATTGCAAGTACCAGACACATTCCTACTTCCAAGTACATCTTCCATACGAGTACGCGTCATTCCCAGTCCCATCCCGTGAACGAAACTGGTCTGTCTTCGCAGTCTGCCCCGCATTACTTATCAAACATTCGATCAGAGTAAGAGATCGGAAGTACAAAATGACACGCCAATCTGAGGTTAAGGCGGGACAATCGCTGTCGATATCTGCACCATCAAGGCAAGTATCATGGGTATCCCAATCCTTGAGCCCAGCTCGGCCGGCCTCAGAGATCCAAAAGCCAGAACCCTACCCACCTGTCCCCTGGTCATTCCCTCAGCGATCCAAGCAGACAGTCAGCAACCCACAGCCTTGCCAAGCAAATGTCGATGGTGGCCTCATTTCTGGCCTCATTCCCAAAACATGCAATCGTCCAGAGTGTCGGTGCAAGACTGCTGTGAGCCAAACCAAACCAAAGCCCGACAAGGTCAAGATCACGGTCAACACAGCTGCTTTCAACCACTCCACCATCTCCACACCGCTCTCCAAACCATCTGTCAACACTAAGACTGCTGCTGAAGCGAACATCACTCCTTCCCCCATCAACCCCCTTGAGACACCATGTATCGACCAATGTCCCATCCCCGGCCACCTTCGGGATATCGTCCTGCAAGATGTCTGGGACACTGGCAAAGTCGGAAGCTTCGTGAATCACGGCTACGTCGCCAAAGGATCCAAGGACGCGGCATTGACCAGAGCATATAAGAAGGCCGCAGGAACAGCTACGAATCTCGAAGTCGTCAAATTCTGTCGACCACCAACACCAGTGTCAATCTCACCATCGTCGTCGCCATCAAGCGAACTCCTTGACACGATTCACCGTCGCAAAAACCTATTCCAATCCTCATCCTCATCTTCATCATTAAGCAAACCCGGACGCAACAACACCAAACGAGGCTCACGGACAAGAAAAATCCGACCGAAACTCGATCACAACACAGTCGAGCAGAGACTGTTACTCACACGCAGAAAAGCAGCCTGTCGAAAATATTTGCCCGCGACGGTGGACTTGCACATCACAGAGCATGAGGTACCCGCGACCACGAATCTGGCTCACGAGTATTCGGCTGCGTTGGCTTGGTGGTATGATACCGTGGATGGTGTGGCTGTGAATAAGAGGATTCCTCAAGCAGATTTGCCGGTGGCGGATATGTATCAGTATGATTGATTGATTGAGTGATTCAGTCTATTGATTTGTGAGATACTGGACTGGGTGTTGGTTGGGTTGTGATGGGTTGGGTTTGTCTTGACGAGTGATTTTGTGTGTGCGAGTGATAATGATGGAAGGATGAAGGATTCACAAGTGATATCAAGATCAAGATCAGGATCAGATCAAGGTCACGTCACGTCAGGTCGTAAGCCGCGAGACCCAAGTTCTAGGTATCAATACCATTGTGTGGTAGCAAAGATGTCAATAGTATGCATGCCTGGATTCATTCACATTTTGTGATGTACTTGTTCGTTCTCTGTAGACTTGCTTGGTCCTAGGAATTGGTGATTGCAATTGATGAGAACAAAGGTGAAGAAGAGAGACGCTTCTAATATCTCATAGAGACTCAGTATACCTCGCAAGTCTTGATTGTTTGATCATCTATTATTCTCTAGAGAAATTGCTGTAGCTTCAACTTCTCATCACTGTACCCAGTGCTCACGGCCTATCTAGCTCTAGAATCCCAAAAATCCATGGTGTTGTCGAGATAAACATCACAACCAGTACTAACCCGAATCAAGCCCAAATCTCTTGTGTTGTCGCTGCTGGCCTCGCGGCTATGGCAATTGGAATTGGGACGGCACTGTCTGACTTGAAAGCGCAAAGCAAAGCAGAGCGACTCTCGTCAAACCTCCCATCCTTCCGCCTTGATGCTACCCCAATGGAAGCCCTCTCCAGCACTTGGTTCAAGGTGCTTCTATTTTATGCGTGTTTTTGGTATGTGTGCGTGGTTTATCTTGCACAGAAAATGTACATGCAGCAAAAGTAAGACTGCATTTCCAACTCCGTCAGCGCTCCATTTGTCCTCCAATTTGTGTCATCCTCTAGCCAAGGCGCGACAGGTTGGGGCAGCGCAGTCATAGTTAATATAGAACCACAACTTGGAGTAATAAAGAAAGATGCAGACATCCACCCATTAGAGCTCGAGCAAGTCGGCTAACCAGAAACTCCAGGGGCTTGGCTAACGTCTTCTCCCAGCGGTGTCACCTAATCATACTGGAACAAGACGCTAATGCTCTCTCCGTAGTGAACTCGTCGGATAGCCTGGAATCAATAATGTTAGAATGGCAGAGGGAGGGTGTGGATAATTTGCCGCCACTCACCTCAGCAAACACGTGACCGACTTCGAGCACCTCCAACTTGGGACATCTCTTACGATGTTCAGATTGATCGACGGTGTTTGTAACAATGACCTTGTCCAACGCACTGGCGTTGATCCTATCGATAGCATCACCACTCAAGACACCATGGGTAACGAGGGCGTAGACTTTGCTTGCCCCTTCTTTCTTGAGCAATTTAGCGGCGCGAGTGATGGTGTTGCTGGTATCTGCGAGATCATCAATGAGGATAGCGATTTTGCCAGAGACATCGCCGACCAGCATCATGGTGGCGTTCTGGCGATCAGTGATTTTGGTGGGGCGACGTTCTTTGTGAATCAAGGCAAAGTCCATGCCCAATGAATCAGCAATGGCGGTGGCTCGTTTGGCGCCGCCCGCATCAGGGCTGACGACAATTCCATTTCTATAGTCGGGAATATGTTGCTGGATGTATTTCTTCAACAGGGGTCGACCGTAGAGATTATCGACGGGAATGTCGAAGAAGCCTTGGTACTGTGGATCGTGCAAGTCCATAGTGATGACATGATCGGCACCGGCACAGGTGAGAAGGTCAGCGACCAGAGTACCGGCTTGAGCGACCCACTGCTTGTATCCAGGGCGTGGTTTGAAGGTATCAGGAGCAGCTTCGAACTTGGGAGATTGTTGAACAGCAAAATCGTGATTGGCGACGCCATTTGTCGAAGCAGTGGAGTTGGTACGTTTCCGAGCAGCACCTGCAAAGTATTCCGACTTTGTGCTCGACTGGGAACTGGAATCGCGATAATGGCTGAAACGAGCTTGGTGGGCTGGACTGCTCTCGACTGCATCGAGGTCAGTCCGGGAAGCAGCCTTGTGAAGTTGGTGACCGTTGGCCAGGCCGGGACTTTCGTGCTTTTCTGGATGGGGGGTAGGAGGGGTGCTGTCGAAGGTGTAGCCTTGATCGTGTTTGGTGGACTGGCTCGAGGCCTTGATGAGTGGGGCGCCGGTCTTGTTGTAGGGGATATCCGATTGCCGAGAATATGGGAACAAGGGTAGGATGGCAGTAACTTTTTTGGCCGAGGCAGTCTTGCAGGCTGAGATGGCGATGAGAAGTTCGACGAAATGGTCATTGACCTTGCCTCCGCCTGACTGGATTATGTAGACATCCTTGCCGCGGACGGACTCGCCGATTTCGACACGAGTCTCGCCCACGGCGAATTTTGAGAACAAAGCAGAACCTTGTTGAATGCCCAAGACATCACAGATTGTCTCGGTGAGGGCAGGATGGGAAGAGCCCCCGAGGACAACGATATTACGGACCATGGTGAACTGAGGAGGGAGGGGTTTGAAGGTGGTAGGTCGAAGACAAAGATTTTTCGAGATGAGTGGAGATGGTGAGTCGGTAGTGAATGTGGTCAGGTTCAGGCCGTGGGATGACCGTCAAACAAGAGAGAGGTCATGCAGCGTCCAAGGCAAGAAGATCAGAATGCATGAGGCATGCAACGCGGTGGTTGTAGAGCGACATGACGAGAACGAGATCAAATCCAAAAGACGAAAGATTCCGGAAGATGAAGTGAGTCGACGCCTGCGCTGCATGAAAGTTTCTTCGCCCGCCCCACCTTCCCTATCGCCATGCCTGGTCATGCGGAGTCGCACCTGCCCTTGTGTGCCTGGACTGTGACTGCCCTCTTGCCCACAAATTTTCCGACTGCAGGCGCCATCTCGCCATCTCGCCATCTGTAAATCTCATCTCATCTCATGCCCGCAACCCCCCGTCTGTCCCCCAATAATATCCCCCCTGTTTCGCTCTCCCACTCCCGAGGTACAAGGGATGGCGTCATGTCAACCCTGGAACATGAGATCTCTACTCCCTGTGCTTCTGCGTACGACGCTACTACTAGGTACTTACGGAGCACGGGTAGTTATCGGAGTACCGGCCAGTTACAGACGTAGATGCCCTTAAGATGTTGCTCACATTCGTCCAGGTCCAAGGAAAATTCCGTAGACGATACACTAAGCCCATTATGCGTCACATGACCCATTATTAGACAGCCCCAGCCATCAAGATCAATGCCATTCATGGAAGAGGTCAGAGCCCTTGCCTTGTGGTCTATTGGTACATAATACTTGGTACATAATATAGTCCGAAGCTAGTAGAATGCGTTCGTTGAAAGCTTTGTCTCTGTAGCCTCCGTAGCCTGCGTAGCCATCAGATGATCCCTTTGCCCTGTCCTTTGATTCGTCACTCTTCTGTACCTGCCGTTTCTCTCACTGTCTTGCCCTGTCCCTTCCTAATTCTCATCAAGGCGCCTGCCCAACATGACATCTCCGTGCACGTGAGCAAAGTACGGAGGCACAGAGGCAGGAACCTCTCCACATCACGGGGAAGGTAACGCGGGGTCACGAGACAAGGGACCTCGACGTCTTCTCTCTTCTCTTCTGGAACAATATCCCACAACCCATATTTCCGCAGTCTCTGCCAATGAGACTATGACAAGAAGGGAGACCACTTGCTGACTGATCCGCTCTAGCCAGTATCCATGTCATGATCGCTTCAACTTCGGATGGGTGATTCCTTGTCTACAACCCCAGGCACCCCATCCATCTCGTTGCTGACAAAGTGTTGATATAAGGGCCTTCACCAAGTTACCTCCCACACCTGATGCCATGTTCAATGGCCGCACATGTCAAACGAAACAGACTTGGCCCTTTCCTGACCGGCAAGGATTTGCTGCAACGCGATTGAAGCCATGCAAGCCAACTCCACGGTTCACCTAGGCCGCGTCGTCAAGGCTTGCGACAGATGTCATCGCCAAAAGCTCAAGGTGTGTGGCTTCACCTACATTACCTCTGACGGCAGCCAGATGCTCAATTATATCTAGTGTGATCCATTCAGGCCATGCATGTTATGCCAACGTGCCGGCGTCGCATGCACGACCTCGAACACCAAGTCCCAAGGTGTTAAGCGGCGCAGAAGCAGCTCTCGCCCTGATACTCGTAATACCACAGTCCTATCAGAAGTCACTCCAGCCCATGAAGCATCCGTCTCTATCAAGGCATCTACATCGAGGAGCCAAAGTAACGTCACCCCCGAACCCACCATCAACACGATAGAGAACCAAGACCTCCGTGGCACCACTTCTAGCATTGAATTCGCTCGCAATGTTTTTGGGACTGAAAGCGGTGACAAGCTCACCAGCACCTCCCTCATTCCCGGTCATTCTGGCACTGTCTCATCACACGACCATGTTTGGTCCCTCCAGCACCTACAATTACCTTCCAGAGAGATTATGCAGATCCTCATCGACAAATACTTTGATGGCTACCACTGGTACATCTCTCTGTTCCATGAGCAGCAATTCCGCCAACTAGCTGACCGCATCTTGGCCACTTCAATATGGTCTCGCAAGGACATGAGCAATGTCAACGTCGTTTTAGCAGTTGCTCTGCTTGGTCTGCAGGTCGGCCTTGAGGACGACTCCTGGTCTGACCTTGGCCGTCTCAATTCCTTGTCAGTCGACGGTAAGAAACTGCTACACAATTTGTCCACAGAAATACGACTCCATCTCATCGACATTATTGACGACTGCGCCCTGGAAGCCGTTCAAATTTGCCTCCTCTTCGCAACTTTTCACGTCTATCACGACTCTCCTAGCCTGGCCTGGAGCTTGACAGGCATGGCCATCAGCGTTTCGTACGCCCTTGGTTTGCAATCCTCTCGATCCACCACCTCCGACTTCATCCTGCGCCAAATTCAATATCGCTGTTGGAACCACGCCATGGTCGCTGACAACTTTGCCTCCATGATCTACGGCCGCCCTGGTTCCATTGACCCGACCTTTTCCACCGTCCATGAATTATTAGATCTCGATCAGAGAATCACCGATCCATCTGTCCTGACTCATCCTGTCTATGGCCTCCAGAATGTACCAAATACTGCGTCATTTCCCAATCTCAAATGCAAGCTCTACAGAATCATAAGGCATGCTCTCGACCGTGTTCGTGTCCGCAAACAAAATAATGACCTCTGTGGAAATGAGATCGAGGCAAGCATCAAAGGGTCAAGACATGTCCAGGAGCTTCTAACCCAGATCCGCGCATCGTTTCCACCCCTTTTTGAGTGGGATAACTGGGTTCATGCCGATCCCTGGAAATATGCCGAGGACCCGGACAGCGGCTTGCCGATGCGCAATCAATGGAGACAATTGCTCCTGCAAGCATCCATGATCCAAATCCTGTACAATGCCGCTGTCATATTGACCCACCGTCCATTGTTGGAGCACAAAATCTCGTCCCTTGGCGAATCTAAGCCATCCAAGTACGTTCTTGAATCGATTCGAACCTCCTTGAATACTGCTGTGCAGGCCGCTCTGTGCATGTCTCGGATAGCACTTCAAAGAATACACAACCAGTTTTGCGTCTCTTTTGCCTTTATGCACCTCTTCACTGCCGGCGTGGTCTTGTGCATGGTTCCTGCCAGCCAGCCACTCTCAGACTTGTCCCATCAAGCCAAAGCAGGAGTTGTGCGCATCATTCGCATGAGTCAGGACTTGCGGTCCAAGAATCGTGTCGCCCGACATACGGAGAAGTTGCTGAGCGAATTGCTCAAGATCACTCTTCAACGAGAGATTGATAATGCTCTCAAGGCACAAACCATTCCCGACTCGACACAGCGATCGTCAAGTCCTCTTCGTGAGACCACAAAGCATCGTACAGAGACAAGGGTAAATCCAAACACTGCCCCTGGGATAGATACCGCCGAAACATCGATTGAACACGCTCAGCAGCCGTTGTGGGATGTAACTCCATCTACATCCAATGTTCAACCCATACCCGACCAGTACGGCACTGCTTCCATGCACCAGCCAAACATGGATATGGGCGAGGAAGGCGGCATGTTTATGCCCTACCAATTTCCCACTAGCCAGTGGCCTTTCGGTGGTTACAATGACATGAGTTTTGATGCTGGAGGGTTCGACGAAAGTGAGTAATATTGGATGATTGTTTGCTTAGCAGAAGAGTCTAACCTGTTTGCAACTCATAGTGATGTTCAATTTGCTGCCATTCGAGAACAACAGGAATGCCAACTCCGGATATCAGTACCAGCCATGAAAGTTCAGTGATCAGCGCCGTCAAGGATAGACACACCGAAACCACCACCATCACCAGCAGTTGCTGCTGCGCGAGATGCACCTAAGCATTTTCCCGAAGTAGCGTCTCCTCCGCCGACTCGCGGAGATGAGACTAGGCCTTAATGATATCGATGAACATGATTTAGGTCAGAACATGTCAACTCATCTATTAATATTCCAAAAGTTAAATCTCTACCCAAGGAGGAAGCAAAAATTCTCTATGAGAGGATGTGCACACCACGATATGCACACTGGATTTTTATGTCTATCATCCATAGTCGGAGGTTACATACCCAGGCAGGTTGGACCAGAGCAAGATATTTCGTGCTCATTCATGACCAGACGCTTGAAAGAAAGCCCAAAGCCAATGTAAATATATCGAACAAGAACAGAATCCAATTCGATTCCCCGTGATGTGATTGTAATTCATGATCACATCTGATCCATTCCATTCCCCTTTTTTCTCTCTTCCCAGAATCATACAGCATATTCATCGCATCAATCACCCGTATCGACCTCAAGATCTAGCTGCACATTATTACTAACTCCATAATCCTGCAAAGTCAACTGATCCTTGAACGGCCGTTCACCTTGTCTCTTGAGCAGAATCTCATGCGGCCGACGACCAATCATAGACGCCACAATCACCTTGAAATCCTTGACGGGATCCGTTGCAAAACACGGTATTGCCTTTTTCGTCCCTAATCGATCATTGACGTAGACAATAATCATGGGTTGTGTTGGTGCCGCTGGTGCGGCTGGTGTTGATGTTGTACTTGACGACGTGGTTTTCTTGTCCTTTTTTTTGTCTTTCTTTTCTTTGGCGTTGTCTTTGTCTTTTCCGTTTTCACGGTCTCGATCCTGACCTCGGTCTCGATCCCTATCTCTGTCTTCCCGTCTTGGTGACCGCCGTCGTGAAGGCGGTGTCCTTGATCTTGATCTTGATCTTGATCGTTGTCGCGGCCGGTAATGGTCTTTATATCCTCTTTGTAATCCTGAGTCTCGGCCGTCTCTGTCTCTGTCGCGGTCTCTGTCTCCTCGATCATCTTCCCGATCACGTCGCTTTTCTTTCCATTTGAATCCTGCGTCTTTTCGCCGTCGAAGTCGATCTTGATCTCGGTCTCGGTCTTGTCGTGGCGATCTACTGCGTTGACGTTGTTGGTCTCTGCGCGACGAGGCTGAGTCCGGTCGCTCTGTGTCGGACATTGTTTGGTGGAGTATGGTAAAGGTTATTGGTGAAAAAGGAGAAATAGAGGCCGGTTTAATTCTTGAGTCATGTCATGTTGGTTCAAAAATGTCCAAAGTGAAATGAAATTCAGATTGCGTCATGCGGGGAAAAGTCTCACCGCAAATGGTACGGTGGAGTGGAGGTACGGTCGCTACCGCGGAGCATTAATTTGCTTGCCATACACGCCACGCTTGTGTCAACTAACTTGGTGACCTGAAGTCCATTGACTCAATCAAGAACTTAGGCTGTTCACCAACTGACTCAATATGCTTACTTATTACATGGTCATGATAAACAAATCGAAATTTAAATGTTATCATTAGTCCTCGTTGTTCCGACAACGTTGGGTGAGCTACGAGCTCTTCTGCAGCCGTACCAGGATACTTAGGAGTGATTTGAAAGTGTCTAATCACCCATCAGAATCCGCATGCCTAGACAATAGGTACCTTACTTAGTATCTAGAATGCAATTTACTTAGTATCTAGCAATGCTTAGGTGGATTCAGGAAGTAGCATTAAGTACCTGGTAGTTGAATGACATATGCACTACCCGGCTATGTTTGTCTCCCTCACCGCCCATAAGACTAGCCGTCTACTTTGAATAGAATGTAGCAGTACAGAATACCTTGCGGTCCCACAGCGTGGAGATCATATCTGGAACTAGGTATCGGTGTAGATCTTCTATCCGGTATGCTTCAGCCCCGGTAGGCTGTTTGAATGCTCAATGAATAGACCATGGTTGTGCTAGTTCATCGGTTTGCTCAGTGCTCACTCGCTCATCGCCATCCTGTTCACTCAGACTTGAATGCAAACGAGGAGTCATAGAAACCAGGGCTTCAACCCCGGGCTGCTAGCTGACGATGGTGACTGGGTTTGCCCATATCTCACCCAAATATTCTACGACAGCTCCCAAGTAGAGTTTCCCACCATCTTTCTCTGTCTCACCAACTTTCGATCCTTTCCACCCACGTAGCCGGAAATACTTGGTCTACCACGGGCTTGCACCGATGTTACACGATCCTCGTGGCTGTTTGTCAGCTATGCTCACGGGTGGGCTGCGACTGCAAAGGGCGTCTGGCACCTGAGATGTCCTGTTTGTCATTGCGTGTGACTCGAGGACATATCTCTATATAAGATGATAGAATGAATTTCCGTTCCATCCCCTAACCTGTTGCACGACTGACGATTGACAAATTCCCCCCCAACACCCATTTCGGATCATACCATAGTCGTCTATTGTCGCCCTCTCACGCAATGTTTCGAAGGTCGAGGCGAATAGAACCGGTTGCCTTGTTCATCTCATTGGACAAGCAACCCTCCTGGGACCGGCGATACCTGAGCCTGATACAGTCGTTGACTGAAAGGGTAGAGGTCGAGGAAGTGAACAAAGCCCGTCACGCGATCGACTATCTCGATCGCCACAACCCGGCGGTCGTCATAGTTACAGACGAAGGAATTCTAAGATATGAGACGCCCCACCCGTACTTGTCAGAAAAGCTAGTCGAGTATACGCGCGGCGGAGGCAAGGTCATCATCGGGACTCGCTTCTCTGTAGCGAGCCAGCTCTCAGAAGTCATAGACCGCTGGTTTCATATCTTCTGGCATGTCCCATGGAAAAGCGCTGAGACTGAACTGGGGTCTACGTATCTCAACATGGAGAGTCAGAGGAAATATCTGGCTGCCAGTCACCTACCCGTCAGCATCAATCTCCAGTCGATGTACTTGAAACATGTCCCACATTCCGACCGGCTTTACTGTCGCGCCATAGAGCTAGATGATGGCCCTTCTGTGTTCTGCCATGATGACACTACCTGTCAGCAGACTCCTCTCGCCATTACGAACGTTGGAAGGGGTCTTTTTGCATATGTTGGAGACGTCGATCATCGTGGTGATGTTGAAAGTATTATTTTGGCCATTTGCGAGCTAGATTGACGAACTGAAGTCTCTACCTAAGAATTCTCACTTCGATGGATTAGACCTGGATCCTATCGCTTTTATATCGCAACTGTGGAGGTTGAAGCTGAAGTATTCTGGTAGCATCATCATCATACGGTCCAATAATCAGGGGGAGTCTGGTCACTCATGCAGTGTATATATATAAATGAATATGAACCTCGTCAGCCTTGTATCGACAGATATACGCTTTTCTCATTGGAGTGTCTGTTTTAGAACCACAGAGCACTGGAATCTCTCTTCGGAGGCCATCAAGCGAGAAATACTAGAGTGTTTCTATCCAGGAACTCACCGGACCTAGATACCTTATCGTCAATAGGTCCTTTCATGGAGGCTACCAAGCGAGATATCCTAGAGGGTCTCTGTATAGGAGCTCACCGGACTTGGATACCTCGTCATCGATCACTTCCTTCATGGAGGCCACCAATCGAGATATACTAAAGCGCCTCTGCCTAGGAACTCACCGAAGCTAGGTACCTCATCCTCGACGATGCTATTCATGGAGATCACCAACCGAGAACTACTGGGGCATCTCTATCCAGGAACTCCTCAGACTTAGATACCTCGTCGTCAATGATTCTCTTCAAGGAGGCCACCAATCGAAATCTCCTAGAGTGTCTCTATCCAGGAGCTCGTCAGACCTAGATAAATCGTCGTCGATCAATCTCCCTATGGAGGCCACGAAGCTAAGTCTACTAGAGGACTTCTATCTAGGAGCTCACCGGACATAGATATCTTGTCGTTGATGATTCATTTCACGGAGGCCTACAAGCGATATCTCGCAGAACATCTCTATCTAGGAACCCACCGGACGAAGAGACCTCGTCATTGATAATTCTCTTTACGGAGGCCTACAGGGGAGAACTACTAGGACATCTCTAACTAGGTACTTACCGAACGCAGACACCTCATCGTCGATGATTCTCTCCATGGAGGTCTACAAGCAGGATCAAATCTGAGCATTTTGTCTCGAACTTCTTCATTTGCCTATCTCAGCGGCAGCGACATGCTTCCTGGCGCCGACGAGGCAACAACACCAAGAAGCGCCACTACCTCGAAAGAAAACGATTGATCAAGAAGCTCGACGATCTCCTTGGAACTTGGGGGCACCCAAGGACAAGAATACAGCCAGTTTTCATCTCTCAAGGCTCACCAACGTATCATCAATCACCAACTAGTTGCAACGCCTAACCAACCAATCAAGAAACACTAACTAACCCTAAGGGGCGAAGCCTTGCCAACTGAGGCTCTCCGCTCTCGAGGGCTCGTCTCTACCGCAATACCACTCAATTCCGGCTTCCAACCCCAAGAAGGACGTCTCGGTCCGGCAATAATGCCCTCTGCTGCCAATCGGCGTAGTCTCTCGCTGTAGTCGAGGTTAAAAATACCCCTATTGATGCAATCGGCAGTGTTGACCACGATTATGTACAGACTTTGGTAAATTCCTTCGCCATGAGTCATCTCTGCCAGTAGTCGCCTGCCAGCCTCGACTAGGGACTTGATCTTCGAGGAAGTGGCCATGAGCTCATTGCGCACGGTTATTCTTCGTTCTGGCTGGTACATTCTCATGTATTTCTTCTCAAGGGCCTGGAAATGTGTAATATTAGCCATTAGGCCGTTAGTGATGTCTTCATACGGGCCTTGAGTAGTGTCGTCGATAGTTGCTTGGCTATCGACTTCATCTTCATCTTCCTCTTCAATTGTGGCCATGGGGGGCTGGTGAAGCCGGGAAACTTGGCGAGAGAGGGGTAGACTTCTGGGGAGCTGGTCGGATCCTTGGTCATCATCGTCGTCGTCGGGGAATTGGATGGTTGGCGTGCCATCATCGTCTCTAAGCCTATGAATCCAGTTATCGCCAGAATTGCTGGCATTTCCTCCACGTTCTGCTTCTCCTGGTGCTTGGGGCAGCCTCATTTCTTGCAATTGTTGTCTGATCACGGCTTGAGCATTTTCATCTTCTTCATTGGGCTCTTGCCAGGGGTCTCCAGCCTCGGGGGCTTGCTCGATTGGCTCAGATTCATTGATGTTGGCATTTGCAAAGGTATTAGAAGGGGTTTCGGCAGTCTGGTGGGCTCTGGAAGTCTGGGAAAGGGGCTTGGGGAGGTTCAGGGCGCGTCTCGTGGTGTTTGAAGGGCTGGCAGATTCTCCAGATCTTAGAGAGAGAGAAGGAGAAAAGAAAGGTGCATTACTGCCTGGAGACTGAGTATTCTGGCCGTCGGACATTGTAGAGAACTAGGTATTTGTTTCTTTGGGGGCCAAAGGGGACAGCTTCAAGGGCTGGGAGAGGATGAAGCGACGTTCGTACTGGCTGGCGAGGAGATTGAGAGACCGCTGGACGTTGAGGAGGACGAGGACGATGCTGATTGATGCTACCAGTGCAAGAATGACCACTAAGGCCTCGCTATAGGCAAGAAATGCGTCAGTATCTTTGTGGATACACAGAATAATGCTCTGAAAAGGGGTGAGAAGGCTTACATTGTGCTTGAAACAGTGAACATTCCAATGAATGTCAGAGATTTTGATGAAATTACCCCAAAATGGGACGAAGAAGGCTCTCAATCTCTAGAGAGAGGCTTGGAAGGCAGGCTGTGGTTCTGGCAATAGCTATGAACGGCGATTGACGGTCTAAATGGGTGAATATGGGGTGATGGTGTCCGGGAGGGATTGAGGAAAAGGCTGTCGAGGGGGAGGATGCGAGAGTACCACGACCATTCACCTGAATTCAGGGCGAACGCAGGCCTATTGGGCATAGAATTCAAATCTGATAGACTCATAACACGCAGACTACGATGATTTGAGCTTGATATTAATCTATTTATGAACAGAAAAGCCGCAAAGTGCCATTGGCCTTTGTTTGGATCTATATGAATCAGAGTCACGTATATATCATATATATCACGTACCATCACGACCACAGCCTAGTCTATCACCAAATAAAGGATTTCAGGAGCGTTTTCAAGGACAAAAGAAAGACCTGAGATGTGAAAAGCCAGGTCTGGCATATTGGGGTGCTAAATGTCTGATTGTCCTAGCCCATGCGGCTGGGGAGTCTCGTGGCTCGTTGCCCTGCGGCCTTCTTCTATTGCGGGTCAGTCACCCACCCACGTTCTATTTATTTAAATCGAGGAGTTCATTAAAAAATTTTCACCTCCTTACTTTCATCCCACGACTCACTACATCTCATCAAATTTTCACAGAAAATCCACTGCTTTTGAGTCAAACAAAGGGGTATATAGGTCTTCTAGACCAGCTCAGCCTCTCAGCAAACCCTCTCTTCACCAACAACCACCCAAATGACAGTTTCAGATGGCTAAAGAGAACTTGACAGATCCAAGGTGAGTGGGATTCATCGATTTATCCCCTATAAAGGGGCTATTGACACATTGGATTGCCTCTTTTTTGCTGTTGCCAGCCTGCTAACTAGATCAACTCAGAGCTGTTGGACCATCGCGTCGAGGAAAACAAGAGCCTTCTCCCATCATCCAGCCCTATCCCATCTCATGGATCTTGTATCTTAAAGATTGAGAATGATAGGCTCAGTGCAGGATCTTCCTCGGGGACAAAAGACAGCTTCAAGCTGTCAAGACAACAACCTCCCTGATGGATTCGTTTCATCCAACTCAAAAGCTTCAGCAACGACTCCTACATACGGGGCCGGAAGTCGAGTCTGGGCCACAGCGGCACGGTCTATCTTCACAGACAACAAACACACTCACATATTACACCTCGGGTTTGATGTCCAAGAGGCCGATATCATCCTTAGAAAACCTCCATACTATCCTCCTCGACCTCTCTCATCACCCTCATATTCATGCCATCTCACTCAATCACATCCCTTCGCTCGCCTCCTTTCTCCTCCTCTTATTCACGACAAACCTTGCTTACTCAAATCAGACTTCCGTCTGGGGGCGAGAGGCCCATCTCCTTCAAGACTCCGGTCTGGGAGCGGGAGATATAACTGCGTGAAAACTCCTGGTTTGCCCAAGATTAGCTGGACAGATCGAAAAGGGCGGACGCTCCTCTGACTTGGGGAGTGAGGACACGAAGGAGAAAACTTATTCTCCCTAGCCGACTGAGGTTCAGTGGCGATGAGTTGGAGTCTCCATTATCGGAGTCTTCGATATTGGAGTCTTCAATACTGGAGGCTTCAATATTGGAGTCTTCGATATTGCTCTGGGGAAGATAAGACAAGTCAAAGATCCTGAAGACAGGCGTTTAGAAACCAACTTCGTCTTCAGGATCATTGACTTGTCTAATCTTCCCCAGAGCATCTTATGCTCCGCGGCATCCTGCCTTGGTAGTTCTGGCCATTTGGGTCGACATTATTTCATATCAGAGGCAATGTCGAACACAAGTGGCCAGAACTACCAAGGACGTGGCTATGGCCCTGGGGCTCAAAGGGCCAGAACTACCTAGGAAGTGGCTATGGCCCTACGGGAGAGAATGACAACCTTTCTCAAATCTTGGAAGGTAAGATCTGTACACCCTCCGCGCTGTTTCCCCTACTAACTAATGGATCAGAGGTCCGGCCGGACCGTCGCAGTCATAATCGGCTGCGACTAGGGTCTCCGGTGTTGGAGGCCCAGCCTGGAGACCCTAGTCAAGGAATGTATTGTCCGAATTATCCACCAGCTCACTGGGGCGTGTTAGCGGAGATAGCAACAGCCGAACATCGACGTCGGCTGGCCCGCCTCAGCTCTTAGTAGTTGTGGTGGTCCAGCTGGACGGTGCTCCGGGTCACTTCACTGGAGGTGCGCTAGGGCCTTCGATATTGGAGGTCCTGCCTGGGAGGCGGATGAAAGAAGCTGAGCGGATGGTGCAAATTATCCTCCAGTTCACTGGGGGTTGTTGCCGGCGGGCAACCCAGTCGTAGGAGCTGGTCGCGTTCGGCCGAGCCCTCTTCAGGGAAGAGGGACTGCGGGATGGGAAGTACCCTCCTACTGCCGCGGCTGGGTCCTACCCTTCCCCAGCCGAATGTTGGTTGGCTGGGGTGTTTGGGAGGAGTGGAGGGAATAAGAATGCACAGTTGACAGCCGTCTCAACTACTGTGTCAGTACTCCTCGACAACGCCCACAAGCGGCCAGCTCAGCAGACCGGGTAAGTAACCCTGTCTGCTTGCTTTGGGAGCGGGAGGGGCGGAAGATTGCGTTATGAGAACGCTCAACTGCCACGGCAGGGCCCGCTCCACCCCAAACAAAGCAGGCATAGACCTGCCTGGCTGCTTTGCCTATTGGGGTCGAGCATTCGACCTACACTCATTATGGCGAAATGGGGCGGGCCCAGCGAGGGGCGCAGTCTCTCTGTTATGGCCGGTGTGGCTCGTGTGGTCAAGGCTGCGAGTCAACCGCGTAACCACTGAGAAACACATCAAGTGGTCCAGGACACTTTGGTGTCATCAAGGGGTTGGAGTCGCTTAGGAGATGAAGGATTCAAATGGAATAACGTTGGCAACAGAAGAGGTTTATATTCCGGCACAACGTCGGGTTAAGTGGAGATGTATTGCCAGGATACCGCCGAGGTTCACTGGCAACTCATTGGTGTGTGAGAGAAGATTGGAGACAAGAAAACTTGGGATACCAATCAAAAACGGTGACAAAGTGCATCAGAGGAGAGAGAAGAGACAAACATCATCTCGTGTGTCCGATTGTATTGATCCATCACTCATGACTTGAATAACTTGAGCGTGGAAAATAAAATGCTTGTTTCAAGTAATTATCTGTATAAGTAACAAGAATCGTGACTGTTCAGGTGTTGACAAATCACGCAAAACTTCAAAGTTTACGAGAATCTGTTGTAGCCTGAGATTACCTGGAATGGGATGAGTATTGCTGAGCGAAGTGAAACTCAGCTCGAGGAAGAGACAAGACCATAAGTACTGTGAATTACGATCAGAGACTGCCAAAGCATTGAGACTTCTTGATATCAGCGGCATAATCAACAGGATGCAATGTCACTGGAACACCATATCTGTTCGACAGAGTCACGTACAGGTAGCATGGAGTAGAATGATTGTATAGCTTGATATTGGCCTCTCTCGCCATAAAGAGTCTTATCGACCAAGTATCTTGCATGGAAGCTCTGGCTTTGAGATTATGCAGCTGAGACGGTGCCCTTTATGAGATCCCAAGAGAAAGATTGCCTGCGCCACTAAGTATGTGAATAGCAAAATGCAGCAAAATGCAGCAAAATGCAGCAAAATGCAGCAAAATGCAGCGCCTGATATCAGGCTATGCTCAAAAACTCCTCCTGCGCTGGATAGTCACGTGAGCCGGGTAATACAGCCTCGTGCTCTGGTAAGATGCCAGCCATCCTACCACTTGACCATAAGGCATGGATCTTACCTCTGAGAATGACTGTTCTTATCTCTCATAAGTCCCTGAGGAAGTGATCAATCAATCGCATTGGGTAGCAAATAATGAGTCTTATACGAAAATGAAGTTGAAGTTGACTTTGAACTTTGCATCTCCATCATCGGCCTTGGCAAATATCACATGATGAATTTCCACTTCTTCCTCCTCCTCCACAACAACACTTCACTCTCGTCTCTACCACGACATCATCATTGATCATAGACCTCGAAGGTGAAGCACAGGTCTAGCTCTACTTAATTCCTGGTTGACCAAAACCACACAACCGCCATATTACCTCGTCAGCGCCACCATTCAGCCGAGGTAAGAATCTAGCAACCATGAAGCTCCGGACATGTCCATCACTCTTCCACAACAGGTCAGCCTGTCGAGCCAGATATGGAGGAGGACTGGGACCTGGAGGAAGCAGAAACCTGTCTCAAAAACCATTCATGGCACCCTCACGGCGAGCCCCTGCTGTGTCCAACAGCATATCCCATGAGGGAATATTCCAACAGTCGAACCACGTGATTGGAACGACAGTGCCGTGGTTAGTGCGAGCACAGCATACTCAAGCAACAACATCTTCTTCCTCTCGCTCGACACCAACCGTCATGGTCAATGACATGACCAACCAAGAAATCCTGGTCGATTTCCCCTTGGACGGGAAAGTGGTACGATACCCATCATTCTGGCTCCGCGACCAATGTCCCTGTTCGAGCTGTCAACATCCGACAACGCACCAACGCCAGCTCGACACATTCAGCATCGACCCAGAAATCAAAGTCCAGACGGTGAAATCTACACCCGAAGGCCTAGAAGTCACCTGGCCGACATCTCCCGCCGACGAGGCGCTTGCTTCTCAGACCTCTCCTGACTCCCAGGGGAGCCATCATCACAGCCTCTACGACTGGACATGGCTATCATCCCACCCACCATTCCTCCAAACATCCACCTCACCATCAGGAACCCCCTCCTCTCCACTAAAACACCTCGAACCAACACGAGAATGGGTCCACGTCCCCACATCCACACCAGCGACATCCCTCCCGCGAGTCTCCTACCCGTCCATCATGTCCACGGACGACGGCCTGCGAGAATTCCTATCCAACATCCACCGGTACGGCCTGTGTTTCATGCCGGAGACACCCGTCTCACCGAGCGCAACACAAGACCTAATCGAACGCATCGCACATATCCGCGCCACCCATTACGGCGGATTCTGGGATTTCACATCCGAAGTCAATCCCATCGACACAGCCTACACAAACGACTACCTCCCACCTCACACCGACACAACGTATTTCACTGATCCCGCAGGATTACAACTATTCCATTGTCTGTCACACACAGCAATCGATGACCCGATGAAACCCGGTGCAGGTGGGGAAAGTACGTTTGTCGATGGATTTGCGGCGGCTCAAAGGCTCTTCCAGACGAGGCCGGAGCTGTACAATATTTTGTCAACGACGCCAATTCTTTCCGCGGCGTTGGGCTCACCCGCAGGTGAGTTTTATAATACCGCGAGTAACGCAAAGGGGTATCCGGTTTTGGTGCATACGAGTGCGGTGCCGGGTCGTTCGAATCCGAATCCGAAGACTTTGACGCAGATTCGTTGGAATAATCTCGATCGGCTAGCGCCCACGGTGCCGAGTTTTCTTAATCATACGTGAGTTCTCCTTGATACTGGTCTGTTGTTTTGATTTGAGCGTTGCAGAACTGACGAGATTGTCTTAAAAGTGCGCTGAAACAATGGTATACGGCCGCTCGTGAATGGTCCAATATCCTCTCCTCGCCAGAGTTCCTGCTCACTATCAAACTCCAGCCTGGTGAGCCGGTGATTTTCGACAACTGGCGCACATTACATGGGCGATTGGCATTTGAAGGCAAGAGACGGATTTGTGGTGCTTATATTGGCATGGATGACTTCCAGGCCAAGTTGAGAGGGGTCGGCATCGAGGTATAAGAGCTTGTATTATAGCACTATCTCTGTGTCACGTTCCAACCGTGCCATATTGATACCCAGCCCACAAAACAACCACTACCAGACCCACCCATGGGCCAACCTCTTGATGGAACAAAAAGGCTTCCTTTGATCTCATGAAAACAACGCCGCCCATTCCGGACCTCGATCCAGCTTTTTGTACATGGCCCGAGTGGACTCTCGTACTTCAATGCCTTGACGTTGATCCAATTCTTCCCGTGCTCGAGCAATGCGAATGATTTCTCCTCGGTGAAATGCCACAAAGGGTTTGTAGCTATCGCGCTGCATGCGCAGAGAGACAGCCAGATCGTACAAAGTGCGGTAGGCATACGGAATCTTGTCTTTGAGGTGCTCCTGCACGTCCAAGCGGTACATGGCCTCCTTCATGTGCTCGTTGGTCTTAGCAACCATTCTTCGGAGTCTGTCTAATTCACTCAGGTGATAATTGAGTCTCCCTTCTAGCCCCTCTCTGCTGTCCGGTAGCTGGTCTAGTTCTGGTTCGGCCTGCGGTTGTTCCTGCGTCGGCGATTGGTCCTTGGCGACCGCAGAGTACCTTTGTGTGCCGTCGCTGTTGGACTTGGTGGACCACAGCCCAGACACAAAACTGCGTAGGCTGCCTTTGGAGTTGGTGCGTTGGGGCCTGAGCTCTGAAGGAGCCATGCTGATTTCGCTTCCGATGCTTGAGTTGAATCTTCGACGCAATTTGTCAGGACGATGTCGTGCGGAACGGTCACGAGCCCGTCGCGATTCCTAGTCAAAGTCAAAGTCTTCAAAGTCTTCCGGGCCTTCCTGTCCAGGAGAAGACGGGCTGAGCCTGTTAGCGTGAATGCCTCGTTCTTTCGTAAAGGTGACTGCCTCGGTCTTTTGAGGGGTTGTAACTTCAAGAAGAGGATCCGATCCACGTCCCTCGACAGATTCGTCACTATGTGTCACCCTGGCACTTTGAACTACTAAAGTGACTGTACCACGCTCTGTCTGCTGCTGATCTTGGCCGGTGGCAACAACTTGTTCAGTTGACTGGCCTTGACCTATGTCTCTGGCCTGTTCTGGGCGTTGATCTGGCACCGTCTCAGGTCTTCTTTGTGTTGGCTCAGCAACAGCTTCTTCTGCGCGGCGTCCAGTGGCTATAACTATGGCAAGATGCTCAGTCTCGAATATCTGCAAATGTGCAGCCGGGGATGAAGCAGCTGATGGTTCGTCAGCGTCAGAATGACTGTGGGCGACAGATTCGGACTCAGATTCGGAATCTGATCTAGGACTTTCTATCGCAGATTCAGATTGACTTGAGAATGAATGTGAAGGTGATGCAGAAATCGATACTGATTCAGGAGACTGAGAGACCTGGTCGGAAGAAGAGGTGTCTGGTGAATCGTCTTCGGAAGGGATGATGGGAGCAGGGGCTTGTAAAGAAGCAGATGGGATGTCATCCTATTAGCATGTCAGAGAAGAGAACCACAAAGCAGAGTATGGGAGAGATGGCCCTCCACTCACCTCTTCAGGGATGGTCTCCAAGCTGCGGTTCCTTCGAAGACGGCGCCTTTGAAGACGGAGCCTTTGAAGACGGCGGGCAAGTTGTGTGGCCTTTCTGTTGAGAGACCTCGATCTTGGTCGTCCTCTTTGCTCTGGGATGGTGGGGGGTTCTGGTTTGTCACCTTTGCTGTCAAGCAGCACGACGCACAAGTAGAGAGCCTTTTTGCACAACGTCTTGGCAGCGATGAAGGGATCACAAGGACAGAAAAGCCCTCCAACCCATCTTCTGGCCATGGCTCTCACAATGATTGTTAGTAGGATACATGTAACAAATAGCAATCCTGGAAATCATAAGGTTTGATCGAAAGATACACAAATGACACTGTTGTGGATGGATGAATGAAATGAAATAGATGTGGTCGGGTATCGAGTATGGCTTCCAAGACAAGATCAACAACGACCGCAGGCTGGAGAATGAGAGAAGAAGTGGCCGATGGGAGGAGGAATCTTCACCATGGAAGGCATCACCCTCTGTTGGTTACTCCGCAGCAATTGCAGCAGTCACAACCAAAGGGACTCATCAGAGGAAGGTCTAACCACCATGGTCAAGAAGGATGAACGTTGAGATAAAGGTGTACCAGCTGACATTCCCTGTCTCATCCCCATCCAGCCAACGTCCAGCTCGTTCTCTCACCTGCCTTGACGGGCTTGGCCTGTTGAGACATGCGATACTGTTCAATGTTTCGATTTGCCCCAGCTATTCCGTGTGATAGATACCTCTCCCTCTCAATCTCAACAAAGGATTTGGATTTTAGGCTGGCGACCAGGCTAGCACCCGCCCATGTCCCAAGGCTATCGATTTGCCGCAGTGACGGTGTGGGCTTGGTATCTTCCTTTCTTCGTTTGTGTAGGTCGATGTCGATTTTGCTTTCAGAGCTGGTTGGTATTGCATGGTGTCGGGCATCGACTGGGATAGATCGATTATAGGCGAGCTCGCCAACTCGATTGCGAGTGGTGTTGAAATGTTTACCACGGACAGGCGTCCAGCCATACTTGTCGATTGTGGTGTTTACATGACTGAAGACATGCTCCGGTAGATTTGAGATTGATGAGCCCTCTCCAGTGAAGATAATACGAGAGATGCAACTGCTTCGGACGTCAGACGAAACGGCGAGGAGGGTGTTATACAACAGCTGGTCCACCGGCTGTTCATGATCGTCGAGATGGTCTTGATCACGGCTCCCAAAGAAACTCTCCGAACAGATTTGTTGGAGTTTCGATTTCGGTATTCCAATCATCCGGGCTGAGGTGTGTGTGGGCCAGTCGATCATCAGAGTCGAGACGGAATCTCCGTTGTTCTCAGACAAGGTCATGGCTTCTGTCTGTTCCACCAAGCCTTGTCCATCGTGCGGGAATAAGGCATGACACTTGCCGGCCCGCTCAATGAACTCTTCGACAAAATCAAAGTCCAAGACCAGCTCTTCCCTCACGGACTGGTCTTGTTCCTTACGAACACCCTCGAGGAAGTCCCACATCTTGAAGACCAAGCTTTTCAGACCCCTTGTGCACCTCTTGACACAAATCTCTCGGAACTCGTAAATTGCATGGACAATAGTCTCCTCCCAGCCGATATCCACCACCAGACCAGACCTCAATCCAGCTGCAGCAACTGCCATGGTTGGACCAGGTAACAAGGTGACAGAGCTAATTTGCCATCTTTGGAAGAAGAGTGTCAGAACCGTGTCGAGAACCGGGTGAGGGACCAGACTGGGCAGCACCAGAATGACTCTCGCCACACCAGCATCTACAAGCAGGTGTTTGTTATATGCCTCTCTGACCGCCCTCTCCAGCTTGTCCTCCAGTAGACCCAGGTCTACATCCTGCAGATCATTCCGCCATAGCTCGTATTCTTTGCTATTGACTCGAACGTCCTCTTTCCTCCTCCTGTACCCTGGCAAGTAGACCCTATAATCTCCCACTCGGCGTGAGTTCTGGGGTGTGAACCGAATCGTGCATTGAGGGGCACTGTCGCCTTGGAATCCTGCACGGAGATATCTTGGGTCTAGTTCGATGATTATTGGGTCTTCTTCGGTACGCCAGTAGGAAGGAAAGGGCGAGGAGCTGGTGGACGAAATATGTCGATTGGAAGGGGTATGAGGAGAGCCTGGATTTGGACGAACATCGCGGATGCTAGGGCGAACAGCAGATGGTTTGGCGGTCGCCATGGAGGAGGGCTTGAGAAGAGTCCAGTGCCTTGTCCTCCATGTGCGAGATTCCTGAGTCTAGAGCTCACAGCCTGTTGTGTGGCTGGGTCTAGAGGTTATAAAGTGCAAGGAGTTGAGATGAGGTTTTTTTGGAGATTTGGAGATTCACCACTTGTCGTGCCAGTCCAGGGCAGGGGCGGAGGCGCTATTAAAGGTATGTAGAGTCAGTCAAAGCCTCACGTAGGGACTTCTTATAAAGACATAATCAGGAAACAATGCCACAGAAGCACTATTACACGATATTGAGAGCCTCAAGGGGTTGCAGGGGTGTACTTTAGGCTAGAGAAGACTTTATATCATTGTTGATGGTGACAGATGTTGTAGGATATCTTCTCTACAACACCACACTTCATCCAACCCACCAATTCTCTCCTCGATACAGGTTACTTCAAATGTTGCAGATATTGTCATCAACGGACCCCTTGCACCTCATCTAAACCACTTTTTACCTCGAGAGATGTAGTCAGAAACTGAGATGGTTTTCGAGATTGAGAATTGTGCAAATGCAGCCAACACTCCCCCATGGTTTCCAAGTACTGCACCGTATTATTTCTCCGAAGTTCTTCCACCTCAAATTCTCGACATGACACGTTGACACGCGTCTGACGCGTTCCCTCAACCTTCATAAACAAAACCAGCTTCTGTCCTATCAGGTGGCGAATTCTCCCGCGGGACACCCATTAGCCCAACACCAATGACTCTACGGCGTATGAATCAAGAATGGGCATTCCTGGGTACGTTGGGAATCGTTACAGTCAATGAACAATTCTACTAACCAAGAAACAGAATCCTCAAGGAAATCGGCAAGGGAGAAAGGGTTGCCCTCGCAAAACTCGCCATTGAACACTTTGAGAAATCCCATCGTCCCTATCGAATAGCCATTGATGCTGCAATATGGAATTTTCAGCACCAAGCAGGCCAAGGTGGCAAAAACCCTGCTCTGCGTACTTTGTTCTATCGCCTTTTGAAATTACTTGCCCTTCCCATTCAGCCGGTCTTTGTTTACGATGGCAAGAATAAGCCTCTCACCAAGAGGGGCAAGACGGTTTCAAAATACGGCACTTGCACTTCTAACGAGACCTCCAAGAAACTCATCAATGCTTTTCGATTTCCTCATCATACTGCACCGGGCGAGGCTGAGGCTGAATGTGCCATGCTGCAGCGTCATGGCCTTGTTGATGCTGTCATGAGTCAAGATGTCGATGCAATAATGTTTGGCTCTGCGGTCACATTACGGAATTGGTCCAAGGAAGCGACCAAGCATAATAACACCCCTACTCATATCAGTCTATTGGACGCTGAAAGGATACAATCTAGGTCTGGCCTTGACCCTGCGGGCATGGTCTTGGTTGCTCTCCTGGCCGGTGGTGACTATGACGAAAATGGTCTGCCTGGCTTTGGGCCTGGTATAGCATGCGAGGCTGCCAGAGCTGGCTTCGGGGCAGATCTACTGGAACTGGTGCGTACAAATGATGATGTCGGCCTTGCCGAATGGCGTGAGAGGCTCGAGTATGAACTTGAGACAAACATCAGCGGCTTCTTCAAAACAAAGCATAAAACCGCCAAAGTACCATCTTCTTTCCCCGATCGACGCATATTAAGCTATTACACAAATCCTGCCATAACTGCTCCGCAAGATCTACCACGACTACAGAAATTATGGGAGGAGGTGTGGGCTTCTTCTGTCGATGTTAACCTGCTTCGACGCTATGTTGCTAACACTTTTGAATGGGATTTCAAGCCCGGTGCCTATAAGTTCGTCCGTGTCATGGCCCCAGCCTTGCTTGCAGATGATCTCAGAAGAGGACGACCATCACAAATCTCCTCCGCCGAGCAAATTACAGAACGTCGCAGTCATTTCGTTACTGACGGAATTCCAGAGCTGAGGTTGACGGTGATTCCCGCAGATGTGGTAGGAATCGACCTTGACGCCGAGGAAGATAGTCCAGATGATCTCGCACGTTTGGCCGTCGAGGAGGAAGACCCCGAATTAGGGCCTATGAACGATGCAACAACTTCACAAGCAATGCAGAAGCCCAAAAGCCCTCCTTGGCTGCCTTGGAACCAAGAGAAGATGTGGGTCTCCGAATCCATTGTAAAAACTGGTGCAAAAGCCGTGGTGGAGGCATGGCATCAAAAGCAGCAGGAGATTGCAATGGATCCAATCAAGTTTGCCACTCGAAAATGCCGACAGCCAAAGGAACCCGGGAAAAAGGTTGTCAACAGTGGCATGAAGGCTGGGGCATTGCTCAACTATATCACAATCTCTAGCTCTTCACAGGAGGAACCATGTGCAGTTCAGGCATCGAAGTTATCACCGTCACGGAAAAAGACGAATCCCTCAAGTCTCAACATGTCTCAGCCGCGCCACATTGTTAGAGCTCAGCCATCACCTGGGGTGCAAGACTTTTTCAAAACCACAAAGTCCAAGTCACCTATCAAACTGAGCCAGGAGGACAGCGATCCGTTTGAAACCCTCTCCCCAGCGCTGTCGGAGGCACTAGAACTCGACCTGAGCAAGGATGGGGCTGCGGGAAAACATTCCCGACCATCAACCTCGACGTCGAATTCTTCAGAATCTGTCTTGAAGGTGGTGAGGAAAACGACAAAGATCAAAAGACAAATCTTAGACCACGAGGTGGGGCTTGGACTCAAGGGCCATGACCGAAATCCTCTCCAAGACCCGGGCAGGACCCTTACTAAAGTCAGCAATATCCAAGCTGATGTCTCCGTGACCTTGCAAGAATTTTCGAGTTTCTCTGCTCTCAAATCTTCAGACAATTCGGTGGTGAAAGATGATTCCCCACAAGTGTCACCACAGAGATCGCGTCGACGGACTCGGCGGATGAAAGATCAACAGAAAGGTGAGCAAAGTTCGTCTAGCCCGAAGCTTGCCCGTCCACGAGGTAATATCGAGAGCTTCTTCCTACCTCGTGCCGTGGACAACACCGCCGATGAGCCGCAGCTAGTCGAGGAAAAACACATCCGAGCTTTGTCTGAGGAGCCTTGGAACGGGCTGGCCTTGTCATTTGCTTCGACCCACTCACACCCCATCCCTCGGTCAAGCTTGCCAGGCACATGGAAGGAGAGTGAAGCCGGGCTAGACGACTCTTCGGAGTTGACAATTATCGATTTGACCGGCAGCTGAGAGCTGAATGGTGATCAGGGTAATTTGACCTTCCAGAAGTCTTTGTTTTCGAAAAACCCTTTGGTACGAGTCAATTGGACCGAGGTGGCAGCAATGACCGGGTAGGCGTAAGGTTTCTCGATGCGGACTTTAGCAAGCGAATATCCATAGTTCATGGTCACGATTTGAGCGACTGCAGTTGCCAACGCCTCGAGGGTTTGGTATGAGGATCCCTCCACTCTCTGTGGCAACAGGTGTCAGTAGACGTTTCTGGACACAAGACGATATTCCTTACCTCGACGACTTCTTGGACCAGGTCGTGGACCTGGTGATGATGCCCAGCATCATGCTCACCAACAATCTCGAAGCTTCCTGCCACGATAGGAACACTGATATCGAAGAACAACGGCTGCTTGTAGGTTCGCTCATGCGGATTGACCCCAATAATGCACTCAGTTGCGATCTGCTTTATAGTCAGGCTGAGGGTGAATACTGTCCCGGCGTCAGGGGACTTGTCGATCATTGCGTGGTAGGCCAGGCCCTGTTTTGCCTGAAGCAGAGCCTTGGGTAGAGCGATCTCAAGGGAGAGTGAAGCATAGTCGGCGACAACATCAGAGATATGAGATATGAGATAACGAATCTCCGGATAGGTCAATGTTTCGTTCACCTCTTTGACCAGCTGTCTGTAGGGTTTCCCATAATCTAGAGTCAAATTGACATCGTCCTTGGCAGCAGCGGCCTCCAATGTGAAGGTTGGCTGGATGTCAAGGTCAACAACCACAGGTTGAGGTTTTGCCACGCGTCGCCAGGCATCCAAGCCAACAGCAAGGTCAAATTTGATCCCTTTTAGTATGACTGAGTCCATTTTCAACGACTTGTGCTTTGGTGAATTGGGTAGTAAAACGAGGACACTTCTATTCTACTCGTTGGTCGTTGATGCGGTGAGTTTTTGACTGTGGATTCACGACTCTTCAAAAGACAGGGGAATTTGAGAAATCCTTTGTCATTTGAAGATCTTGGGGAAGGCGCCCCAACCCACGTGATTGCATTCCCCGGAGAAACCCTTGGCCCGATATGCTTATTGCGGCAAGAGCGACTCCAGATGTCAGCACCAATGACATTCCTGCAAATTGCCATAACCCACCTTCCCTTGTCCAGATCCATCAATCTTGGCCTGTCATCGCGCCTGCCGTGTGCAGCCAGGCAAAGTATGTCTCCATTCCTTCCCCCAGCCAGATTTTATTTTTCCAAGTTTCATCTCGCAGGCTGACCGACCACGATTTGCCTTGCGTTTGCAGCCGCCACGTCAAGTCAAAAGCCATCTTCCATCCCTGTCTCGTTTATTAATGTGTTCCTCATCTGCCACCCTTTTCCATCCCACGCTCTCTTGACAATTGTCTCCTGCATCTATATCGAAATAATTCACCTTCAATGGGTCACAGCATCGCCACTGCCATAGATTGTCCGCGCTTCTTCTTCACCACAACTACCAGTACCAGTACCACTACTGTCAGCACCGCCACTTCCACCGTTGCCTTTGCTCTTACTGAGTCTTCCTTCGCGACTTCCTCCTACATGCGCCCAGGTTCAACCAAGTTCAATCTCATTACCAGCAACGTGGTTTGGCTACCGGTATAGGGTCCGTCCTGAGCAGGGCGGACGGTAATATTGGCATCGTCTACATTCAGGCATTCCTTACAGCTAGTCTTTGTTAAAGATTAGCCATACTGGGTGACTCAACCACATCCCAATACACGACTTCGAGTCTCACAATACATACCATGAGCATCGGTATCACGCAGACAGTCATGGGCGCAGCCCCAGACACCACAGCTGCAATGTCAAACTCCCTTCAAGACTCGTCTCCCGACCTCGAGTCAGCCATGAGTTCGATTGTCCTCGGTCACGACACTGCAGAGCCAGAAATCACTCCCATCCGGTCCAAAAGCCCTCCTGTGACTCCAGCAAAAGCCATCTCAGCAGGTGAACGCAAGCCTGGCTCTGCCACCGATTTAGATCAGGAACGTGGCCGAGAAGAAAGCAAAGGCAGTGTCATCCTCTCCACCGCTGCTGCCAAACGCAAGAAGAAGAAAAACCACAAAGCAAAGGCCGAACGTGCCTTGAACACGGTCAGAGGCTTCACCCCGATCGACTCGGGTGCTGAGGATTCTGATGCGTCGCACTCTGGAAGTCCTCGCGTTCTCTCACCCATTCCTCGTTTGCCAGCCTTGGCTGGTGCGAGTCCGGGTCTTCGCCCTCAGTCACCTGGCATCAGCAGTCTCAAGGCACAGCTTGATGCTCTCAACTCTCGCTCCCAGAGTCGTGAGACTTCTCGCTGCCGAGGAAATTTGGAATCCGAGGCTACAAGCAGTGCCGCCAGTGCGGCCTCTGATACTCCTGCCGAAGAAGTTACGGAAGACATGGTCAGCTACGACATTCCCATTGATCAGGACTTTGTCAGCCAATCCATGGCCGACACGGATCCAAGCCTAGCATCTGTGTCCACTCTTAACGCCGACCAGCGAGCCACCTCGATGCTCACGAGGAAGATGACTGCAGCAGACTTCACCCCGATTCGATGTTTGGGCGACGGTGCATTTGGCACTGTGCTGCTGGTGCGACAGAATGCCACCGGTCGTCTCTTCGCCCAAAAGCAATTGACCAAGGCATTTTTGAAAGTCCACAAGAAAAGGATTGAATCCACCATGTCGGAAAGGTCAATCCTCGAACTGGTCACCCGCCATCCCTTTGTGGTCAATCTGTACTACGCCTTCCAAGATCACGAAAAACTGTACCTCATTCTTGAGTATGCCTCTGGTGGCGAGCTCTTCCGTCATTTGGAAATGGAAAAGTTTTTCAGCGAAGAGGTGGCAGCATTTTACATTGCAGAGATCGTTCTAGCCTTGGATTACCTTCACAACACCGTCGGAGTCATCTACCGCGACCTGAAGCCCGAAAATTGTCTGCTCGACGCTGAGGGTCATCTTCTGCTTACAGACTTTGGGCTCAGCAAGGTTGCCGTCCAAGATCCAAGCACGCCCGGTGGCAGTCGATGCAACAGCCTCGGCGTGGGAACCATTGAATACATGGCCCCGGAGATCATCAGAGGCTCAGACATATCTGACTGGGGCCCAGGGTATGGCAAAGCCTGCGACTGGTGGTCGCTTGGAGCGATGGCTTGCGATCTCATGACCGGAAAACCGCCCTTTGGCGGTGGCAACTGGACCAAGATCCAACAGAACATCATGCATCAGAAGCTTAACCTGCCGTACTTCCTCTCTCCCGACGCCAAGGACCTGCTCTCTCGGCTGCTGCGCAAAGAGCCTCGCAAACGACTGGGCGTAGGACCCCACGATATCAACGTCATCAAGAAACATCGATTTTTCCGCAAGATAGACTGGAAGAAACTAGAAGCTCGACAATTGGAACCTCCGATCCAGCCTCTGGTGACCAATCCGGAACTGGCGGAGAATTTCTCCAAGGAGTTCACCGAGCGAGCCCTCGATGCAGCAACAATCCGAAGACACAGCCGTACTTTGAGCAAGTCGGATCCATTTGGAGGATTTAGCTATGTCGCCAGCCACAGCTTCCTAGAGGAAAGCATGTTGTTGGAAGCGGACGAGACTGCGATTGAAGACTGATGGACTAGACGTTAGAAGTTTAGAGAGTGATGGAAGAATAGACGCAGAGAGCATAGATGATGGACAGATGGGAGTGGACCGAATCACCACTTGGATATTGTCAGACATTGGACTTTGATCATCTTTGGAATGAGCATTGGATTGGAATTGAGCGCGGGCAGTTGAGTGCCCAACCAAGTCAAGGATACAAGGATATGGAAAAGGCGTTATGGATATGGAAATGGACAAGGAATATAAAATGCATCCCATGTATTAGGGCGTATTTGATCATGACCAATCAACATTTACAAGACTGGCTATGGACGTTCATGTCCACAACTAGGTACTTGAAGTGAATGTATCTTAAGGTCTACTCTGTACAAGGTCAATGTCGAGATAGATCAATGTTGGGGGTATCATCAATTAATACAAAAGTCCAAGTCCACGGCCAATACCAAAACCAAGATCAGAATCAAGATCAAGATCAAGGCAGTCCCCTCCCCTTCCTATCGAAACATGCTGAAGAGTGAGAGAGAGAGTTCATGGCGAAATGAGACAAAATTACTTCCAGTGCCATTCATCATCGGCTGTTCTCCCTGCCACCAATCCAGGTGTTGAATACGCCTGCGTTTCTTCCCAATGAGATAAAAACTCTCCTCCGCCATGTTCGCTATCAATCGCTATCAAGCACCCAGTTCGTCATATTTTGGAAACATGTCCCCTCTTAAAAACTCCTATCTAAGGTACCCAACGTGATGTGTGGTGTATGTGTGTGTGAACTTCCATGCTTGCTTCTTTGTTGCAACGCCGCCCGCTAAAGTCAGCTAAAGTTAAGTCACGCATGCTATGCTGATGAGCTGCAGGATGAAATCGCCATTGTTTGGTGTGTGGTTTTGTGGATAGTGTAGTTGTTGTAGTTGTTGTTACATGAGGTTGTCCGATGGTCGAAACAAGCCTTCTGATCGCGCCTGCGCAATATCTGGTGTGTCGAATCTGCCGGATCATCAAGTGGTGACTCGCTTGATCCACAGACCTGTGGGTTTCTCGTAAAAATCGTCTTTGTCGCGTCGTCTCTGAACGCGGTGCAGACGCAAGCCTACCTCGTGCTCTTCGTTGGTGATTTCCTGAAGCTCGAGGTTGAGATTGATGATCATTTTCTCCACCTCCCGACGTTTGTACGAGTCGTAAATGATGGCGTTGCGCTTGAGAGACTCGCGTAGTTCCTGAATGATCTTGTTGTTGTTTCGCTTGCGCCGAGTCAGATCTTCAAGGCGAGCTTCGAGAGACGAGGCTTTGTCGGTGGCCTCGATCTCCACAGGGGTGGGGGGTAGCGACTTTGTGACTGACGTGAGACTAACGGATCGATGCTTCTCGGCACTGCCGATTGCCTTGCGCAAAATGCTGGAGCTGGATTTTCGCGCGTTGATCTTGGAAAATGGTGAGACGATGTTCTGGTTGTCATAGTTGCGAACGCCACTACCGCCTACCCTTTTTCGGACTGCGATAGGACTGGGCATGAAATTGGGGTCAGTCATGGTGGTGGGACTGCTGGTCAGATCTGGCTGGATGGTAGGACTGTCAGGTGGTTGGTAAAAGTGATCGACGGTGCTAGTTGCGTATGTGTTCCAGCTCGATGTAGTGTCTGGTTCGCGCTCAAGAGGTCGCTGGTTGCGTTCCGTCAGAGACTCATTGCTCGAAGCAGGGTGAGGATCTTGGAAGGAACGAATAGAGCCCAGAGTAGGACTGTCGCCTGCTTGGTCCTGGGTGGCACTCGGAGCAGGGCTGAGAGAGGGATTGTAGGCATTCAAACGGGCCAGGGCGGGACTATGGAAAGGGCTATCGAGACTGGCCGCATTGTCTGCTTGGGTAGGAGAGAGGACACGAGGAGTGCTTCGGCCTTTGAGAGGGACGACAGGTTTGATAGATTCTTCTGAGGAATTAGTTGTGACAGGTGGACGGCGTATAGAAGTGGGGGTCGGGGATGAGTCATGAGTTGAGTTTGGGATTGTAGATGGTTCAGTGGAAATACGGGGGAGGTCAGCACCCTGGCTTCTTCTTTGCAAAAGGATCAGAGGTTTGGTACGGGCCTCGGGTGTGTTCTTGACTGGTTCGACCAACTGGGTTCTCCCGCTGGCACCTCTCCAAGCCGGGCGTTGAATGGGGTTATCCATGGGATCTTGGACGGGGGGAGGTTCTTTACCCCAGGGCGCCTTTTTGGCAGTCTCTCGATCTTTGATGCCGGCAAGGATCAGCCTGGTCCTTTCCTTGAGTTGTGGATACTGAGGCTGTTGTGAGGCAGGACCGCCTGCACGGAATGCTGAGGGCTGTCCACGTTGCGCATCGGTAGGTTCGCCGGAATAAGCATCCCATCGGGTCTCCTCTTCCTTTGAGGCTTTGTGGGACCAGCGCTTTCGAATCTTTGTGGACTCGTCAGAGGATATGGTGGCGACTGGAAGAGGGAGCCGTTTGGGAATCTGGCTAACTGTAGGCGATGGACGTTGAGCAGTTTGAGCTGAGGGAGGGAAGTGGGAGTCAATGGGGGAGACAAGCGAATTGTCCGTGTCAGGGTTGTGGGCAGGAGGGGTGGTGCTCTTGCTGCTGACTGGGGAGATTGGCTCGGGCCCTGTAGAGGGTGTGCGGGTAGTTTCTTGCGGTTTAGCAGCAGGGGCCTGGGCGAAGGATTCGGCGATTGGAGAGATGGGATCAGTGGAATATGTCGACTCTCTGTCATACATGGGAGGAACAGCGCGGCTGCACAGAGAGATTAGCAGGACAGACAGTGAGAATGGAGGGCAGGGAAAGAGAGGTGGACGAACAAAGGGAGGTCAGGAAGAGTCTTTGCAACACTACTGCGTCGACTGTTCCTGCTGTATAACGACTCGACCTCGTGTATTGTTTCAAGGTATCGATCGTCCATTATTGGCTCTGGATATGCTTGGTAGCCCATTTGAGGGTCGGGCTGGTAGTGATTCCTCCTCCACATTTTGACAGGATAGAGAAGCGAGGTGAATCGTGGTAGGTTCGGTGGTATGGGAAACTGGCATGCCGAGGGGTATCAGGATCGAGGCATTGAAAGGCGAGATATTTAGATATTGAGTGGAGAGGCGAGGCGAGTGTGGGGAGATGAAGTTGTGATTAAATCGAGTAAAATGGCACAACCATACAAGGCTGGACGGGCCGCAGGTCTCTGGAAAGACAAGTTTGTTGATGGAGGTAATATGACGCTGGATATCAACAACCTGGCCCAAGAGTGCAGGAGAAGGACAGGAGTTTAGGAGCAGGGAGTAGGACCAAGGAGCAAGGGAAGTGTTGGTTCTTGGATCAGGACGAAGAGATGTGGCGGAGATGATTGGCTGGTGGATGGTGGCAGAAAAGGTGAAACAGAGTATGGATATTTCAGGGTGAGGGTTGGATTGAGGCGGCGGCGGTGTACAATTGGACCAGCGTATCCGAAGATGAGGGTGATACCAGACCAAGAGTGTATGAGGGAGCAGAGGTATGGGGATATGGGAATTAAGAGTGAGTTGTGATGGTGGTGGTGATGTGGTGGTGATGATGGTGATGGAATTTTGATCAAGCCTGGAATGTCATCTTCTTGATCACGAGACTACTGTATTGTGCTGCCTGGAGAAGTACTGCTTTAGGTGCTCCCCCATTCCCTCATAGGTGCTGTGAGCACCTAAAGAGCCTCGACCTCCAGGCGTGTTTTAGACAAGTCTAGGCGTCCCTGTGGTGGGGATCCCCTCCGACTTGGGGCGCGTCACCTGATGACGGCTAACACGTGACCATAACCAAATGCTCCCGAGGCAGGCATGCATCAGCATCGAAATCTGCCTGACTTCATCAGCAAAATCATCCTCGAAAACCCTACAAAAACCCATCTCAAAACTTGTCCATCTAGTCTTGGTGCTTTCGACTACCCTGCCGTCCAATGGTGATAAATGGTACAAATCCCATGGCCACCACCGCACCCACCAGACTCACCCAAAAGGTCGCCTGATATGCTCGATACTTGAGGGCCCCTTCTCCCTCGGATGCTCCTCCGGCGCTGTTGAAGATGCTGGTTTGAATTCCGATCCCAATGGTCGCTGCTAACCGTATCACCGTATTGAACAGCCCCCCTGCAACCGACTGCTGTTCGCTCGGCAGAAACGACATGACATACATGTTGGTCACGGTAAACTCGAGATCGGCCGATAGCACCGAAAACAAAAGGGCAGGAAACGTCAGTGCCCAATAACTGATCTCAGTCGACGTCGCCGAGAAGAGGGCACAGGCGATGACGGCTGACACTGCTCCCGCAATCATGATGATCTTGTTTGAGATCCGATGCATGATGACGGCCGCGAGGAAGTTGACCACGATGCCTCCTATTCCAGCTGGCAATAGTCGTACCGCGTTCATCAGTGGCGACAAGCTGTCAATCCGCTGCCAGGACAGCGTAAGCCAGAAGAGGTTTCCTGAGAAGCCATAAAAGCCCAGGCACAGGACAATCACCACCAGACTGAAGTTTCGGTCCCTCCATACCATCAACGGCATCAGTGGATACCGAAACACACTCTGCCAATACACGAAGCCACCCGTCAAAACCACTCCCACCACCAACATCGCAATCACGTATGACGCCCCCCACCCGCTCTCTCCACCCAAGGTCAGAGCTGCCGTGAACATGGCCACTCCAACCACGGCCAGAAACGCCCCCAGCAGGTCAAACTTGACGAATGTGTCCATATTCAAACCCCCCAGGCTCTGTTCAACATCCATCGGCGTCGTCCACCACGCCGCAAAGAAGAAGAAGCCGTAGATTACTGACATGACCCAGAATACCGCCCTCCAGGTCGACACTTGCATTGTCACACCAGCAATAAACGCCCCAAACACAAACCCCACTGGATTACCAGCACTAAAACACGCAAATGCTCGATTCTTGCGTCGTGACGGCTTGTCGTAAACCGCTCCCAGCTTCCCAATCGCTGGTGGCACCGAAGCCGCCGAACTGAGGCCTAGGAGTCCACAAAATACATCCATGTAGATTGCATTTGTCGCAAAACCCACGACCAACAGACAGATGCTGAAGAAGCCAATGCTGACCAAAAACAACAAGCGCCGTCCAAAAAGGTCAGCCACCCGGCCAAAGAAGAGAAGAAATGTTCCTGCGGCCAATGTCTGTGCTGCGCTGATCCACGTTACTTCGGCCGCCGTCATGTTGAGATCCCGTCCGATGAAGCTGGTCATGCAGAGAATCGCCCCAGAGAAGATGGAGCTCTGCCCCACTGCCAACGTCGTCGTCAACACAAATAGACATTCTTGAGCCAGACTACTAAACACGGCCGGCCGGCTGCCGTATGGATCGGATTCGATTGGAACAAGTGATGCACCACCCATCGATGTTGTAGGTTCAATGATTTCAAAGCTGGTCATGCCTTGGTGTGGTCGCGACGCTGTGTCGGCAGAATCGCCTGTTCCACTGCCTTGTTCAATGTCGGTGGACTGTTGCTCCACGTTGACCTCTTTGACCAGAGAGGAATTCATTTTTTAATCAAACTTCCGCCGTCTCACAACTCGTACTTTCCAGTTACCTGTCAGGACCGTCGACATGTGGCCAAAGGGATTATTCGATCCGTTACGAGGAAGAAAGATGAGAAGAAGCTGTGGTTCGAGATCGAGCTGGGACGGGGATTTTCCTTCAAGACTTGGCTATTCGTCTAATCAAAGCCGATGGCTGTCACTTTGGCCATGGGCTTAACTAAGCACAGGCTGGAGGACCCCGAAGAGATTCTAGTTGGTCATGGTTGAAGCTTGAGTTTTAACTACTCGATCCCCCACATCGGCTTGAATTCCGCTTTTCAACGGCGATGATGTCCCACACCCCACAACCATCAGTCATCAATCATCGTTGATCAGCCATGGTTCGTACATGATGTTCTCAGATACCAGAGAATGATATCTGGGGTACTATGCACGCCTTATCGAGTCTCGTAGACGTCATGGTTTGCGCGGTCAAGGTTTGTTTACATTCATCTTGTTACTAATACTTGCAGCGTCTGCGAAAATGTCCAGAAAGCCGTACAAGGTATGCATATCACTCTTTAGTCTTTCATTAATTGTTCAATCCTATCTCAGTCCTCCTTTGATTGGAGATCTGTTGATGCCAGAATAATCATGCGCCTAGTGAGCAGGAAGAAGGTTTTTTAGGAGGTAGGCGACTGGGACCAAGGCATGCTCTTGCACAGTTGATCTGAACTCCTCAAGTGGCTTTGCGTGAAAATGGCAGCAATGAACATCCCCAGCTACGCTTGACGAGACTTGGAGCAGAAGCTGCTGCAGTGGTCGCCTCGGGGTATTTGTCGCGCTGTTGATCCATACTGAAGCGGCCAAATGGTCTCCCAGTGCGCTTCACCAGGCGACAACGACCCTGTCCCTTGGTCTGCTGTCTAGCCCCAGATTCGATCTCGTCCATGGTCTGCCCCACTGAGTCAAACAAATCGCTAGCTTGATCTTGGCGCAGTGGTGCCACAGTCTGAAGGAGAGATGGCACCGCTCGATGCTTTGGGGTCATCCTCATCTTTCGAGCTTTATACCCGGAGTTACAAGATTCACCGTCGTCGCTAGGTGTCAGATGGTCGTCGGAAAAGATTTCGAAGCTGATCATCCTCCTCGAGTTAATGGCGTCGGTCTGCAAGCTGACACTCGCATCTGGCTTGGGTTCGCACACAGCGCCTGGTCGATATGGACGATACACGGTTGTCTGCTCGGCCTGACTCTCTCGAAGGTTGCCCGAATTGTGCGTAGTAGTAAATTCGTTGGCTTGGAATTTGGGAAGAGCGGTGGGGACGTATGCGTGGTAGGCTACAGATGTGTCAACGCGGAGACTCTTGCGCAAGGTCAACTTCCTCACCTTTCGCTCCTCAGCACTCAACTCAATCTTGTCTGTCTCGGGACTGTTGAAACCTGGATGATGATCATGTTCGTCATAGTTGCTCTCACTTCGAGTGTCACTGCTCGCCTGAGCTTGGTTGAGGAAACGGCTCCTATCCGACGAGATGGTTCCGTCTCGCAATTGCCAGTCAAAATCAAACGATTGCTCCACCTTGTCCAGGAGCGATTCGACATGACAGTCCATACAATCAGGGTTTGTTCCGTCGTGGAGCCAGTGATCGAGTCGCACATCGCGTCGAAAAGCCGCGCTATCGCGCTTGTTTCGCACTGAACCTGAACTATCAGAAGACTTGGTGGGGCTTGTGGTATTGGTCAAATCACCCTCTTGGGGAATGATGAGATGGTCACCTGCCGCCCAGCTATTCCGATTCGCAGCATTAGTAGCCGGAGATGGTCTCGACGAGCCTTGGGCAGTGTTCTCAATAGTGAGGAACATGCTCCGAGGTCGAGCCGTAGTAGCAGGAGTCTGTCTTCCACGAGTCAGCTGCCCTTGGCCAATGGATGAAAGTGCTTCTGACACAAGGTCATCTCCACTTGGGTCGGGCTTGATGTGCCCAATCGGACGTGGTGACGATGTCTCGACGATATGCTCCAAACCTGGTTGACTGACTGGCGACTCTCGAGGCGCATCCCAAAGGTTAAAAGGAGTAAAAGGTCGGGTCGCCAACTCAGCCAGTCGGGACTGTGGTCGAGGAGGAGATGTCTGAGTCGTAGCCTGGCCAGCTTTGCTAGTCTGACCTACATCCGGTCCGATAGTGTAGGTACGCATTGTTGTGGATGGATGGTTAGTATCTCACTCGCAATTGCTAATGTCCTACCAAAACAAGGGGTTTGGGAGAGAGCAGTATGCGGGCTAGAGCCGGTAGGTTAGCTAGATGGGCAGATTCTGGTTTCTGAGTTGAGAGAAGAAATTGAGAAAGGCCATTGTGAGCGAGATGGGGAGATATTATAGAGATATATTTAGCATGAGACAAAAGAGAGTTTGTCCTGTCAGGTCTTTGGGAATTCATTATTACAAGAGCTTGTTAAGAAGGGTATTATTCTTTGATACGTTGCGATATCACTGAAAGGGGTTCTGATGGTATGAATCAGACCTTTGTTGTGGATGAAAGAGATGTTTGGTGTGTGAGACATGGCTGACAATGAAGAGGAGGAACCTATCCTTTCATACTGTGCCGTTCCGAGGTTGTCTGAGCATGAAATCCGTTAGATCTTTGTTGTATTATGTAGATGACAGGTTGTTCCAATAGTGATGTCGATGTCGACGACAATATTGATAATCATCACGTGACTATTGTATTCAGCCTTGCCGGTTTTTTTTCCGACAACCGGACGAGGCTGAGGTTTTCGCACTTGTCGGCAAAAGCAGGAACGACCCTGGGGTGCCATGGACGTTCGTACCTGCCTGCAAGATCCGCGGGTCTCCAACAACCTCGGCAGGACCCCAATCGCTCCTTCCCCATCCAGAAGTCAACCACATCGACGTCGTGATGAATTCCTCGGATTTTTTTACATTTCGCGATTCATGTTGGAGATTGCGTCTCTATTGACTTCTTCCACTTGACCTAGACAACATTTCTCTTTCCTTCCTATCATACCTTGGGAACACCTCCAGCAGTAGAACCACTGTCGCATCCCACTTCAATTACCCCAGCGTCTTCACATCCCCCGCCGCAACCATGTCACAAAGAGCTCAACAGGTCTTGTCGCACTTGAACTACCCCAAGGGTCTCCTTGCGGGACAAGTTGCAATTGTAAGTATAGCACAGCTGTCTCGATGTCGATACCGTCAGAAGCTCACGCCTTGTTCACCATAGATCACCGGCTCCGGTCAAGGTATCGGCGCCGAAGCTGCCCGACTCTTTGCCAACGAAGGTGCCAAAGTGGTGGTGACTGACGTCGACTCCGCCAAAGCCGACAGCGTTGCCAAGTCGATCAACGACGCCTCTCCTGGACGAGCTATTGCTGTCGCTGGCGATGTCACCGACCCCAACTTCTTCCCCGTCCTGGTCCAAAAGACGGCCGAGTTTGGAAATGGAAAGATTCATATCATTGTCAACAATGCCGGTTATACATGGGATGGTGTCATTCATAAAATCACCGACAAGCAATGGGATACCATTCTCTCTGTCCACAATACCGCTCCCTTCCGGTTGATCAGACAAGCTGCCCCATACTTCCGTGTCAAGGATGGTGAACCACGCTGCATCATCAACATTTCCTCCACATCCGGCACCCACGGTAATGCTGGTCAGGCCAACTACAGCTTGGCCAAGGCTGGTGTTACTGGATTGACCAAGACCATTGCAAAGGAATGGGGTCCACAGGTGAGATGAGACAACATGGCCTCATAATGAATTAGTGAGACTAATCTGACTCAACAGTTTGGTGTCCGAGCCAACACTATTGCATTCGGTCATATCGACACTCGTCTGACGAGAGCTAAGGAATCTGGTGCATTCATCACCACTCCTGATGGTCAACGTGTCGCTTTGGGTATCCCAGGTGCTCAGATAGCCGATCGCAAGGGAGGTGACGCTACTCCCTACAAAGATATTCCTCTTGGACGACCAGGCTCTGCCACCGAGGCTGCTTCATCCGTTCTCGCCGTTGTCAGCCCCTTGTTCGCCTATGTCAATGGACAGACCATTGAGGTCACCGGTGGCCGAAACATTTAGATAAATTTGTCATCTTTGGGGAGCATGATGCGTGTATATACAACCATGGCTCAAGTTGATTAATATATCCTTGAAACTCTACCCTCTTATCCTTGCTCTGGTATTTTCATTCAGCATATTCCTCCATTGATGAAACCTGCTCCACAGGATGTTTGTCGAGACTTTCATACAGCTGTAAGTAACTCCCGATCAAGAACGCCCAAGATCCCCTATCAAGAATCAGTCAATTGAGTCAGCAATAAGTCCTCGGGCCAAAAAGAAACCACACATCCGTGAACAGGGAAGGTAGGTCAGTCAATACATACCAAAACGTTGCTAATCCCGCCTGATATTGCGCGCCCGAACTCCCATAAACCATGCCCAACGCACCACACAACGTAAATCCCACACTCCCAATCAAATTCCAAAACGCAATATGCCAACCCAGTACACGCGGCGCAGGAATATACCACTTTCGTTGCGTCTCGAGCAAATACAACGAACTCGACACAATAAACCCGGATCCACCAATGACCTGTGGAATCCAATATGCGGCGTTCAATCGCCACTGGGGAGTGAGGTGGTCGTTGATTCCAGGTAACGCGGTGATTCCAGAGATGCCGAATACGGTCGCGGCGAAGAGTTGGGCCGCGCCGGCGAGGAAGCCCAAGTCGTGGATGTAGTGGGTGCGAAGGGATGTGAGGGTGGGGAGCCATTGCCAGGATGATGGTGATGGTGATGGGGATGAGGTTGTAGAGGTGGTGGATGTTGTTGATGTCAATCCCAGATATTTTCGCGATGGCTTGCCCACCAAATTCCGCTTATTCTGATGATGATGTCGACAATGAGCAGTACTGGCCGTGAGACGATATCTCTGTCCATGGCCACCATGTAAGGAAGAGGAATCATTATCATTCTCCTCCTCCAACTTCTTCTTCTCCCTTTCAAAAACCTCTTCGACCGCCCACCCAAAACACCCAACCTGATCGGCATTGACGGCCTCAATAACGAGTAAAACCGACCCAACTTCAAAAAACACAATCGCTCCAATAAATGCACTAATCCCACCTGCATATTTACTCTCACCTGGAAACTCAGTCGATGGCGCCACCACGGGCAACCAACTGAAAAACCCATTTATGACCCACACCACACTTCCGAGTGTAAATGCCATGGCCACCAGCCAGGATATATCCCAGATGGGGAAATATGTTAGAGTTCGTTTGATGCCCAGGAGGATTTGATATGGGTGGGATGTATGTTGAGGCACGGTGATTCTTCGCTTGGATCCTGGCGGGGGAGTCGTGATTTGAAGCGCGTGGCGGCCCTTGCGGTTATCGCGAGAGCGCCAGAGGAAGCGTACGTGTTGGGCGGGTTGGGTTCGGGTGAGTGGTGGTGGTGGTGGTGGTTTGGTGATGCGATGATTGTGGTCATCATCATCAGCACCAGCACCAGAGGTGATGATTTCATGATCCGCCTCCTCCTCCTCTCTCGGTACAAGCTTGACTCCTCGTTTAGATGCAGGAGGATGGAAAGTGAAATGCGCTCTTGTCGGGTTGAGAAATGAGAATGGTCCTTGAGCATGATGGAACTGGAGGTGTTGATGATCTTGTAATGGTTCTCTTGATTTGAAATGATGATGATGATGATGGCGACGACGATGATAATTGGTATTTTGATTGTTGTTTTTGCTGGTGCTACTGCTCTCACCGTTGATGCTGTCCATGATTCGACTGCTTCCCCGGTTCACTCTGGAATTTCCTTCAAGTGTTAAATTGAATCCAATTCTTACTTATTTTCCCCTTTTCTGGGTTGCCTCGTCTGATACTGACATATTGTAGTTGGACGATTAACTAGAATTTAGGTACAACACACAAGCAAAAAACATTGAATAATCACATCACCTCACATCCAAACTTTCGGAGGGGGTCCGAGCTCCCCATAAACAGCCCATTCGTTTAGGCGTCGTTTTAACCTTGACCAGTAGTAATTAATTAATCCGTAGACGGAACCGACCAGATCCCGGGGCTCAGACCCCTTGTAAGCAAACCCTCCATGTTTAAACCTCAGTTAAGCAAATCGAACGCCGAAAAGAAAGACAAGTTCTGGAAAAAAAAAACAATTTCTAAAAGAATGATAGAGTGAAATCCAAGGGTTTTTGGTATTAATGAGCTGATAATGATAAAGACATTGATAATGTTGACCAACTGTACTAAGTAGAAAACTAAGCCAATCTTCAATGCTTGGTGCTCGCCAAAGAATTTGGATACCAATGTACACCATTCATCATGACTGTTCTCGTCACTGTCATTCCACATCAACTCCATCCCAACTAAAGTACTCGACTGAGTGGTGATCATGGCATGGTGTCTACTTGAACACTTTCGATCGAATGTATTGTGGTCATCAAATCTCCATCATGCCATCCACTGTCATCTGTCTGTAGTTCCCTGCCTGAGGTGAAAGGTCGCCAAGGCATTATCGTCGAGCTGAAGCCGGGCGCTGAGAGACACTCTGGCTTTCAGGAGGCATGATCTGATCTGGCGCCAAATTCTGGGTCGACTTTGTCCATCTCTGTGCAAGGTCGTCCATCGTAACCAACGTAACCCTTCTCCATCTCATTATTGATCTGTTGCCATGTCGTCCGGCCATGACCCATCTGCCTTTCCGCCCCCTGTGGCACCTCCGCTCCCACCAACTCCGCCGTTATTGCCAAAGAAGAATCCATCAAACAAATCAAACTGTTGTCCATCCGACCAATCGTGTTGAAGGTCTAATCCCATGCCAAAGCCTAGATCCAGTCCGCTCGCGTCAAAGTTGAAATCGTCTCCACCAGTCCCCACGGCGTCGTTCAAAAAATCCATTCCAGGAAGTGATGACATGAAATCAGGATTGTACGTGTTCTGCATATAAAATGGCTGTTGTTGTCGTTGCTGTTGTGGAAAGAGGTAACTGCCACTATTCGCTTGGTTCTGCTGTTGCTGTGGACCCAGACCCATTCCTGTGTTAGCCTGAGAGTTGATGCTTGATGCGGGGGACGGATGAGGTACTATAGGTGATGTCTGTGGCTGCTGTGTGAGAGGAAGCATAAACCCAGTTTGCTGTGGTTGAGTCCGTTGCAGGTTGCCCAATGGTTGAGGGAAGGAATAAGAAGGACGAGTACTTGGCTCCATATCCTCTGGGAATAGCTCCCGCAAATCCATGTCGAACTTGGGGGGCGGTCGTTTTGCGACAGGTTTTGGCGCCAATGGATGATATGTGTCCACCTTCGCATGGTTTGCTGGTAGGCTTGATGTCGCCACATGTGAGCTCTGCACGCTTGTCTGTCTTGACAATGACTGTCGAGGGTCTTCACGCTCGGCCGAGAACCCGAATCCAGGGGTTGACATGCACATTTGGACGGTAGCTTTACTCATCCGCTCCAATGCATCACGACATGCTTCAGCCGGTGGACACTTTTCCATCAGATCTCCGAGAACAGAGGTGGCAGACATGACTGTCCAATCAAAGTCATCCAAGGTCTAGCCAGGTTAGCAAGCGCTTCAACGTACAACAAGTCACACTTACCAGGCGAGCTCTGACAGCAGGCGAATGCCAGACAGCGTATAAAAATGAAATGCCAGCCATGAACAAATGATGAGTCGCAAGATAGGTGTAGTTGACCAACCTCAATCGATGTAACTGTCGATACAATTTGAGCGTTTTCTGTCCGGCTTCAGCGCATTTGAGGAAAACAAGATCTTCATCTTCCTTTTCTTCCATCCTCACACTCGAAGGACTCGAAACTTCGTCAGTGGGGCTCAATTCACCGGCGAGAGGTGGTGGGACACTGAGACTTTGGCGATACAAAATGATGACGGCTTGCCAGTAATTAAGCTCCAGAAACTGAACGGAAAATGCGACTCCGGTCTCTGAGGGGTCAGGTGCAGACTGCTTCCAATCATATAAACGTTGATCAATATCCCTACGCCATTCGCGGAATGAGTCAAATTTGCTCATAAAAGGCGACGGTAATTTTGTATGCATAAATTGATTGTTGCGATTGGTCCCATGAAGGCGTGCTTGTTGAGCCTGCTGATGCTGTAGAACTTGGAGAATCTCCGATTGTAGAAGTCGAAGGCGAAAGTAATGGTGTGAGACGCATTTATAAGTCGGTTCCAGGGAGGCCCCATTTGGTTTGACGAAGCCGGCTCTAGTAATATACTTGTCTTCCAGTAGAGAGGGGAATTCAGTGGTGACAACTTGATCGGTGATGCCGAATGGTCGTCCAACACAGGTGCTTACAAGACGATCAAAGGTATAGGTACACCACCAGAGCCTCCTTCGGAAATCGCGGACCCATTCACGTCGCCCTCTCTCTTGCGCATTCACGGTTTTTGCTGATTGGGCATCTGTACCATTACTAGCAGGTTCACGAATCTCAGGAACGGCATCTATGCCAGAGCCGTCCTCGTAGTGAAGACCGAGGTCAACAGCCAACCTCATGGCTACTCCGACAATGTACCACAGACCAGGGGCGACAGGCCGGAGAAGTGCAAAGCTGCATAACAAAAGGACAGCTTGCAGTTCTTCCAGGTCGCCATTGCTCCGTTCGGCCGCCTCGCCGGATGAGTTTGCACTGAGGTAGGCGCCAAGATTCACAATGGCAGAAGCATGATATTCTTCTGGCTGAGCCTGCTGACTTGCAAGTCGGGGGCGCTTCGAGGCATATTCATTCTGGCCCTGGGCGTTGGGCTGAGGGTCTGAGGATCCCCATATGATACCCGCGCCAATGGCAAAAACGATATTAAGCAGATACAACTCACGACTGCTTCGCTTTGATGGTTCAATGGAATACGTGCGGTCGAACAACTCCATAAATTCTGGCCGGTGAAGAATTGGGATTTGAGGGTTGGCATGCTCAAAATATAGGTCGACCAGCTTCACGCCAAGCTGTCGATCGGGGAACGGCGCTTCCTTGATTGTTGGCTTAGTTTGTAGACCAAAGTAAGAATCTCGCATGGAGCTTCCTCCAGCAGTGGCGACATTTGGCATGGGCCGGCTGGGACGGATGCCTGCTCGTTCAGAGTTGTTCGTCGAGACGGAACTCTTGACCGCGGCCAGTACTACGCGTGCGAACGATATCCCCGAGGTGGAACCCAGGTATCTCGCATCTGACGCGCCTTGTACAGAGACCATACCGATGTTTGAGACGAGCTTATTGAGCTTATCGGCGTCTTCTTGCTTCTGGTCTCTTTCTTCAGGCCGCAGGTTACGCGGGGAGTCGTTGTTCGGAGATAACGGGCCTCCCCACGACTCCTTGGTGCTGGCAGGCGATTGAGCAGCATCACCCAGTTCCTTCGACTCGGGACCGTAGACATCACTTGTGCCATACGAGATGTTGTTGGCCTTGAGGAGTGATTCGAAATACGTCAGACGCGTCTCGAGGTAGTATACATAACTGCGAGGGATTTCTCGCTTGGTAATGGGATCGTAGCCTACACATCGCACGCTGGCCTTCTCACAGGTCGAACAGGCAGGCAGGCGCTGGTCGCAGCGGTTCTTGCGAATGCGACAGCGGTTGCATGCCGAGACATTGCGGAAGGCAGCAGTGGCTGAGGCGGATGTATGTGGAGGGGAGGCAGAGGGGTGATGGTTGTCATGCTGAGAGTGAGAGGACTTTTCGTCTGGCTGGTAGGCTCGCTTGAGACTGGCGCTCTGAGGGGAAGCAGCATTGGAGGTCATGGATCAGGTGAGGGTACTGACATGTCCGCCAGTGCTGAGTTACGGGAACGAAGAGATGTTAGCACTGCGGGCGGGTTTCATGGTATAGGGCAGGGCAGCCTTGTCCTGTTTCACAGTATCGGATGGCAGCATGACTCCATTTCTGGGCTGCACGAGGAATGAATGCCGAGAGGTGCAATGTGGCAGGGTTAGAAGTTTGCAGACATGGACACACCAATGAGGCGATGGGTGCTGGGGTGAGAAAATAGTCGAAGCGTAGCATTGACTGCGTTGTTGAGGTGGAGGTTGAGAGACGTGGGACGGTGGGAGATTCTTATCGTGCAGTTGACGAGCATCCAATCAGAGCCCGCGATTGCATGATAAAGTCGTACCTTCCTTCGATTGATTGTCACGGGCAGTATGTAATTCTATTGAAAAGTTTATCCGATCCGACCTCTATCTTCTATTTCTGTATATCAATGATACCTTGGAGTGCTTGGTTAATGGTCAGCCTCATCTCCTGTCAATCTGTCAATCGAGCGCATGGCGCGAGAATGACGGTCCGCCACTGGGCAACGTCATCGTTCCTAGATCAACGTAGCTAGTGTAAGAGTAAGGTGGATTACTCAAGTCATGTCGTGCTCAGGATATTCAACTTGAGAAGGGTCGATATCATCACGGGAGTCCAGAAACGCGGGAGCGGGAACATGACCTACGGAGTAAATGACCAATGTTGAAGAGGACTACTTTTTTGCGACCACGAATGTCCACCTCACGTATGATAGCCGTGACCATTACTCACCACGTGATGATATCACGTGAATGGATTCCCTTACGGCTATGTATACTCCGGACATAGACAGCAGATGGCGGCCCCTCAAGTTTCTAGAGGCTGAAGCAGCAAACCTCAGGTCTGGATTTAGAAATTGCTGAGACGAGATTATGTCCGCCTAGATATTTGAAAGTTCCGAGAAGTCCTCGGTTGGTCTCCCAAGGCGGTGAACAGTCAATCTTGACCAGACTCGGCGGCCAGGGAATCGTATTCACTCTGGCCTTTGGATTTGCATCCCATATCTCTGAGACGGCTTCAGAGAAATGATCCTTAGTCGCAAAATCACCATGGATTTGTTTGTTGACATCAGGCGTTTGCGCTAATCGTAGTAGCAATGGTTATACCAGACCGCCTAGGGCGGAGAAAAGAACATTCATCCCCGCCTGATCTCCTGAGTCCTACCAAGTTAGCCGTTTATCCGTCAGGCCAATTGCCCCAGTATTCCGGGCAAAGCCCATCGGCCCAAACCAGGGGCATAATTTTCCCTTCCTGCGATTGATCGACAAGCTCTGCACCATCCATTCCGACTATCGCAATGTCATCTAGACCTAGCCCCTCTTGATGAACCCTGCCTTTTACACCCTGCCAGACTTTCATAACCTGCTCCCATCAACTAGGGACCCCGTCGACGCAATTGTGCTAGAACCCATTGCGAGTTCGCCATAGTCGGTGGGCCAACAGGCTTGCAAGCCAGCCAGAACCCTACCGACTACAACATTACAATAGATCACCATCTGCATTCGGAAGCGAGGCCTCTTGGTGTTCCGGGGGGCATTTATCAGAAAATGTCCATCTACACCAGTCCTAGTCATAAAAGCAGGCAATGACCAAGTTTGCGGTAGTGTCAGCCTAACGAAACACTCAGTCGTGAGCGGACTTCACCCACAAAATGCGCGTACAAGCAAACTCACTTACGGCAGTAGCAGTATTGACACCAGCAATGGCAGCCCTGATAGAGAAACCTCTCGGTTTGTATGTCGCACAACAAAACACGGGGATCCTCGATGTTTCTTTCAATCCGGACTTGGGGGCAAATGACTCCTTGTCGATTCTGGCCACGATCGAGGCAGGAACGCAACCTCAGTGGTTCGCAGAGTACAACGACAACATCTATTCAGTCAGTCGCACCGGCTTCCCCGATAACTCATCAACCTCGGGTGGTATCTTTGCCTTCAAGCGATCGCCTAAGCCTGCACAAGGGTCAGATTCTTTAATCCTTTTTGACACCGAAACCAGCCATGGCCAAGGAGGTGTCCATTGCGATGTCAACCACGATGGCACTATCATCGCCGCAGCTAACATTGAAGGATCAAGCATGGCGGTCTATCCCCTCAAGCCTGACGGCTCAATCGGTGCGGCGACGTACACAGTTCAGTATACGCTGAAGGAGCCGGGCCCTGGAGCTGGGACTAGTCAGACGGAGCCTTATCCCCATGAGGCAGCCTTTGATCCTACTGGAAAATTCCTATTTGTCCCAGCTCGAGGCGAAGATCGAGTACATGTTTACTCGGTTCCAGCTGCAAATAAAGTCCGTCAACTTGATGACATCGTTGTCCCTCCCGGAACTGGCCCTCGACATACAGCTTTTCGACCCAATGTCGCTGGCAAAAACTATTTATACGTCCTCGGTGAATTAGATAATACTATTCGAGTCTACACCATCGACTACAGTCAAGCGGTTCATCAGAAGCTGAACTTTACGCTTCATCAAACAATTTCTACACTCGGGCTTGGGCTTCCACCCACTCCTCCGAACCGCGCCAGCCTGGCCTCCGAGGTGGCATTCACCTCCGATGGAAAGTTCGCTTATGCCTCCAATCGCAACACTACCGGGGCCGAAAGTGACACATTTGCTGTCTACACGATCAAAGATACAGACCCTGCCAACCACTTGACATATATCCATCTCGAGAAGACACTGGGCAAGATTCCACGTCATTTCGCGCTCTCTCCGGACAAGAACAACCGCTACTTGGCCGTAGCAAATGAATACAGCAATGATCTTGTCGTGTTCGAGAGGGACGAGACGAGTGGCTTGATGAAAGGAGTCAAGGGCCGGTTGAAGTTAGGTGATGCTTTGTTTGTCGCTAGAAATGGTCCTGCTTGCATGTTGTGGAAGTAGACTAGATAAAAGCAACTCACAGTCAATTAGTCTCGAGGTAGAGATCACTGCTGAAAAATCAATTCTAGAAAGATAGTGTACCATTTAATCAGCCAAGACGGCGTGAAATCCTTTTCAACCCTACTTCGTACCGTCAAGTAGCCAAAAGTACTCAACACCAAATATAGATCCTTATATCGAGTACCCGGCGCTCTTTTCTTCAACACTACGTCATGATTGCAGCGGCGACAGCGCAATGTTGCACTCTAAATCTAAAGTGGCATTCGGGTTGCCTTTCAGTGGGACAAAGTCCACCACCAGATCGGATTTGGTGGCAAAAACCGAGTCGTTATCCAGGTATTTCGTCTTTCGATCGAAGATCTGGGTGACTAGCGTGGCATAACCTTCTTTACTAGTCTACAGGTCGTCAGTATCAAAAGGATCAGGACTATATCAGCCGTAGCAGACACGTACCATGTAGTGAATGTGAGCGGGTCGGAATGGGTGTCGATCGAGGAGCTGGAGGAGCTTGCCAGCAGGTCCGTCCGAGGGTACCTGAAACAACGAAAAAGGTTAGAGAGCTGAGCAATCCCGGAGAAAATGGAGACAGGTCACAGTGTCACTTACGGGATATGGTACCGGGCGGATGCCGTATAGGGCATACTGGCCTTGGTCGTTGGTGGTGAATTTGCCGCGAAGATTGAACTCTCGTTGATTAGGATCTTGCTGCTCGTACAGGCCTGTGAACATGTCAGTCTGGACGAAGTTGGTGGATTGAATCTCGTCAAATCGTAAGCCCTACCATTCGTTGAGCATTGCCAGACGTCCACCAACGCGTTCTTGAGTGGCTCGCCCGTCACAGCGTCAGTGACAACGCCGTGGATATATGCAACTTCGGCGTCGGGGGGCGTGTCGAAGGTCATTGTAGACCCGAACTCACGCAGCGGAGTGTCACTTCTCCAGAAGGGACCGAGAATGGCACTGGACGTGGTGGTGACGTTGTCCATGCTCAGTTGGTGCGAGGTCACACTGTCGACGAGACTGTGGCATCAATTGTTAGTATGGCTCCTGACTCCGCGCACTCATCCATCTCGCTAGCTTGCCTTTCCAGCCCTAGAATATCCGACAGAAGGAGGCCCTCGTTGCGCTTTTCGTCGCTCATTCGGCCAGCCCAGTTCAGGAGTTCAAGACCAGCCATGAATTCCTTGGTGTTGAGATTGGTTTCCAGAATGAAGGCGTGGAGATGGCGAGTCAATGATGTGATTACCTCTCTCAGTCGTTCAGGCGTCTTTTCTCCCATCGATGCCACTACGGACTCGGTGAATTTCGAGGCATCGAGTTTCTGCCCGTGTGGCTTTTCGCCGTTGGTTCCGTTGCTGACCATCCTGAATACTGAACACCACTGGGGGAGATCGGACGGTATTGCCTACCATGCAACGTGCTCAGAAATCCTGCACTTTGAAAAGTCTAGTCCTTCTGAATTACCTGCTAATGAGCCCTCGCGGGTTTCTAATGCTCTACGTTTTGTCTGGTCCATTCCACAGTCGTCCTTATGTGGTCCTAGGAGGTCATCAACCCCGAAGGCCCAGCAAGCCTCGAAGCTGTGACTGGGCCCGAAACAGGTTTGGGGGATAGTCTGCGAGTGACCAAACTCAGCCACGAGTAGAGAGCTCGAGACAAGTGGCCTGAGAAGAGGAGACCTGTGGGGACAGGGACTCTGGAGAATTACGACCTCGATACGGAGCCCCATACGTTAGTACTTCCTCCCCACATCCGAAGCCTCCGAAACCACAGTCCGAAGGCAGGGATCGTGCCCGAAATGCCCCAAAGGAGGGTTACGAGCTTCGGCATTTCGTGCGGCCCCCTCCTCCCCTCTTGGCATCCTCCATGTCACTTATCATCATCGGCGTCGGACCATTTTTCCTTTGCGAGGACAGCGTTGTAATCATGATCGTGCGCCGACATGTAGCATGCCGCTGAATCACACCGACCCATCCCATTTCCCGAAGGCGTGTGCCAATTGCAGAAGGCGCAAAGAACGCTGCGATCGAAGGCAGCCTTGTGGTCGCTGCGTCTACCGGAGGGTGGCCTCGGGCTGTGTATTCCCTCACAGCTCCTCTTCTCAGTCTTCTTCTTCTCCTCCTGGGCCCGGCCGCAAAGATGGCCGAGCTTCGATTGCAACGACGACGAGCCAGGTCACCGTCGCCGACGTTATCAATCAAGGCCAGGTCTACATCCCGCCGCTCGAGCTGGAGGTCTCGGGTGATAACAACGCCTCCATGACCACGGGCGACACGGCATCGCCCGTGGTCTCGAAGCATCATCTGTCTCGTCTGCTTCGCGATCCGCGAGGCAAGTACATGTTCATCGGTGATTCCGCCAACCTGTCGTTTCTACAGGGTATCAGGAAACTGGTCCAGGACTCAATCGGCGAGTGCCACTTGACCAAGGATCCACTGCGGCATCAGATGGTCGAAGCAGCCCCTGATAAACAGCCGACCTGGCTCAAAGTGAACTCGACTCATCCCTCGCCGACCATCACTCTGGACGAGGCCAGGCATCTGATCCGTCGCTACTTTCTAGCCACCAACGGCATTCTCGACCTCTTTGATGAGCAAGACCTGCTCAAGGACTTGCCAGAATGGCTAGAGAAGGAGAGAGACAGTGAGAACGTCCTCCATGCCGTTTATTACTTAATCTTCGCGGTAGGCGCCCAATCAACCTCGGAAGACATGGATGAGCTAGCCGAAACGTGCTTCAGCTATGGCCGCTATTTCACCTTTGTCACCCTAAGTGAGGAGCCGAGTTTGTGCACCGTCCAAGTTTACGCTCTAATTACTATGTATCTCCTCAATGCTTCGAGAAGAAATGCGGCTTTCATGAATCTGGGTACGGCGGTACGAGCGGCATACGCCCTCGGCTTGCACCGCAAAGAGATTGCCGCGCTGTTTCCTTCAGCAGAGTTCAAGACGAGAGAGCGGTTATGGAAGACGATTCGTATTCTCGATTTGTTCATGGCCGCCTCTCTCGGCCGGCCGCCGTCTACCACAGAGACGCGTGACACGCGCTCGGTCGATCACTATTCAGCGTCCGTCAATATTTGCGCCATTTTGGAAACTATCCTCACCGAAATCTATTCGAAGCGCATGATCTCGTCAAATGTTCTCGAGAAGGTGAGCGAGCACCACCGGCAGTGGTCGGCAAATGTCCACCGTGGTCTGGCCACGGATGGTATCAAGCCTACGGAATCGCTCGACGGTGGAAAATGGCCAAATATCGGATTGCTTCACATCAAACAAGCATACTACTGGTCCATCATGCTACTGACGAGACCATTCTTACAAGAAGCAGTGTCCAGCTACATCAACTCGGCGCAGAAGACGCAGCCTGAGATTGAAGAACAAGCCCCCAACCCGTCTCCAACCAAAGTGACAACCAAGGCGTTTGTGCATGCCTGTGTCGACTCGGCCGTTCGCACCATTGACCTGCTGCGAGTCCTGTTGGAATACAGCGACCTGCCCAAGCGACTCCCTTTCATAGTCAACTCTCTCTTTGTCTCAGCTCTAGTATTGGGCTTGGCCCGCTTCGGTGAAGTCAGCAAATTTCCTGTCGAGGTCCATCTCAAGCTTGCACACCGGCTTTTGGCCCTGTTTCCTCACGACACCCTTGCGCGACGCAACGCCTCTATTGTTGACGAGCTACTGCAGGCTTGCGACATTGTTTGCGAGAAGAGAACTCAGGCGAGCCAAGATCGCTTCTCGTTTTTGGTCAGAAGCATCTTTGGGACTATTCACGACGACCAAGCGGCGACCAGATCGGCTGATTGGATGTCGGAAAATGCTCACGAGGCGAACGGTTCTGCTGGCTCGTCGGCACGGCTTAGCCAAGCATCCAGGTCCAGATCTGCGCATAGAATCAGGAACGACATTGCTTCAACGCCGCCACTTCGTCCAGGTCAAGCCCAGACCCAGCCGGACGCCTTTCGTTCAGAGGCACAGCTGTGGCCACAAGCCGAGTCAGGCGAGGTGGCCGATCCGTATATGCAATCAATGTTCACCAACGAAGGACTCGAACGAACGTTACAATTCATGTCGCCGACAACCATGTGGTTTGATACCTATGACGAGACGATCCCACTTTTCTCTACGGTTAACACGACGGACCCGTCGGCGCTATAAAGCATGACTGTCTGCCGGGAAGACTATGGGCTCGGACTCCGTGCCAGTTACTATGGCCAAGCGGGTCCACAAGTCAGGGTGATGGAGCACAAGGCTGCTAGCATTCGAATACCCAACCTTGGCTTCATGATAGAGTTGGACGGATTTCGAGCAGTCAGTTGCTGCTTGATCTATGAATGATGTAACGATGTATAACGTGTATGAGACGTACGGATCGATCTTTAGACAGGATGAGTACTTCAGTTACTTTAACATTTCAATCAGGCGCAGAATATACGTCAACAAAGACAACCGCAGCTCAGGGTTATCATGCCATGTTGTCGAGTTAGGTATGACAGGGACTAGCTGAGTTGGCACCTGCTACGCACCACCGACTCAGGTCGGTGTCACTTTCAATGCCTTGGTGCCAGCTTGCCAGGACGTCTCCTTTTGGCATGTTTCCATCTTAATGCCGTCTTTGACTCCTTGCATCTTCAACTATTCAAGGCCAGTAAGCATGTGCTGTACATACCCAAAGCAAGCATTGGATCGACGCCGAATACGAGACACAGAAGGACTAGGACTGTGCCATGGGAAATCACCTCGGGTCGTAAGACTCAATAGCCTCAACTGGAATGCCTCGTCAGTAGTCTTCCGTGACTCAGACCAGCCGTCGGAGCTTATAGTGTGCACCATCATGCTTTGCTCCGTTTCCTCAACTTGCACACGAGTCCTGATTGTCGGGGAAACCAGGTCGAAACAATGACAAACTCCTGGTTAGGATCTGCAAGCGAGATCTCATACCGCGACACAAGCGTCGCAAGGACCTTGTATACCTCCAACAGGGCAATGTTGCGGCCAATGCAGATCCTAGATCCACCACCAAACGTGAGGTCCGAATTTGTCATGATGCGTAGACGCTGCTGGTAGGCCTCGTCATCCTCGCCCTCCAATTGTAACCATCGCTCTGGGCGGAAGTCGTCAGCGTCATCTCCCCAAACACCTTTATTACGTCCGATGATATAGGGGTTCATTCCAACAGCGGTCCCAGGAGGAACATAGCTGCCGTCCGGCAAAGTGAGGCCTGCCTCAGGCACATAGCGCTCCAACAACATTCCAACGCCTGGATGCATCCGCATGGCCTCTTTGATCACAGCATCCACGTACGGGAGTGCTCTGGCTTCGTTGTATGACACAGGCTTGGAGGGATCAAAGCCAGCTTCTAGCACCACCTGTGTGAGTTTCTTGAAAGCGTCGGGGTTGCGAAGGAGAAAGTTGAAGACGGCTCTCAGAGTGATTGCAGTGGTATCGGCACCGGCAAGCATGTTCACCTGGAGGTAGCCAATGATGAGCTTTTCGTCCACGACCTCCGGATGCTTATTCTTGGCCTCGATGAAGTGGTCGAGGAAGTCGAGCTGCCGAGGGTCCGTCTTCTCAGCCTTACTCTGGAGCCGGTCAATCATTCTGTCGACTGAAATCTTGGTCACGTTGCTGAGGTTAGGTGGCCCGATGCGCTTGATGGGGTTTTTGTCCAGCACAAAGTCGAGAAAAGGCATCTGGCCCACCATGGCAAAGTAGTCGGTGACCTGGTCGGCGATACGGATGGTGCCATCGAAATCACAGGCTTTTTCCATGTACCCGAAGCGTTGACCGAATGTGGCCGAGCTGATCAGGTCCCACGTATCTAGGGTGCGAGATGATGGTTAGGCAAAGACGCAACGCGGTCGAGATGAACAGCCACGACTTACAGAACGCTATCCACTGGCCCAAGTCGAACACTTTGCCCTGATTATCTCCTTGCATGAACCGGCGTTCCAGATGGTCACAGAAGTCGCTGATGACCTCGTTCATTGCGGGTTCCATGGCCAAGACGCTGCTCATCGAGTAATACTTGACGATGGGCTTCTTCATTCGTGCATGCTCAGCCTGGTCGGTGGTGCTGAAAAGATGATAGGTAATTTTGCCATCGATGATAGCACTACTGCTGTGATAGAACTCGGTCTATGCACAATTAACCCTCGAAACGACCAATGCTATGCAGCTCTACGTACCTTGCGCCATTTACCGTCCGTACCGTAAAGAGTCTTGATCAATTCGGGGTAATCCAGGTCCAGCAAGTTTGGACCAATTTGCACCACCGGGCCGTATTTATCGTGTAGCTTTTTGATGTTCCATTGATACTTTTGTGTCCATACCTGATATAGACGCCACAGGTCCGTGTGTTCTG